GTTTTTGTATCAGGGTAATGTTGCCTTCATAGAATGAGTTAGGAAGTGTTCTGTCTTCTTCAACTTTTTGGAATAGTTTGGAAAGGATGGGTATTAAATGTTCTTTGAATGTTTGGTAGAATTCTCCAGAGAAGCCACGTGGTCCTGGAATTCTGTGTTCTTTTGGGAAACTTTTGATTACTATTTCAATTTTTTTACTTGTGATTGGTCTATTCAGATTCTCTATTTCTTCTTGGTTCAGATTGGAGAGGTTGTGTGAGTCCAGGAATTTATCCATTTCTTCTAGGTTGTCCAATTTATTGACATATTTTTTCATATTATTTTCTTTCAATCCTTTGTATTTATGTGGTATCCGTTGTAATATCTCTCTTTTAATTTGATTCATTTGAGCCTTCTCTCTTTTTTTCTTAGTCTGGCTAAGGGTTTGTCAATTTTGTTTTATCTTTTCAAAGAACCAGGTTTTAGTTTCTTTGACCCGTTTTGTTGTTTTTCAGTGTCTATTTCATTCATTTGTGCTCTAATTTTTATTTCCCTCCTTCTGCTTACTTTGGGCTTTGTTTGTGTTCTTTTTCTTGTTCTGTTAGGTGTAGTTTAAGATTACTTATTTTATGTTTTTCTTGCTTGTTGAGATAGGCTTGTATTGGTATAATCTTCCCTCTTAGTACTGCTTTTGCTGCATCCCGTAAGAGTTGGTATGTTGTGTTTTCATTTTTTTTGATTTCTTGATTGATCCCATGGTTGTTCAGTAGCATGTTGTTTAGTCTCCCCGTATTTGTTACTTTCCTAGCTTTTTCTTTGTAGTTGATTTCTAGTTTCATAGCATTATGGTTGGGAAAGATGCTTGATATGATTTCAGTCATCTTAAATTTATTGAGGCTTGCCTTGTTTCCCAATATATGGTCTGTCTTTGAGAATGTTCCATGTGTACTTGAGAAGAATGTGTATTCTGCTGTTTTGGGATGGAATGTTTTCTATATATTCAAAGTCAATCTGGTCTGTTATTTCATTTAAGGCTAATATTTCCTTGTTGCCTTTCTGTCTGGATGATCTATCCATTGATGTAAGTGTGGTGTTGAGGTCCCCGACTATTATTGTGTTGCTGTCAATTTCTTCCTTTAGGTCTGTTAATAGTTGCTTTATGTACTTTGGTGCTCTTGTGTTAGGTGCATGTATATTGGTAAGTGTTATGTCATCTCGGTGGAATGTCCCTTCTGTCATTATATACTGCCCCTCTTTGTCTTTGTATTTTTTTATCTTGATGTCTACTTTGATACTAGTATGGCAAAGCTTCCTTCTTTTTTTTTTTTTTTTTTAAAGATTTTACTTTTCCTTTTTCTTCCCAAAGCCCCCAGTACATAGTTGTGTATTCTTTTAGTTCTGGCTCCTTCTAGTTGTGGCATGTGGGATGCTGCCTCAGCATGGCTTGACAAGTGGTGCCATGTCTGCATCCAGAATCCAAACCAGTGAAATCCTGGGCCACCGAAGCAGAGCACATGAACTTAACCACTCACCCACGGGGCCAGCCCCAAAGCTTCCTTTCTTTTGCTTGCCATTTGCTTGCAGTATTGTCTTCCATCCCTTCACTCCGAGCCTTTGTTTTTGGAGCTGAGATGTGTTTGCTGGAGGCAACACGTTGTTTGTTCTTGTTTTTTAATCCCTCCAGCCGCTCTGTGTCTTTTGATTGGAGAATTCAGTCCATTTATTTTTGAGTGGTTATTGATGTATGAGAGCTTAATACTGCCGTTTTATCTCTTGTCTTCCTGTTGTTCTATATTTCCATTGTTTCTTTCCCTTGTATTTCTGATTGCCATTTCAGTTTGATGGTTTTCTGTGATGGTTTTCTCTTTATGATTTGTGCCTTTGCTCTCATTTTTTGTTTATTGATTACCATGCAGTTTGTATAAAAGATCTCATAGATGAGTTCCATCCCTTTTCCTCTTCCCTTTATGAATTATTGTTGTCAACAATTATTCTTTTTTGTGTTGTGTTTGTGACTAAATTGAAGTATTTTTAATTTGTTTGATGCTTCCCATTATCTTTTATATTATAATTGTGTTTACCAGCCTATTCTGTTATAAAGCAACAATTTTCTGACTCTGTCTATTTTTCTTCTTGCTCAAGGTTTTTTGATGGGAGGGGGCTCCTTTGAACCTTTCTTGTAAGGCGGGCTTAGTGGTGATGAACTCCGTCAGCTTTTTATCTGGGAAAGTTTTTATTTCTCTGTCTTATCTGAAGGGTAGTTTCACTGGCTGGAGTATTCTTGGCTGAAAGTCTTTGTCTTTCAGTATTTTGAACATATCATTCAGTTCTCTCCTAGCCTCTGAGATTTCTGTTGAGAAATCCTCTGAAAGCTTGATATAGGGGTTCCTTTGTTGGTTATTTTCTTCTGCTTTGCTGCCCTTAATATTTTTTCTTGCTCAGTGATTTTTGCCAGTTTTAATATTATATGCCTTTCAGAAGGTCATTTTGCATTGATGTAATTAGCAGTTTTATTAGCTTCATGTATTTGTAAGTCCAGTTTCTTTCCCAGGTTTGGGAACTTTTCAGCTGTTATTTCTTTGAACAAGCTTTCTACTCCTTTCTCCCTCTGGAATACCTATGATGTCTATGTTGCTTTTCCTAATTGAATCACATATTTCTCGAAGAGTTCCTTCATTTTTTAAAAATCTTCTGTTTCCTCTTCCACTTGAAGCATTTCTCTGTTTCTATCCTTTGATCCACTAATTCTCTCCTATATAAGGTCAGCTGTATTTTTTATGGTTTCTAGGTTCTTTTTTATCACCTTAATTGTGTTCTTCAGCTCTGGAATTTGTTTTCTTTTTAGAACTTCAAGTTCTTTGGTGAAGTATTTCTTCTGCTCCTTAATTTTATTCCTACTTTCCTTGAACTGTCTTTCTGTTTTCTTGTGACTTGTTGAGTTTCTTTATGACAACTATTTTGAATTCTCTGTCATTTAGATTGTAAATTTCTGTGAGTTCAGGATTGGTTTCTGGAGACTTGTCATTTTACTTGTGCTCTGAAGTTTTACTATAGTTTTTCATGGTGTTTGAACTAATCCTTTGCTGGCACATTTGTGGTAGTATCAGATGTGATCAGATTGTGGATTCCACCTGCCACCACGGAGTGTTGGGGGCAGCCAGATCTGTGTTTTCTGATCCCACCCTGTCTGCTGCAAGTTGTACTGATAGGGCTGCTTGGCATTTGTGTGTTCTGACCACAGTTGCTTGGCAGGTCATGCACATACATGCAGGCAGGACCGCTGTGCTTGGCAGGAAGGGTACTTCCTTTTGTGCGTTGGCTGGCTCTGCACTGTTGGGCGATTCAGCTGAGGTGTTGCGCATGCTAGGTGGGGCTCCTTTGAGGGTGCTGAGCTGCTCCCATTCAGTGGTGATCATTCCCATGGGTAGGGCTACTGCGGCACAGTGAGTCCCAGGGACTGGGCTGTTACTATGAAAGTGTTTGCATGCAGGCTGGGCTGCCCCCGCCTCTTCTTAGAAGTCATACCACCTGCTGTATGGGGACCCACTACCTGGATAGCTGCTGCTGGGGAGGGAGAGGGGGTCCATTCACCTAGTTCCACTGCTTCCCAGGGATCCAGCCCACCCACTTTCAGATGTATAGCTGTGTGGATCTCTCAGGCATTCTATTGTGCTACGTAGGGAACCCTCTTCTGGTTAATGAATGTCTGTCTTGTTGTAATTTAGAGGGGGGAGACAAAGGGAAGAACTTAATCCACCATGATGCTGACATCATCTCCCTGCATTGTTTACTTAACGTATAATTAGTATGTTTCAATTAAATGGTCGTGTTAAAGTGCATAGTGTAGTTGATAAGAAGTCACCTTGTCATAGATGACTTCCTCCAGTGTTATTTTATTACTTTTATTTTGCCTTTTGTTTCAAAATTAGGTTGTGTATATTTACCTTGATAGGGAACACATAGAAGAGATTTCAGGGGCGAACCCTGTTGGCCGAGTGGTTAAGTTTGTGTGCTCCGCTTTGGTGGCCCAGGGTTTTGCCAGTTCGGATCCTGGGCATGGACATGGCACTGCTCATCAGGCCACGCTCAGGTGGCATCTCACATGCCACAACTAGAAGCACCCACAACTAAAATAGAGAACTATGTACTGGGGGGATTTGGGGAGAAAAAGAAAAAAAAAAAGAGTTTATATGATTTACACCTGAAAAATATAAAACTCCATGTTTTTGAATAGAGAAACCTTCATTTTTTTATAGGTGTTTTATGTATTGAATGCAAGTAAGCTATCTCAGCTTTTTACTTTCAGAACCCTCCAGTTGGCAATTACTGGCTTAGTTATATTTGTTTCTGAATCTTAATTTAGCAGTTAGCAGCTTTTTGGTTATGAAAGACATTTATTTTATATGACATTGTAATATTTAGTAGTCATCATATCTTTGTAAATATTATACTTTCCCTTATATTGACATAATTTTGTCAGATAACAAAGGAGACTTTCTATGTCATGGTTTATTATTATGTAGACCTTTATTATAAGTGAATTTCTGTTGTGTACTTTAGTAAAAGGAACATGTTATGTAAAATACTTGATAACCATTTAATATAAGAAACATAATATACTTAATATAGTTTGATTTTCTCTCCTAATTGTAATTTATTATTTTATTTATGTTTGTCTACATTTTAATTTACTATTTTTTTTAATATTAATGATATGTACCTAAAGTTAATTGGAATCCTCTTTATACTTGGATTCCAGAAACTGTACTTTTTGTGGGCTTCTCTCTGATGGTCGGAAGATTAAGTTTGTGGTTTGTTTGGATAAGATAAATTTCTACTTAAGTAGCATTTTTTCCCCCATAGTTTTATTTACTGTCATTTGTGATATTTGGTAATTAATACTTTACCAACATACTAAAAAACATACCTTCTTAGCTCTTAAAACTAGATAAATTTTTTGGTATCATGTTTGTTATGTAATACGATTACTTTTCACTCTTGTCTCTACCTTTGTTTTCTAGTTGAAACATTGTAGTCGATATATACATGATTTATTTCCTTCACTCATCAAGAATTTGGACCCAGTACCACTTAGACATCTTCTTAATCTGGTCTCAGCTCTTGAGCCAAGTGTTCATACTGAGCAGGTAATACATGCAAAGCATAATCATGGTTTTATTTTGTAATGTGAAAATTTATTTGTGATTCAGCTAATTTAAATTGTAGTTTATTACTGTTGGCATTTTAGTTAGGCAAAAGGATATTAAATTTGTTAACCGTTTTGCCTAAACCCTCTAATTTCAAACTCTCTCTCTTTTTTTTCTTAAGACATTGTACTTGGCATCGATGTTAATTAAAGCGTTATGGAATAATGCACTAGCAGCCAAGGCTCAGCTATCTAAACAGAGTTCTTTTGCATCGTTATTAAATACTAATCTTCCCATTGGAAATAAGAAAGGTTAGTAAAGTGTAAGATATTTTTTGGAGTAAGTTGTCCAGATTTTATAACTGAAGTTTGGAGTAAGTCGTTTCTGCTAAGTAGTTTTAGGTCAATCTTAATTTCAAACTAAATTTGAGATGGGACTTATAGTGTTTGTGAAAGTATTAATAAATTGGAACTAGCTCATTTATTGAGTTTACCTTTCAAATATAGAACAGTAATAAAGTTTCAGTAGTTACTGGATTTTCTCTCATTAATGTTTTTCCCTTAAAAAAGAAAAAAACCCCAAACTATTTCATAAAAGCTGTGGAGCTTTTGGTTAGAAAACAAACAACATTTTAGAAATAATTTTGAGAACAGAACATAACAATACAGTTCTCTTTCTGTGTTTTCTACTTCCAAGGTTTCTGTCATTTCAGGTGTTTTTATGTCTGCTTCTGCATGTATAGCTTTGCACAGTTTTATCAACTTTACCCCTGATTTTTGTCTCTAGACATCTTATACTATTTTCTTAGGCCTTTCTGTGTAGGCACCCACAATTACTATTGCATGTGCTGGGGACTTATGTTATTGCAGGTTTCTCTACCTGTTTTTTGTTGATTATCTAAGAAGAACAACTGATGTACTGTTCCGAAGAAGATCAGTCACTTAGAATATTTCCTTTCTGTTTTTTCCTTTTCCTTCAGAGGAAGAAGAGCTCAGAAGAGCAGCTCCATCACCTTGTAAGTTGTCTTAGAACTCATGGCAAGATGACTTGTAGTTTTATTTTGATGATCATCTAGAGTCAATTGATTTTATATTATTTGTATCAGAGTCATAAAGTTCAGTTTGAGCAGGAAATGTAACCCTTAACTGGTTATCCCCTTTACATTTCTTGTTTAAACCATTAGTATCTTGGCTTTTAATTGAAATCATGTGTATTCTCTTCAGAAATAATTGGCAAGTGTTAACATTTTCAGATTATATTTTTGGCTACTTATCATAAAGCTTCGGTAAATCAGTGAGTCAAAGGATTATGTCATTCTGATACATCCATGTTAATGCAAATTAGATGAAAACCAAAAAATCTGTTTTGTATAGGGTCACCTGCAGCTAGTCCTCAAAGCAGTGATAACAGTGATACCCATCAGAGTGGAGGCAGCGACATTGAAATGGATGAGCAACTTATTAATAGAACCAAACATGTGCAACAGCGACTTTCAGACACAGAGGTATGAAAACAGTCCCCTCCCCCCCCAAAACAGTTTTTGCATTTTTAGGTTTCTGCCATGTTTATCCTTTGAACTGGGAATATAATCCCAGTTCAGGCCTCTCTTCTATTTTAGGTAGTATTATTGAGGTTGTTTACTTTTCTTTCAGTTTTTTAATTCCCTTTTGTGTTGATCAAAGGAATAAGTCATGGCTGTGGCAGGCTTTTAAAAAGTACAGTGTGTTAATTATTTTTTTTCTTACTAGTTTAAATAGTTATTTAAATCTATTTGTTTCTAAATACAGGAGTCCATGCAGGGAAGTTCTGACGAAACTGCCAACAGTGCTGAAGATGGAAGCAGTGGTCCTGGTAGCAGTAGTGGGCATAGTGATGGATCTAGCAATGAGGTGAATTCTAGCCATGCAAGCCAGTCAGCTGGGAGCCCTGGCAGTGAGGTACAGTCAGAAGACATTGCAGATATTGAAGCCCTTAAAGAAGAAGACGAAGATGACGATCATGGTCATAATCCTCCTAAAAGCAGCTGTGGTACAGATCTTCGGAACAGAAAGTTAGAAAGTCAAGCAGGCATTTGCTTAGGGGATTCCCAAGGCCCATCAGAAAGAAGTGGGACAAGCAATGGAACAGGAAAGGACCTGGTTTTTAACACTGAGTCATTGCCGTCAGTAGATAATCGAATACGGATGCTAGATGCCTGTTCACACTCTGAAGACCCAGAAAATGATATTTCAGGGGAAATGAATGCTGCTCATATAGCACAAGCATCTCAGGAATCTTGTATTACACGCACTGGGGACTTTCTTGGGGAGACTATTGGGAATGAATTATTTAATTGTCGGCAGTTTATTGGTCCACAGCATCATCACCACCACCATCACCACCATCACCATCATGATGGGTAAGTCTGCTTAAAAATAAACAGCATATGGGGCTGGCCTGGTGTGTAATGGTTAAGTTCACGAGTTCCGCTTCAGCAGCCCAGGGTTCGCAGGTTTGGATCTTGGGTGTAGACCTAGCACCACTCGTCAAGCCACACTGTGGTGGCATCCCACATAAAATACAGGAAGATTGGCACAGATGTTAATAATAATCTCCCTCAAGCAAAAAGAGGAAGCATTGGCAAGAGATGTTAGCTCAGAGCCAATCTTCCTCACCAGAAAATAATAAACAGCTTATATTTCCTTTAGGGGAGTAATTATAGCCTGTATTTATTTAATTCCAGTGTGTTGTAGATACATGTCCAGTAGGAATATAGTGTAAACTATAAATGCATACCACAAATATGTAGTTTTTAATTTTCTAGTGGGCACATTTAAAAAGCAAAATGAAACAGGTGAGATTAATTTTCATTACAAATTTTATTTAAAGTGGTAATATCTCAAATATCATCTCCACATGTAATTGATATAAAAAGATATTTCTTTTTTGCATAGTAAGTGTTCAATATTCTGTGTGTATTTTACACTTACAGTACATTTCAATTTAAACTAGCTGCTTTTTACATGTGCAGTGGCCACATGTGGCTAGTGGCCTACATATTGGACAGCAGACATCTAGATCTTCACTTCCTTATAATAATTGCCTAAAAGCAGATATAAGATTGCTTGTAGAAAATTCCATTCAAGTGTGATCACAAAAAGGGAAATTTTATGCACATCCTAATTTTAGGGTATTAATAGGAATGAAGCCTCATCATAAAACTTTTTGATTATCTCTGAAGTATTCCTATGGTATTTAACAGTAAGTGATTCTGAAACTTAATAATGTTTTGATATTGAGCAAGGTACTTAATTTTTCTTTCCATTTTCTCATATATCAAATAAGAACAGTAGTACCTATCTCATGGGTTTATTCTGAGCATTTCATGGGCTAATATGATTGGCACATAATAGTTCAGTAAGTGTTAGCTGCTGTTAATTATTACTGTCATTATAAGTAGTAATATTTTAGTTGATGGTGAGATATGAATATGTGGTTTATCAGGATGAGTTTTCTTAGAGTTGGCAACTTGCCAGTCCTTTCAGAATTTAATATGGTTGTTTGGGAGAACTGCATATCCATGCATTTTGCTACTTTATTTCCTTTTTTTCATTTTACTCTTCTCACTAACCCATATGAATTTAAGGTAATGTTTCTCAGCTTTGGCAATACTGACATTGTGGGCCAGATAATTCTGTGTTTTGAATTTGCAACTATGTGGATGCTTCCCTGTGCATTGTAGGATGTTTAGCAGCATCCCTAGTCTGTATCCCTAGATGCCAGCAGCATCTCCCAAGTTGTGATAACCAAAAGTGTCTCTACACATTGCTGGATCTCCCCAAAAGAGGGGGCCAAAATCACCTCTGATTTAGAGCCACTGGTTTACGGTGTGACATGATAAGTGTGCACATTCCAAGTTCTCCATAGAGCAGCTCATATTGAATACAAAGCTATTAGTTCATAAAACTGAGGTGAAATGTATTCAGTTTGGCACATTGCAGATCTCCTTTACTCTTCACATCCACACCAACCCCCTACCCTGTAAGACTTAATGATTTAATTTTTTATGTTAGCCCTTTCCATATTCTCTGTGTATGGTAGTACTTATGAGTATCTAAATTAATCCTGAACTTTTTTCTTTGTATTATTTTTTATTGTCTTTACATTCTTTTTTTCTTTTCTTTTCTTTTTTTTTTTTCTTTTTGAGGAAGATTAGCCCTGAGCTAACTACTGCCAGTCCTCCTCTTTTTGCTGAGGAAGACTGGCCCTGAGCTAACATCCGTGCCCATCTTCCTCTACTTTATATGTGGGACGCCTACCACAGCATGGCATGCCAAGCGGTGCCGTGTCCACACCCAGGATCCGAACTGGCGAACCCTGGGCCACTGAGAAGTGGAATGTGCACACTTAACCGCTGCGCCACCGGGCCAGCCCCTGTCTTTACATTTTTAGAGCACCCAATATAGTACATTTTAGAAGTGAGTGCTTAACAAGTGTTTATTGAGTTAAAAGTTTCCCAATTAATTTTAACTGCATCTAGATTGCAGCCTTAAATTCAAGTGTTTTCGTAGTAGCTACCTCGTTTGATCATGAGGTTATATGAATAAATGTAAACAAATTTTAAGGTTTCACGTTGTGATTTGACTTTGTATGGTAATTATGTAACAGTAAGTTTACTGATCTTCCCTAAAATTATTCTCTTTTAATTATTTTAGTGAAGTGTGTTGATGGGCTGAAGAATATGTGGGTATATTATGTAGTTTTGACATTGTGGGCTTTTTAGTTTTTGTAAAGTTCTTGATATTTAATATTGTTAAAAAACAATTGTAGGAGCTGGCCCTGTGGCATAGTGGTTAAGTCTGGCATGCTCTGCTTTGGCAGCCTGGGTTCTTGGTTTTGGATTTCAGGTGCAGACCTACACAGCATCAACCATGCTGTGGCAGCAACCCACATACATAATAGAGGAAGACTGCCACAGCTGTTAGCTCAGGGAGAATGTTCCTCGGCAAAAAAAAAAAAACCCCCAAAAATGTAGCTTTGTTCTTCAGTGTATTGTAACTTGTGCCAGATGTTTTTGAGAGAGATTTTTGTGATTCACAAAGTGTGTTTAAATGTGTAATTACTAACTTTCTGCTCTTCTCTGTGTTACAGGCACATGGTCGATGATATGCTAAGTGCAGATGATGTCAGTTGCAGTAGCTCCCAGGTCAGTGCAAAATCAGAAAAAAACATGGCTGATTTTGATGGTGAAGAATCTGGTTGTGAAGAGGAGCTAGTTCAGATTAATTCACATGCAGAGCTAACATCTCATCTCCAACAACATCTTCCCAATTTAGCATCTATTTACCATGAACATCTTAGTCAAGGTAAGGTTCTGTAGTAAGTAAAAGATCTTACTTTCTTTAAAACAGGAATAATCTATATTACATTATTAAAAGGAATCTACAGTTATGATACTTAAATGTTTTTGCCAAATAACTTTCATATGGTAGTTTTCTTTCTAAGGGAATGAAATTATGAATACTCCATCATAAAGATAAAGACTGTAGTTCCATCAAGAAATATTTAGTTAGGAAAGGAAATATATAATAGTAATACATATAAAAGTTATAGCTTTGTATTTTAGAGAAATCTTAGGACCTAAAAGTAGGAGATTACGCAGGATACATATTGTATGATTCCATTTATATAAAATGGCTAGGATAGCCAAATTTGTAGAGATAGAAAGTCAATTAGTGGTTGTCTGTGGCTAGGGAGGATTGAGGAGACATACGTGACTGCTAAATGGCAGTTGGAGTGATGAAAACATTAAAAATATGGTGGTTCTAATCACTCTAAATCAATCTAAAAAAAGTAATAGGACATGACCACACTTGGGAGAATGCAGGTCAGAGGAGGTTAAAGAGTTGTAGAAGAAAAAGGAAGAATTGGAGGAAAATTAAGAGGGGAAAACAATTTAAAGTTGGCAATTTAAAGGTTTATATTCAAATTCTTGCTTGGTTAGGTGCCATCAGCACCTTCTAGCCTAGGAAATGGGTTTTTGGATGCCAGTGCATTACAAACTAAGTAAATCTGATGGATTAGATTTATGTTAAAAGGCCATGGTCAGACTTGGAGACACGACTTGTGGACCTTGGCAACAACTTAGTGATTTCAAAACTTTGTTGTACATAATCTAGATAAAGTTACCTTGACTTTTTTATTGTTGTGTTATTTCAGTTGCTTGGAAGTGAATAGGTTAAGATTGAGATCAGTTGAATTTGATACCGTATTTATTAAATTTTCACCATTCTTCTGTTCTTATCCCACTTTGCTTTTATTCAGTATTGTATGTATTTTTTTACTATATAAAGTTAGAAATTGAGCAAAATTATTAAATGTATTAATGCTCTTCAAATCTACCTTTTATTGCTATGTATTTAATGCTATAAAGAACTCTTTCAACACCGTAAGACAGACAATCCAATTTAAAAATGAGCAGAAGATTTTTTAATGCATAAAAAGATATAGAAATGGTCAATAAATACATGAAAAGATGCTCAGTACCTCTAGTCATCTGGGAAATGAAAATAAAACCATGGTGCGATACTGTACACCTACTAGAATGGGTAAAATTAAGGACTAGTGATATCAAATGACTCTATGAATGTAGAGCAACTAGAACTCTCATACCTTGCTGTCGAGGAGTATAAAATAGTACAGCCCTTTTGGAGAAGTGTTTTATCAGTTTCTTATAAAATTAAACGTGTACCAACCATATGACCCAGCAATTCCTGTTCTAGGTTTACATAAGAGAACTGAAAACGTGTCCACAAAAAGATTTGTACATGAATGTTCATACCTGCTTCATTCTTAAGAACCTCAACTGGAAATTAACTGGTAGATAAACAAATTGTGGTGTATTCACATAGTGGAATACTACTCATCAACAAAAAGGAAAGAACTGATACATGTAACACCACAGATGAATATAAAAAAAATCATTCTAAGCAAATGAACCTAGAAAGAATATACATACTTATATCATTTATATGAATGTCTAGAATATTAAAAAATAATTTATAATGGTTTAAATCCACTCAAGGATTACCAAAGGTTTGGTGGTGGGGATTGATTATAAAGGATCACAAGGGAACTTTTTGGTGTGATATAAATGTTCTGTGTCTTGTTTATGTATTATGTTATATTTTAATAAGATTAATTTTAAAGAGTAAATACAGAAACATCCCATCTCCCCCCGCAAAAACCCCCAAAACACAAGCCACAGACGGGGAGAAGTATTTGCAAATCATGTCTAATAAAGGGCTTGTATCCAGAATATATAAAAACTTTCACAACTCAGTAGTAAGACAACTTAATTTAAAAGTGGGAAATGATTTATATCACCAAGCAAGGTACACCAATGGCTAATAAGCACATGAAAAGGTGCTCAGCATTATTAGTCATTAGGGAAACGCAAATTAAAAATCACTGTGAGATTCTACTGCATACCTATTAGAATGGCTAAAATGAAAAAGAGTAACCATACTGATGTGTTGTGGAGGATGTGGAGGAATAGGAATTGATACTCTGATATACTGCTGGTGGGGATTTAAGATGGGACAGCTACTTTGGAAAATAGTGTGGCAGTTTCTTCAAATGTTAAACATGCATTTACCTTATGACCCAACAATTCACTAAGTATTTACTCGAGAAAGGAAAGCATATATCCATATAAAGACTTGTCAGAGAAGTTTTTATGGCAGCATTATTCATATTAGCCCCAAACTGGAAACTATCCAAATGTCCATTAACTGGTGAATGTATAAACAAAATGGAGTATTTCCACATAATGGAATATTATTCTGTAATTAAAAGGAACACTATTGTTATGTGCTTCAACATGAATGAACCTCAAAAACTATTTTGCTAAGTAAACAAACTCAGACGTAAGACTATACATATTGTGTGATTCCAGTTACATGAAATTTCTAGAAAAGGTAATTTATGGGGATGGAAAAACAGACTAGGACTGGGGAATGTGTTAGGGGATAATTGTAATTAGGTATGAGGGAATGTTTTAGGTTGGTAAAATTTTTCTACAACTGTATCGTGATGGTTGCACAATTCTCACTTTAATGAAATCAATGTATGTGTACAATTCAATAGGAAAATTTCATGGTAATGCTGTTAAAAAAGACAAGCATTTTTCCGTAATATTACGGAACTAGTGGGAATTTATTTAGCCTGGCACTCAGAAAGTCTGAATTATTATAATAGAACCTTTGAACTTAATTGAATGTTTTGGGTAAATCATCTCTAATAAAAAAAAAATTTTAATGTAGGGATATAAAACACTATGCAGAAGGTCATTTAGAGGAATGTTCCTTGGCTGTAGAGTTATTTCAAATAAATTGTCTTCTTTATGCTTAATTTGGATTTCAGGTATTTATATACAGTTCTTTTGACAAGTGAAAAATATTAAATGGTCATACTTATTACAATAGTGATGAGACTATGAAAAGAAAACTCTTTATTTCACTTTAGTCTTGTCAAACTGTAAACAATACTATTCTTTGCTGTTTATAAAGCAACTATTGTGTTAATCTTTTATTGTTTTTATTCTGTGATGTAAGAAGAGATTTATTGTTATAATTTACTTTGGATTTGTTAACATTGCGAATGCTGTAGTTCACTTCACAATTTCACTCAACTGCGTTCCTCTATAGTGTGTTATATTTTGCCCCTGTAGGACCTGCAGTTCATAAACATCAATTCAACAGTAATGCTGTGACAGACATTAATTTGGATAACGTTTGCAAGAAAGGAAACACTTTGTTGTGGGATATAGTCCAAGATGATGATGCAGTAAGTTATTTAATAGAGCCAAAAGACTACAAAATCATAGTAAGATGCAATCAGGACAAACAGTAACTTTATATATATTTTTTGTAGGTTAATCTTTCTGAAGGATTGATAAATGAGGCAGAGAAGCTTCTCTGTTCCTTAGTATGTTGGTTTACGGATAGACAGATTCGAATGAGATTCATTGAAGGTTGCCTTGAAAATTTAGGAAATAACAGGTAAATAAGAATTTTAAAATTATTTATGCAGTAGTCAAAGTTCATTTTGTGTATTGTTATTGACTAGGTGTGGTGGATTCATAGGATTTAATGCACCGTTATCAACGTATTTTTTTAGTAATTGTGGTTTTCATTTTAAGTTTAAAGACTTTTCTCTCACAGGGTTCATATTTTATCACTCAGTCTTGCTTTTTTCAGCACTCTTGATTAGATCTCCAAAAGAAACAAAGGAATAATAATGTATTCTCTTCTTGACTCTGGGAGCATAGTGGTGATTACTCTGTTTTTGTATTATAGTTAAATGTTTTTGAACTGTGTCATATTATATGTAAAAGAAGCTAAATAAGATAGCGAAGTTAAACTTAACCTGAAATATAAACATTTTGATAATGACATTGTTCTTCCATCTGGATGAATCTTTTATGTCTTCTGTAGTGCATAAAGAATTAGATTGGTGTTTTTTCTCTAGTTTGAATTCTGCCATGTATTTATATCCTTCTTATTGGGGCTCAAGTGATTACTTACAAGTTTCTTGATTTTCACTTCTGTTCCATTGGTACAATTTCAGATTTCCCTTGTCTTATATTGCTTTGGTGATATTCCTTCATTCTCTGCTGTACTGAATTCAGTTACTAATACAATATAGTATGTTATATTATGTGTTTTCAGCTTACCTTTGCCCAGGCCTGATTTAAAATCTAATTTTATCAAATATTTAAGTGCTTCAAAATATTTTTTTTACCTACTTAGAAAAAGTATGTACGATATTTTATTTTCTACATTTGGTTTTTAAAGGGCTATCATTTGAACGATTACAGTAGAAAAATTGCTTGTTCGTGTATGTATAAGAAACCACTAACAGACCTTTGTTAGTGGATCAGTTGCCTCTTTTCCCATAGGTTTAAAAGAAATGCTTTTAATGGCTGGATGGTATTTCATCATTTACAAAGGTATTACAGCAGTTAATTTTGAAATGTTAATTGTCTATTAAAAGTCTTTGTGAAACCACTGAACAGTTTTCTTAAAGCTATTGTATCAATTTATATTTCCCATATGTGGATCTGCATATCCTACGATCTAGTAATTCCACTGCTAAGTATGTGCCTTAAGGAAATACATCCAGATGGTCACCAAAAGACACATTCAAGAATGTTCATAGCAGCACTATTCAAAATAATTAAATATTCTTTGTGTAGTTATCCAAATACCAAAAAAGAGTAGAAAGGAAAATTAAATTGTGAACTGTTTGTTGATTGAAATAGTATAGAGCAATAACAGTGAATGAATTGAAACTGCACAGAACAGTGTGGATGAATCTCATGAACATAACGTTGAGTGAAAGAACCCAGATATAAGAGAATATATCTATTATTCTATTTATATAGAGTTTAAAAACAGGAGAACTGTTGTATTTAATTGTCACGATAATGGTTACTCTTGGGTTGTTAGTGACTGGAAGGGGGCACAATGAAAGTTTCTGGTATGCTGGTAATGAATTATTTCTAGATATGGGTGCTGGTTGCATAGGTATGTTCACCTCCTAATATTTTGAACTGTCACTTAGATTTATACGTTTTTGTATGTGATACTTCAATAAGAAAAAAATTGTGAAAGATGAAATATGTAACCTGTAAGAGTCCTGTTTTCAAATATTAGATAGTGATATGGGCATAGACTCACAGGCCCATCTGTTAAAAAGATTGCAGGCAATATGTGAGACTGTAAGATGGTTATTTCTAGAAGGTTGAGTTATCTTTTTTCTTTATGCTGTTTTCCAATTTTTCAAAAGTGAGCATATATTTCTTTTATAAGTAGGGGAACTTAAAAGAGACGAAAGGAAAAATCGGTGTGTAAAATGGAAAATTGTCACTCTGGTTTTTTCATTGTTTTAAGTTGCCCAACCCCAAATGACTTGAAGATGAAGCATTTTTCATTTATTTGAGGCAATTCCTGTATCTTAACCATAGTTACTTAATGGTGTATTGAACCTAGCCATGTATATATAACATAACTATTATGTTGAGGTTAATTTTGCCCTCAAACTTCATTCTTCAGAGGGCTGCTGTATAATGCTAGTCTTCCTGTGAATGACATTAGTCATGTGTGTTAGTACTTAGAGCATAGTGACATTTTCAGCCTGTGAAATATGCAACCCATCCAATGTATACCAGCTGAACTTACTGAAGTTGTTGTGCAAATTGAAAAAAAAAATTAGTTTTGAACACATTTTTAAAATCATTAGTCTGGGTTTCTTGATAAGAGTGATCTCCGCCCGTGTCCCCCCTCCCGCCCCCCAGTGTCACTGTCAGGAGATATTTTTGGTTGTCACAATAATGACAAGGATTGGAGGTGTTACTACAGGTCAGGGATGCTTCTAAACATCCCTCAATGAAGAGGACAGCTCCCTACAATAAAGAATTATCTGGCCCAAAATGTCAGTAATGACACCAGAGTTTGAGAAATCCTGTTTTGCATGTAAGAATGCTTTCTCCAAACCTACCCCCCTGAGTTTACCATCACAGTAAGAAAGGAATGTTGCACAAGAGCGCTTATATTAATAGGAAAGCTCTTCCTTATGTTGAGACAAATGAGCCACTGCAACCTTAACTCATTTATCATTTTCCTGACATTTGACAAAAAAACAGAGGTTTACTTCTTGATGATGTCTTACATACTTGAGGTTTTATGTTTCCTTATTTTCTCTATGCAACTTTTTCATTTTCTTTGCAGTTTCTCACTTGCCATGTCAGTATTTTTTGTTTGTTTTTGCTTTTCTATGGCCATATTCCAATTCATTTTATAAAATAAACTTAGCTTTTTTTGAGCACTGTTTTGTGCTCCTTACTTCTCAGGAAGCATGGAGATTTGAAAAAGAAAATTAAAGTCTTGCATAAATTGCCCATAATTTTACCATTTATACGGATGACTGTAAATACTTTTTAAAAATGCTTGCGTATTCTCTCTTTGTGATATGCAGTGTGTGCTTTGTGCATGTTTAGCTTTAGGCAGATTGTTTTATAAGGCACATGTAATGTTTCGGCATTGTAGAAAGTTTAGAGTTACACATAAAAACACATGGTAGACTGGTTTGCAGAATGTTGTTGTAAAGTGAGAGCATGAGGCAGACAGTAGCTCCCACAATGAAAAGTCCATTACTTTTCACCTTGATTGATGTTTGTTACCAAGGATGAGTGAGATAAGACTGCTGTCCAGTGAGTAGGTGGAAGTAGGGGTCGGGTTATAATCAGCCCTTTTGGTATTTTATGTTTACTAGAAGGCAGGTCCACGTCCTGTGCCTAGGCACCCCCTGAAATTCTGTGGCCTCCTAAGAAGTGAATTTAGACGACTCCTGGGAACCTGTCCAGTGTGCTGTTTTGTGCCATTCTTGATCCTCTGTAGATGCTTAAATCCATGTGTTCAGATTTTTTGCCTTTGTATACAAAAGATTTTTTGAGTATAATGGTCACATGTATCAGGGATCCTGTTTGCATAAATAATGGTTCATATCATTAAGAAATGGATGCTACCATATACTTTATTTGTTTTGTTTTTCCTCAGTAAATACTGTATTATATACAGCATTTCATGTCAACTTTTGGTATATACTCTAATTTATAATGACGTTTTGTAGAACACATCAGTCTTCTTAAAATGTGGAGTCCACGATTAGGAAAAGAATGTCCAAATGTGACTTTGTGAAGACCACCAGTAAATGTGTCCATTCTACCAAGGCAACATAAAGTTACATTGGTAATTCTAATAGAAACATCACACTATTCCCTAGTAATAAGCTTCTGGTTACAACAAAAACTCTTAGAATCAAGCAAAGAACTAGGGCAGTTTACTGTAATAGCATTTTCCTTGAGTCTAAAATTAGTATCTTGTTATTCTGGATCATTGAACCTTTTATCCAAACACATTGTTGCCTAGGATTATGTGTTTTGGTATTTGAAATTTTCACTCTTGGAAGAATTTGTGAAATGTAAGTTTGAATATATAACAATCTTTTTTAATATTGATTTTTGTTAAGGTGTATCAGCAATCAAAACTTGGGGCAAAAAAGTTGATAAATCAGTGTGACACCTCGTAGGTGTTATAGGTGAAATACTGCAGCATAATTTCAGTTGGAACAAGTTGATAGGTTGGATCTTGTGAAGTTTCCTTTACCATTGAAGTATAAATTATTGTCACCAAGGAAATAAATTATCTTCCCCATTTTGTATATATGTTATTAATTTCAGTCTGTAAGCAATACTTTGTATCATTTTTCCTTTTAAATTTATCAGTTTAAATAAAATGTTCTGGTGTTTTGAGATCACTTTGAATCTGGATTTGGTCATTTCTTATAAAGTATTCTTAAATTTATAGCACTTAAAATGTGTGTCTTCTGTGTTCTTTGAACTTTTTTAAGAAGAAAAATTTGGAGTTTTTCTGATAATCTTAGGAAAAACTTTTAAAAAATATTTTAGTCATTAAGATGTAATCATTCCTTGAAAATTTAGTGTTTATATTATAAATTGTGGAGAAAAGCATTCTCCTTAGTGTAGGAGTAGAGGCAAGATGAGTCCCATTTGTACATTCTTATTTTTGGTTCCTCTTTTAGATGAATCCACACCATTATTTGTTCAATTCAGCCAGTATTCACTTAATGTCTGGCTTCCTATTCTGTAATGTCAAGCATCAGATGCTTGCTTCTACATTACATTTTATAAAATGGAAAACATGTTTATTGCAGAAAATCTGGGAAGTAAATTTAAACAATTTAGACTCAACACCAGTGACTGCAAAAGTGATAATATTTTCAGGAAATATACAACTATTGCCCACTATAAGACTTGACATAGTTTCTTCTTAATGGAAATAAGATATAGTATCTCTTTCTAGTCTTTGTTTCTTTATATTTTAGAACCATTGTTGAAATCACACTAGGCAAACAATTTTGAAATTTGCTTTTGTGAAATTTGCTTTTTTAGATGAAATTTTTCTATATTCTTTTTTCTTTGTGATGTCTCTTACTGATTTCATGCTTGTAAAGCCCTAGATCAAGTTAATATATATCTATTTGTTCAAGTTAATATTTATTCTAGTTTTTTTAAAAAGATTGGCACCTGAGCTAACAACTGTTGCCAGTCTTTTCTTTTTTTCCTGCTGTTTCTCCCCAAATACCGCCCCCCCCCCGCCAGTATATAGTTGTATATTTTAGTTGTGGGTCCTTCTAGTTGTGGCAAGTGGGATACCGCCTCAACATGGCCTAATGAGTGGTGCCATGTCCACGCCCAGGATCTGAACTGGCAAAACCCTGGGCCGCCGAAGTGCAGCACGCGAACTTAACCACTCCGCCACAGGGCCAGCCCCTCATTCTGGTTTTTTATGTCTTAATTTTTAGGAAAAACTCCACTAATGTTTCGAAATTTTGACAAAGGATTTTAGATAAAGAATCTAAAATTGATTCCCCCTGATCCTCCATGATCCATTTTCCGAAGCACCGTTACTGTGCAGCTTGTTAAAAAATATTTAAAATTTTAATATTTAAAAGTATATTTGAAAAATTTAGATGTTTTTGAATATTTAAAGTATGTTTACTTTGCACTCACTGGATATCAGGCCCTTAATGTCTCTATTACTTCACTGTATACTGCTTAGTCTATGCTAATGTGGTTTTGATCCTTTAGGATTGTACTAACATGCTGGATTTTTTGTCATCTGGTAGTAGATTTTTCTGTCCTCATCCTTCATGATTGTTAGATAGCATTTTACACTGTTGATTTTTCTCCTTCCTTGAAAATCTTGCCTTTAAGTTCTTTGCTGGTTCATTATTTAGTCAAATACATATTTAGCGTGTACCATATGCAGGGATTTTTAATGAATAAGACAGTTTTTGCTCCCATCGAGCACATTCTACTGGTAGACACGTTAAATAAAGGAATATTTGTTAAGTGATGATGAATGAAGAGAAATTGGGAGGGAATCAAAAGGAATAGAGAGAGGTTACTGGGGCAGTGGAAGGGTGTTATTTAATATAGAGTTGTCAGGGTCATCCTTTCTGTTGACAGTTGAGGAAACCTAAATGAAGTTGAGGGAAGGAGTTCTGCAGATATATAGGTAAAGAGCATCCAAGTAGAGGCATAGCAAAGGCCCTGAGGCAGGAAAGTGCTCGTGTGTGTTGAAGGGATAGCAAAGAGGAAGATTGGAAGGAAATTAAGTTAGACTGATAGGAGGAATGGGGACAGGTCACACAGGGCTTTGTAGTCCAAATTAAGTACTTTGGGTTTTGTTCAGAAACAAGTTGTTTTCTAATTTTTCCTACTCAGTATTCACCACTGTTTCCCTCCCACTCAGGAGTACAACCCTGTGTTCTGATATTCCTGGTGCTCTTCTCAAAAAGAGTAAGCAGTTTGGAGAGACTTACCTGTATACCATACTTGTGGGTAGAGCACCAACTTTCCTCTTTTTAAAAATTCTCTTATGAAGCAATATTGGCTCCTGAGTTTAAAAAAAGACATTGAGTAACTCATTAGAATTTGTCTTGCTTCTTTCGAGGCTCATGCAGCCAACCTCCTTGCCTTCTAAGACTTGAGTTATTTGTATGTCAGTACCTTCCCTATACCCGTTCTTTTCAGAAGATAGGCATACTCAGATCTGGTTGAAGTTTTAGAGTGATTTCCTGTCCCTTTTTTGCTCCTTCATACTTGAGGTGTATATGTGGTGAGCTTCCATTATTAACATGGCTCATAATGCAATGATTCTCAACTTGGGTGCAGATCATTAATATTAAGTGAGAATTAGGGAGAAAGTGATAATTTGTGTAGTTTGAAAAAAGCTCTCTACATTATTGCTGCTCAGAATGTAGTCCACAAACCAGCACTTTTTCATTTGTGTCCTTGTTAGAAATACAAAATTGCTGAACCTACCTCAGACCTACCTAACCATAATTTGCATTTTAACAGAATTCCCCCAGGTGAATCAAGTGCAGGTTAAACTTTGAGAAGGCCTGGTCTAGATAATTTACCTAAGCTGCTGCTCCTTATTTTCCTTGGTTAAATCCTCAGAAGCACCCATAACTTATTAAAGAACACTTTTATGAAAAAAATTTACCTTTAAATGCTCTTCACTTGCTTTTATACTCAGATATTTATAATGTATTTTACTTTAAAAGTCTTGGGTTGGAATTTCAGATCTTAGATTTCTTGCCTCAATGAATAAAATAAATTTATACTTTAGAAAAAAAATTTTAATGTTTGCATAAGAAATATAATTGTAAAGTTCATTAAATCCTTTTATTTAAGATTTTAAATCTGAATTTCTATAAAAAGCTAGAATTACTGATAGTTATTGAATAAAATAATTTTAACTACTCTTTGTTTTTGCTCTTTCAGATCAGTAGTAATTTCACTTCGTCTTCTTCCAAAACTGTTTGGTACTTTTCAGCAGTTTGGGAGCAGTTATGACACACATTGGATTACAATGTAAGTAAATGAAAGAAACAAAAGTATTCATTTTAGAGAGATTTTTTCCTTCAAACCATAGTTATCAAGCAAAGTTTTGAATAACTTACTAGCTTTTATTCTGCACCAAGAAAATTTGAGTTTCATGTGTTTCAGATGTTTTCTAGATTTCTCAGAGTGCTATCTCTGCTGCTTAGCCCCATGGGGATTATATCCCCATCACCAGGAAAATCTGACTTTTGTATTCTTTGTAGTTTCAGAAAAATATCGTAGAAATTAATGCTCTAAGTTTCAGGTAAAGATTTTTAGTATATCTGGCCATAGCAAAGCTTCATCTCCTGATGAAGATCCACAGTAAAATAAACATTGTAGGATGCCTTTAATATTTTTCCGTTACTAGTAATTGGTTCTAGACATTACGTTAGGGGTAATCTTGACTCCATCTATTACTCCTTTACATTTATAGAGAATTTATGATTAATGAATGTTAGAGTTCTTTCAAGGTTACTAGTTTTATGTGAAATTGATTCAATTTTTGGTAATATTCTAGAGAAAACTGGCTATCACCATCATTTCCTTAAGCTCTAAGAATGTGTTATGTGCTTTATTCAAAAAACTTTTGGAGTGATTCCAGAGACATTTAAATTTTAGGAAATATTAGACCTGTTGAAGGATTCATTTGTGAGGTCACACAGGATGGCTTTTTACCTAATTCCTTCTCAAATCTAAAATTAAATGATGAGAGCACTTGTTTGTTTTCACCATTTAAAAAATTCTTGGAAGTCTGTACTATGGTTCTAAGTAGGATGAAGTTAGTTATCCTGAGTTATAGCCCTTGCTGTTTATTGCTCTTTTAAAGAGGATCTGTTTAACCCGAACCTCTATTATCTTTTTAAAAGCATGTTAGAAAGTCTCTCTTTTTGGTTAATGTTACAGTGTGACTCTAGTGACAGTTCCATTTGTGAGTGCAAGAAAGGTCCCTGAGATTCTAAACAGGGGGGTAGGGGAAAGCATTTAGCATCCTTTAAGTATAAATAGAGTTAATCTTATTTCCTTGACTCTTCTCATGATTTTTAAATGGCTGAATTGCAAAATTCTAATGTTTTAAAGGGATTCACCTGTTGCTAACTTGGGCAAGTTGGTGACATTCTGTAGCCATTTGAGTTAAGGAGTAACTAACTTATTATAGAAGTGGCAAACTGAATATTCAGTTACTTATCAAGTACTTGAACCTAAGTATATTGAGTTGAAACTCTTTTATTTCCGTAAATTTGATGTAAATAAGATCAGTTAGTTGCAGTTCACATGGTTTCCAACATGAGACTGGTATCCTAAATCTCATCAAGAGGATCACTTAGAAGAACTCTGAGCTCCTATGGTTAGTTGGCATCAATAATAAAAAACTTCCACGTATTGTGAATCTATTATGTGCAGCAGCACTCAACAAGTCAACATTTGGTACATATTATCTCTTAAACTCTTATGGCCCATATTTTAAAATTGGAAATTGTTATCCCTGATCCTCTTGGTAAGTCTTCAGATAACCAGTAAACAGACTTCAAGAGGTTAGGTTACTTGCCCAAAGCCTTGCAGCAAGTGTATTGGAACTGGTTTCAAGCTTAAGTCTTACTGAACATTTTCTTTCTACCACTTGCTCTTCATTAAGTGATTGGCGAGGCGAGAGTAACTTATTTTGGAAAGAGGGCTATAGCAAAAACATGATGTAAGTTACATTAGACGTTTTGGGATTTTAATACATCTGTACATTATAGCAGATGATTTGCTAGAAAGTCTTGTATGAAATAGATTGTTAGGAAAATTTATGGACTCTAGGATCTCTGATTGTATTTATCACTTTTTTATTCTAGTGTTTCTAGGTTATTTTGGAACTTAATACTTGAATGTTTTTTTGATTTAAAAACTTGTTAAAAACAAATTATAAGGACCCACAACTAAAGTATACAACTCTGTACCAGGGAGCTTTGGGGAGAAAAAGGAAAAATAAAAAAATAAAAAACCCACAAATTATTGACAGTAAAAAAAGAAAAACTGATTGATTCAGTAAGTTTATACTGTATGTGTTCTATGTGCCAGGCACTCTGCTCAGTTCTGCTAAATAATTACCAAGGCACACAGTCCATTCCTATATGGACTGTATCATACTATTTTTGGTATTAACTTATATTAGTCATTTATAATTAGCATTCTGCCAGACATTTTATCCCCTGCACAGGGATAAACTTGAGATCAAAAAACAGTGGTTCTTTAAATTCATAAAAATTAAGGTCGATTGCTTTATATCTTTTCACAATTCAAATATAAATAGAGCTTGTAAGTTTTGATAATTGAAAGATTTTGCATTTGAAGATTTTTTTTAGATATACAGTTTTTTCCTTCCTAGAATAGATTTATTCTCTTACTCATGCCTTTAAAATTATTTCTTCTTTCAATTGGGTCAGGTGGGCAGAAAAAGAACTGAACATGATGAAGCTTTTCTTTGATAATTTGGTATACTATATTCAAGCTGTAAGAGAAGGAAGACAAAAACATGCACTGTAAGTATCCTTTAACTAGCTTAGTTATGTTTAAGTGTTGATTGTCTTTCCTCCAAGATAATTTTCCAGTGTTCCTACTCTTTTTCTTTCAATGGTGATAAATATAATGAAAATTTTAGTTGTAAAAATTTTAAGAGATAGAAAGACTCTTTTTAAGTTGAAGAATTTTACAAGGTTATTTTTATAATTCTTTAGCTTAGAGAAATGTAGGTTATATAACTTTCAGGGGCTGGTTAGCCTTCACTGTTGAGTTCTGTTCAAAGTCATCGTTTTCAGGGATCAAAAGTATATATTTTTTCAGAAATCATCAATATCCTTGTCTTCTTTCTTTCTTTTTTTTTTTTGAGGAAGATCAGCCCTGAGCTAACATCTACTGCCAATCCTCCTCTTTTTGCTGAGGAAGACTGGCCGTGAGCTAACATCCATGCCCATCTTCCTCTACTGTATATGTGGGACACCTCCCACAGCCTGGCTTTGCAAGCAGTGCCATGTCCGCACCCAGGATCTGAACCGGCGAATCCCGGGCTGCCAAAGCAGAACATGCACACTTAACTGCTGCACCACCAGGCCCGCCCCCTTGCCTTCTTATTAGGCCATTGATTCTAAAATTTTTAAATATTCGAAACAAATAGATTTAACATATAGTTAATTTAAAACCTTTTCCTTTATTATTATAATTGGATTCTAGTATTAGAAAGTTTAGAATACATATGGAAAATTTAAAAACTGTGATGATGTAACTGGTTAATATTTCATCATCGAAAATATTTTAAAAATTAGCAAGTGACTTTGGATAAGAATTGGTAGAAATTGGTTAGTGGTATAGCTGTGTTTAAAGCTTCTTATAGGGAGATACCTGCATAGAAGGAAACATGTAAAATTCAGAAGTTTTCTGCTTGTGAGTTAATAATTTGTGGGCTCTATGGCTGAGTTGAGGAAACCAGATCATTGTCAGTATCAGCATGTCAGTGAATAAGAGAAGTAGCCACAGCGATTATTGTGAAAATACCCACATAGCAAACTTCCACATAGGTGGAAATTGAGTAGACTGTAGGAGTGTTCAGAGAAGCAATAGACCTTTAGGCATGTTTATTCACCTTCAAAAAAAATGAATTCGCTCATTTTTCCCCAAAAGTCAGTTCTTTCTCCAGATTTTACTATGTCCTTCAGAGTACACCCATCCTCCCAGTCACCTAAAACTTGGTGACTTGGAGCCTTTTTTATATTTTTTATTTCCAAACATGAATAATAATGATGGTGATGATTAAAAACAGCCAGTGTTCATTGATACTATGTGCCAGATACCATTTAAGTATTAGGTATTACTTGAAGATACACAACAACCCATTTGAGGTAGGCAGTCTCATTTTAGAAATGAGAACGTTTAAGCTATGAGCTGATAAATAACTTGCCTAAAATCACACGTTTTATAAATAGTGGAGCCAGGGTTTCTATAATTCATTTTATAAACACACATTTTATAAACAGTGGAGCAGTCTCTTTTCTGTAATTCATATTCTTGAGTGCTGCATTATACCGTTGACAGTCTCTAGTTATCTCAGTGCTACAATATATCCCATGTCTTTCCGCAAGTTGACATTCTTACCAACACTATTCCAGTCCTTTTAACCAACCTCTCTCTATCTTCTTGCCTCACTCTCCCCCATGCTCGTTAATTCCTTATCCTTATTAAATTAGGAAGGCAATATGGTATTGGTGGAAAACACATGGGCTTGAGAATTATACAGACCTGCGTTTAGATTATGAATCTATTGTATTGACCTTATTTAAATTATTTACCTCTCTATTAAATCCAAATTATTTGCCTCATAAGTTTTTTTAAGAATTAAATGAAGTAATTTATTAAGTCGCACCTGGCACATAGTAGATTATCTATAAATTCTACTTACCTGGGTAAAACACACTGTGATACGAAACAAACAAGAAGCTCACCCCTTACGCCATTTAGATTCTTCACTGTATAAAAAATAAATTCTAGTTTCTTCAACCTAGTATTATGTGTCCTCCAGAATCTAAATTCAACAAACCTTTCTTGTTTATTCTTCTGTAGTTTTGTTTTTTTAGACATCCTATTCTATAAGCCTATCAAATTATTTCTGAGATACTTCCTTAAACTTACTCTATTCCATAGCTTTGCTTACAAAAGTTACCACTAGGCAAGATGCATTCTCTTTAAATCCTGTTACAATTTTAGTTGTTCTTCATAGTCTGTGTCCTTCTTTAATTATTCTCCTTGAAGCAGAAGTCGAGGATAATCGTTGCCGCCTGAATCTGAGCATCTCTATACATCCTCTCTAAAAATCATAAGGTCAACAAGGAGTGGAAATAAAACCACACATGACCCACATCTTCAGCATTTTTAGGAGACAGTGAATTCAAGTTACCTGTCAATAGAGAAATAAATACTGAGTTATGAAAGAGCTCCCACCTCAGCCATAAGCCTGTGGGTTTAAAGAGTAGGGATAGGAGGCTTAAGAGAGGGGAGTGGAAGACATAGATGAATCATCCTCAGAAAGAGAAAGTCCACCATTCAATGCCAAGAAATGAACACAGATCTGAGGCATGGTTGTTCACAGCATTGGCTACAGTGAAGTTGCTCACTTTATTAGTGGAACCAGATGTGGAGCCTCCTACAAGCTTTGCTTCTGTGATGAAAAAGATAAATAGAGGAGTGGTGTACTTTGGAGATGAATTTTATACTACCCTAGGGTACACCACGGTATGTTTCCAATCCTCTAATCTCCTTTGCTGCCTGGCATTTTAGGAAAATAAAACCTTAGAACAGAGAGATGCTGTCTGAACTGTTTTGCTGTAACTCCCTTGTTCCTTCAGGCTGTGAAACAGAGTTGTACATGTGCTACTCTTTGTTAAAGCATACTGACTTGATGAGTTTGTGGTACATTATTTTCCATTTTCAGTGGAAATTACTGTAGGCGAGTTCTGAGATTTTCACCTAGGACAAAAAAGATCTTTGTGGCATGAAAGATAACACTTCCTTTTCTAGATGGACGTGTTACATATTTCTTGAAACTCAGCAACTTGAGTTTGTCACTAAAGTTTTGTCCCTGTGGGGGGATTATTTTTGTCTTATATTTCTTGTAATGTCAGAAGCCATGGACAAGCCCATGAGAGTTTTCAGTATTCATGTCATCTTTGTTTTTGCATCCCAGGAAATTTCCTGGTGATTTCAACTGCCATGGGACCCTGAAAGAGCAGAGTCCTTTGAAGTGTGGAGCCAATGGCTCTACTGTGGAAGGTAAAGAAGGGAGGACAAAGGGACTGGATCCATGCCTTCTTGGATTATGGGTCCCTTACTCTGAGATGCAAGTATAGGGGAAGGAAGTATTCAGGAAATAAAGGTACTTTGTAAAGGACAAGACTTCATTCCCATTTTATGTCTGTGACCAGTATCCCGCAGCCTCAGGCTCTGAGAAGTGCAGTAACTTGCTTAAAAGCACAGAACTGTTGGATGATAGAACTTGTATTTGAACCTGTATTCCAAGGCCTCTCCGATAAAATCTCTGTCCTTTTAGTAAAAGGAGAAAAAGCTGCTAAGAGCTGTTCTTGAATTTTATCTGGATAGCATTCTAGACTGTGAGTTGTTTACTATATTTTCCCCTCCCCCAGCCACCTTGGCACATGTAGTTCCATCTTCACAAAGTGCACTGCAACAACATGAAGCAAAAGTTCATTTTTGTTTGCAAACCTTAATGCAAGACAGTAAAAAGCAGCAAAGATATCTAGTAAACTCATTCTTTAGAAAACTTTACTTTAAACTTCAACATTGAATCTAGTGTAAGTTTTGAAACCAGCTTATTTTGGGAAGCTTTTAAAATTTTGCACTTACTTAAATATTATATGAAATTGAATTAAGAGGCTGTTTGATTCTCTGCAAGCAGGGGTAAGATAAGGGCTCAGAGTGGCTGCTGCCTTTGTTGGCAAAGTAATTTTGGCAGTTCACCCGCAACCAGCCTTTTTATTTGTGACAGAGAGATAACTCATGATTGATTTAGTCTCATTTATTGGGTGCTCAGCTGCTTGTGGGTGCTGGATTGTTATGGTATTACAGACACTGTTCAATATGCAGTTCACAGAGTTGCTAAAGGAATCTTAAAATCCATACCTGATCGTTTGCTCCCTCTTCCCCCAACACCCTTCAGTGACTCCCTTTTCTATCCAGAATAATACCAAACTCTTGTGACATTCAGACTGGTCACAATCCAGCTCCTGTCTACCTCTTTAGGTTCATCTCCTATCCTTCCTCCCCCACAGACCAACACTTGATTCTTAAAATGCTTTTCCTTTGCAAATGCCTGCAAACTGAATTCCCAGGGAACCATGTGAAATCACCTACTTAACAAGCTTCCAAAGCAACTCTTACATTAACCATTGAATTTTGTGTACATGAATTAGAAGTGCTTAGATTTAGGGGGCCGGCCTGGTGGTGCAGCAGTTAAGTTCACACATTCTGCTTCTTGGCAGCCTGGGGTTCGCCGGTTCAGATCCCGGGTGCGGATGTGGCACCACTTGGCAAAAGCCATGCTGTGGCCCACGAATAAAGTAGAGGAAGATGGGCATGGATGTTAGCTCACGGCCAGTCTTCCTCAGCAAAAAGAGGAGGATTGGCAGTAGTTAGCTCAGGGCTAATCTTCCTCACAAAAAAAAAAAGTGCTTAGGTTTAAAATCACATTCAAAAATGCCAATTGTGTATTAGCTGTGTTCTTTATGAACTAGATTTATGAAAATGATATTTTCATTAGCGTTTCTTGTTTAAGGAATTGTGTTAATCACTGGAGGGACAGTGATAATGAAACGTAATTTTTAGTTACAGATGTAGTTTTTTATTAACTATTCTCATTAATGTGCATATTGCATAATTTCAAAATGACGTATTTGTTTTATTCCACTCTTGAGTTCTTACACACTTTTTCATCATTTAATTTGAAAGTATGTTTTCTAATAGTTTGCCGACTTTTATAATTTCTTAATGTAAATCTCAGCATTTGGCTTATGACCATTTTGTGTAACCATAGTTATGTAATTAAAATATTTAATAATTGTGAGTTATTAAAATTGAGTTTTACTTCTTTGGTATAATTTAAGATTAGGGCCATTAAATGTTTAAAAATAATTAAGAAATAGGATCTTTCAGTTAATTATTTTAATGATTTTTTAAATATAGGTACAGCCATAGTGCCGAAGTTCAAGTTCGACTTCAGTTCTTGACTTGTGTGTTTTCAACTCTGGGATCACCTGATCACTTCAGTAAGTTTTTCAATTAGCATTTTAATCAATTTTTAGATCTGTATTGACTCTTGTAAGAGTCCAGTCAAAGGTACTCATGCCTTTAGATTCCTATAGTGATTAAATTATCTTCAATACTGAATGTCCTCTCAGTCTTTGTAGCAATATGACTGTTACCCTGATGCATTCTTGCTTCAATCTCTGATAAAGATGGATAAACGATCTTTGCAGTGGATAAATGACTCATTTCAAGAACAAAATATTTGGGACAGAAGAACATATCATGTTAGAGTGACTGTCTTTTGTTACCTTTGGTTATAGAATATTCCTATCACTCCAGTTGAAAACAGCCACTGTCTACATATTATTATCAGGCTAATCTTATCCAAAATTGCTTGGCTTCATAGGTGATAGAGACATTGAGACCCTAGTTTTTCTTAGATGAATCTCAAATTCAATTTCATTAATAGTTAATGTGAAAAAAATAGAAATTGATCTGGAATATTCAGAGTGTGGACTGTATCCAAATCCACATGATAGATGTTCTTACAAGAGGGGAGGGAGCTTGATTTCTTTTGGCCAGGGCTCCCGTGCTCTTGCTAGTCTGTTATCTTTCCTTCTCCACATTCTTCTTTTTCTGTGTTTCCATGTCAACAAACCTCATTTGTTAGGACATTCTCTTTGTTGAGGTATGGTTAATGTAGTCAAACTCATGAGTGTCTTGCTAGTCTGAGAAGTGTCATCATGACTCTTTTTAAGTCCATATGTTTATCTTACTGTTTGTCTATAATTTCTTGAAGATATTTGTAACAAAAGCCGCTAACATCGTGATACCAACAGATTTCGAAAAGAAGATACCTATTTTTGATAGGAAACTTCTGTTTCATGTTTATTAGATCATTTGTCATACCCATTGTGACTGATAACATACAACAAATAAATAATATAAAACAGAAAACACCAATCTTCCACATGGAGAAGTCAAACCAAAACAAATATTGTCAGCATAAATAATTTCACATGACTGTTAAGTTTCATGTTTGTTGAACATAGATTCACATTGAAAAATGTTAACATGTCTTTGCAGTATTTGAGTAATGAATTATTTATTTTGCTCTTCCCATCCCAGTGAACACAGTACAGTCATGCATTGCTTAATGATGGGTATATGTTCTCAGAAATGTACTGTTAGGTGATTTTGTCATTGTGCAAACATCATAGATTGTACTTACACAAACCTAGATGAGATAGCCTACTACACACTTAGGCTATATGGTACTAATCTTATAGACTCACCATCATGTATGTGGTCCATTGTTGTCCAAAATGTTATGCAGTGCATGGCTGTATGGATTCTGTGTTGTATATGCTTATGGTAGCTATTGTCCAGATAGAATCAAATGGAAAACTTTGCTTCTCCCACATCAGAATTATGCTTCTCTTACTGACACAATTCCTGTCAGGTATAATGTGGTCACTCCAGAGTTATATTTGAGAATACTGATTTTCAGTATACCAATAACTATTATCTTTTCTCTTTTTTTTGATGAGGAAGATTTGCTCTGAGCTAACGTCTGTTGCCAATCTTTCTCCTTTTGCTAAAGGAAGATTATACCTGAGCTAACATTTGTGTCAGTCTTCCTCTTTTGTATGTGGGTTGCCGCCACAGCATGGCTTGATGAGTGATGTAGGTCCTCACCAGGGATCCGAACCTGCAAACCCCGAGCCACCGAAGCAGAGTGCACCAGACTTAACCACTATGTCATGGGACCGGCCTCCATATCTGTTCTTTTTAAAAACTTGAAACAACAACAAAAGCTTATACATTGCCTATTGAATGTGGATTGGTGATTCAGCCATTTATGAATACATTTCTGTTTTATCATATAGTTTATTGTAATTTACCTGGACACCTTTTTTTGTAGGACAACTATTTTCTTCGCTTATCTCTCTTCTTAATTAATTAATGTGTTTAAGTTATAATGTACAGTAAAGGTTACTTCTGGTTTGGTTTTTGGAAAAGTTGAGAACTTTTCTGTTTCCTTTTATTTATTTATGTGTTTGTTGTTTTTATCTTTTATTTATAAGAGAGATCATATGGTATTTGACTTTCTCCCTGTGACTTGTTGCACATAGCATAATACCCCCAAGGTCCATCCATGTTGTCACAAATGGCCAGATTTCATCATTTCTTATGGCTGAGTACTATTCCATTGTGTATATATACCACATCTTCTTTATCCATTCATCCCTTAATGGGCATCTAGGTTGCTTCCAATTTTCGGCTATTTTGAACAATGCTCCAGTGAACATTGGAGTGAATATATCTTTATGCATTTGTGTTTTCAAGTTCTTTGGATAAAAATAGCTGGATCCTATGGTAGCTCTATTCTTAATTTTTTGAGGACTCTCCATACTGTTTTCCCTAGTAGCTACACCAGTTTGCACTCACACAAGCAGTGTATGAGAATTTCCTTATCTCAACAGCTTCCCCTCCTCTTTAGTTTTTTGGAAGAGTTTGAGAAGGATAGATATTTAATGTTCTTTGAATGTTTGGTAGAATTTACTAGGGAAGCCATCTAGTCTTAGACTTTTATTTTTGGGGAGGTTTTTGATTACTGTTTTGATCTCCTTACTGATAATTAGTCTATTCAAATTCTCTATTTCTTCCTGATTCAGGTTGCAAGGTTGTATGATTCTAAGAATTTATCCATTTCTTTCAGATTATCTAATATGTTGGCGTATGACTTTTCATACTATTCTCTTATAATCTTTTGTACTTTTGAGCAGTCCATTGTAATTTCTCCTCTTTGATTTCTGATTTTGTTTAGTTGAGCCTTCTCTCTTTTTTTCTTGGTGAGTAGCTAAAGGTTCATGAATTTTGTTTGTCTTTTCAAAGAACCAGCTCTTAGTTTCATTGAGTTTTTTTTTCTATTTTTGTTTTTTAGTCTCCATTTATTTCTGCTCTGATTTTTATTTCCTTCCTTCTACTAATTTTGGGCTTTCTTTGTTCTTCTTTTTCCAGTTCCTTTACGTGCACTGTTAAATTGTTTATTTGAGATTTTTCTTGTTTGTTGACGTAGGCCTGTATTTCTGTGCAGACTTCCCTCTCAGAACCGCTGTTGTTTGTATCCTATGGATTTTGGTATGTTGTGTTTTTGTTTCCATTTGTCTTCAGGTATTTTTCAATTTCTCCTTTGTTTTCTTCATTGACCCAATCATTGTTCAGTAGCAGTTTGTTTAATCTCCACATATTTGTTGCTTTTCTGATTTTCTTCCTGTAGTTGATTTCTAGCTTCATACCAATGTGGTCAGAAAAGATACCTGGTATTATTTCAGTCTTAAATTTATTGAGACATGTTTTGTGGCCTAATATGTGATCTATCCTGGAGAATGAACGATGTACATTTGAAAAGAATGTGTATTCTTTGGTTTTCAGATGGAATGTTCTCTCTCTGTATCTACCAAATCCATCTGGTCTAATGTATCATTTAAGGCCAGTGTTTCCTTAGAGATCTTCTGTTTGGATGTTCTATCCATTGGTGTAAGTGGAGTGTTAAAGTCCCCTTCTATTATTGTGTTACTGTCTACTTCTTCTGTTATGTCTTTTTATAATTACTTTATATGTTTAGGTGCTGGTAAGTTGGGTGCATAGATTTTTACAAGTGTTATATCCTCTTTTGGATTGTTCCTTTTATCATTAGGTAGTGCCCTTCTTTGTCTCTTGTTACAGTTTTTGTTTTAGAGTCTATTTTGTCTGAGATAAGTATTGCTACGCCACCTTTCTTTTCATTGCCATTTGCATGGAGTATGTTTTTCCATCCCTTCACTTTCAATTTGTGAGTGTCTTTGCGTCTGAAGTATGTCTCTTGTATGCAGCATATGTATGGGTCTTTTTTTTTTTTATCCAATAGGCCACCCTATGCATTTTGATTGGAGCATCTAGTCTATTGACATTTAAAGTAGCTGTTGATAAGAATGTACTTCATAGCATTTTTTTCCTTTTTCTGGGTGTTTTAGTTGTTCTCCATTCCTTTCTTCTTCTCTTGCTCTCTTCCCTTGTGATTTGATGGCTGTCTTTAGTATTATGTTTGGGTTCCTTTCTCCTGATTTTTTGTGTGTTTATTATGGGTTTCTGGCTTGTAATTACCATGAGGTTCATATACTATAACCTACATATATTACAGTCTATATTAAGTTGATGATCTCTTTAGTTTGACCTCTTGCTAACAGCTCTACTCTTATACTCCCGTTCGCCCACATTTTCATATTTTTGATATATAATCTCTTTTTTTAAACATGTGTATCTGTTACCCTCTTATCATGGAAATAGATAATTTTAGTACTTTTTACTTTTGACCTTCATATTAGCTTCATAGGTAGTTGATCTGCTACCTTTATTGTATATTTGTGTCTACCAGTGATTTTATTCCTGTTTTCTTTGTGTGTGATCATTTCTTTTGCCTATTTGTAGTTCTTTCTTTTCCACTTAAACTCAAGGGTTTTCTTTTCTTTTTTTTTTTTAAGTTATGCTTTTGGTGAGGATGATTGACCCTGATCTAACATCTATTGCTAATCTTCCTCCTTTTTTCCTTCCCCAAAGCCCCAGTGCAGTTATATATCCTACTTGTAAGTATTTCTGGTTCTTCCATGTGGGATGCTGCTGCAGTATGGCTTGATGAGCGGTGTGTAGGTCTGTGCCCAGGATCCGAACTGGTGAACCCCCAGCCACTGAAGCGGAGCATGCAAACTTAACCACTCAGCCACAGGACTGGCCCCATCTTTTCCACTTAAATAAGTCCCTTTAGCATTTCTTGTAAGACTAGTTTCTTGGTGATAAACTCCTTTAGTTTTTGCTTGTCTGGAAAACTGTTTACCTCTCCTTCCATTCTGAATGACAGCCTTGCTTAGTAGAGTATTTTTGTATGTAGGTTTTTACCTTTCTGCACTTTAAATATATTGTGCCAGTCCCTTCTAGCCTGTAAGGTTTCTGCTGAGAAGCCCACTGATAGCGTTATGGGATTTCCTTTGTATGTAACTTGTTGCCTTTCTCTTGCGACTTCTAGGATTCTCTCTTTATCTTTAATTCTTTTCATTTTAATTATAATGTGTCTTCTTGTGGGCCTCTTTGGTTTTATCTCGTTTGGTGCTCTCCGTGCTCCCTTACCTGGATGTCTATTTCCTTCCCTAGTTTAGGAAAGTTTTCAGTTATTATTTCTTCAAATAGATTCTCTGCCCCTTTGTCTCTCTCTTCTCCTTCTGGCACATCTATAATACGGATATTAGCACACTTGATGTTGTCCCAGAGGTCCCTTAGACTGTCCTCATTCTTTTTAATTCTTTCTCTTTTATCTGTTCAGCTTTGGTGATTTCCTCTAGTCTTTCATCCAGCTAAGTGATCCATTCTTTCTGTATCATCTACTCTGCTTTTGAATCCCTCTAGTGAAGTTTTCATTTCCATTACGATATTCTTCATTTCTAATTGTTTCTTCTTTATATTTTCCAATTCTTTGTTGAAGTTCTCACTGAGTTCATCCATTATTCTCCCAAGATCAGTGAGCATCCTTATGACTCTTCGTTTGTACTCTTTGTCAGGTATCTCTGTTTTGTTTAGTTCTTTTTCTGGGGTTTTGTTCTGTTCCGTTACTTGGAATGTATTCCTTTGTCTCCTCATTTTGTGTCTGTCTGAGTGCTTATATCTATGTATGAGTTAAGTCAGCTATATCCCCCAAACTTGGAGAGGTGGCCTTATGTAAGAGCTGCATTATGAGGCCCAGCAGTGTGCTTCCTTCTCATCACCAATTCCAAATGTTCCAGGAGTTTGTGCTGTTTGGGCTACATGTGTCATTCTGTTGTTGCAGGGTTGCTCTTGCTGCGGGTGCCCGGGGAGGCTAGGTTGTCCCGCTGCCTGGCTGTTTGTAATGCTCAGCTGCATGTGATTGGTATGGACCCTTCAGTCACTTTATTGGGCTTGGGGAGCTGCAGCACCGTTGGCTGTAATGTCTAATAGCACATTCCTGTTGCAGTTTTTCTGTTAAGTGAGTAGGCCCCCAGCATGGCTGGTTGCTAGGCTCAAGGGGTTACAATTGCTGTAAGCCTCTGCCCTCCAAGGCTGTTGTTAGCTCTCGTAGGATTGCAGCTGAGTGGGGCTGGCCCCAAGCATGGAGCACCCAGTTGTTTCAGGCCTTGGAAGGTAGGGCTAGTCCCCTATCTGGCTGTTTGAGAAGCACAAGTCTGCTGCAGCTCACAAGCCCCACCACCCACAGGGTCACACACCCCATCAGCACAGTCCTGCCCATGTGCACACCCTGACCTACTGAAGCACACCTAGTCGCCTCACTGCGTTGGCCCTACACACTCCCCCAACACCTCACACACTATACCTGCTCCTTGTATACACTTGCCCTGCGGAGGTTCCAGGCACTCCACCTATATGGGCCCACATGTTTTCCCAAGGGCTTGCTCTTATTTGGGGCCAGTCCCTGGGGTGGGCTGCCTGCCCTGGCTGAACTGGATTAAATTGGTGCTCTATCAGTGCTTTAGTGCATGGGGTAGAGCCCTTGGCTAACAGGCTAGAGGAAGAACTCCAATGGCATCTATCAGTGTCTGTGTCAGCGTGCCTATATTAGGTCACAATAATGGCTGCTGCCAATGTCTCAGTTCCTGGGGAGGTCTCACCTCTTACTGAGAGGCACCCAGAGCCTATCAAGTGAGTCTCTTTTCACCAAAGTACTGTGTACCTTTCTTTCTGTTGATTTTAGGTTGGTTTCTAAAACAGGTTAATTTGTGTGGGGGCCCTTTAGGAGCAGGCTTCTTTTTCCCTTATGTCTGATAACTTTTCTAGGGATATTCCTTGCTGTAGTGAATAGCTAGCAAAGCCAGATACTATGACACTTGTCTCCAAGGTTGTGCTGAGTCCTAAAGCTGCTTATAGCAATAACACTCTCCTGCTCAGATCCCCACTCCTCCAGGAAAGGCTTCATACCTTAATATTGTTCCCAGCTGGCCATGAAGTACCACGGCTAGAAGGTGGCTTTTTTCTCTCTAGAAAAGAATTTCTGCCTCTTCCACCTCAGTCAGCACTGTCTCTTGTTGCCAGGGTTCTTTTTATCCAGTTTTCAGTTCTCTCTCAGGGTTAATTGTTCTAAGAGTCGTTCTAAATTTGTTGTGTTCATGTGTGGAGGTGAGTTCAGCATCTGCTTACACTGCCATCTTGACACCATCTTATTTCTGTGTTTTTTATGTTGTCTCCCAGGGGCACAAGTTCTTCTTAGAACAAAGAATCTATACGTTAACTGTTTCTGTGAGAAACAGATACTTTTTTTCTGATCAGACGCTTTATAGACTGATACTCTTGCTAAGTAAATATTTTATGAGGTGTTTTTCCATATTCTGGATTTCACGTACTTTTCCCAAGAAAGGGAGAAGTTTTTTATGATTCTGTCGTACCTTCATATCCCTTCTGATTCTGGGGAACAACCCCAAACTTTGGAACCCCTTATGATATACTTTCAAAATCTCTATGATGCTTTTATTCTTCCCATTTGGATTGTCTCCCATATCCACATTCAGACTTGTGATTGCTATAATGTCTTCTCTTTGGTTGCAAATAGTTCTCCTGACTTCCTTCTGCCACACTTTGGAATCTTTTAATACTTGGGTCAAAATACCATACAGATTTTATCTCTTTACATTGACTTCCCAGCTAATTATAACACCTGATGTATTTCTCTTATCTGTTTTAGGCAGTCAGTTTCCTTTCGCTTTATTCATCATAAGGATCCTTTTTTTCATAGTTTACAAAAATAATACTTATTGACATTTATTGTTCATCTCTTATGTGTAGAGAAGGAGCTTTTGAACATGGTATCCACTCTATTTTTAACTCTTAAACCTTAGAACTAACTCCTCAACTTTTTGGGTTAACTCTCCTTAATCATATTTACTGTAATAGAATGATATGTTCATATTTTAGGGAGAATGATTTTCCAGACCAAATGGCTCTTCCAAGATACTATATAAGTTCTGTGTTTTTTGATGATTTATATGTGGATTATATTTAACTACATTTGGAAAACATACCTTATGTGAAATCTCTTACGAAATAATTTTTATAAATTGTTATAAAACATCTCCTTTATATTCCTGGATGTATTGGTGCTTCTAGTACATTGGATTAGGACCAAAATGTTGTATGTACCATGATTCAAAATTGTTAATTTTTATGTAGGGTTAAGTTTAGAGCAAGTCGACATTTTATGGCACTGCTTAGTAGAAGATTCTGAGTGTTATGACGACGCACTTCATTGGTTTTTAAATCAAGTTCGAAGTAAAGATCAACATGCTATGGGAATGGAAACCTACAAACATCTTTTTCTGGAGAAGGTAATTTTATTTTTTGACTGTTTCATTGTTTATATTGTTTTTCCATGTTTCCTTTTTATCTCTTGAAATATAAACTCTGTAATGTTCATCTTTCCTCTTTTGACATAGTTTTTTTAAAAAAACACAAATGTACTACTGTTTTTCAGCATGTTTTTTACCTTATGTAAATTTTGCTGCCTAGATTTTGCTTTAATTTTGTCTTCTACAGTGTTTGTATTTAAGTGAATACTTAGTTTATATCCACAAAAATATTCTTTTCCTTAGCTAAAGTACTTAAACTAACAGTAATTAGAGTAATTCTTCAGGTAAACATTAATAAGAAATGTGGGGGGTTTGGGTTTGTTGTTTTTTTTTTTAAATAATAGCATTGTAGCTCAATTTTCAGGAATGGTACTCAACATCCACTAGTGTGAGAGCTGTATTTTCTGACTTTTCCTTAGTTAAATGGTTGTGGTTTCAGCCAGCCTTCTGTCAGATATAAGTCAATCTCTAGACTTTTTGGTAGATCCTTGGAAAGGCAGTTTTAGGAAGTGCTGTCATGATATTAAAGATAGTCTTCAGTTTTCATTCTCCTTTATCAGATGCCACAGTTGGTTCAGGTGATAATTTTCTATTTGAATTTTGAAGCATTGATGTTAATAAAGCAGTAGACTTTTTATTTTATGCTTATTTTTGAGATTAGAAAGACTCTCTGTGAACTCTCTTTATCTCTCTGGTAGAATTGAATATATATGAATGAGTTTTGGTACGTATAAATTAAATCACTTAATAGATTTAAGACAAAAGTACAAATAGACCTTCAGGATCTTAATTTGAAGCCTGGATACAAACTGTACATGTAGCTACACATCTCAAAAATATGTATGCTGTAGATATACAATAGATAAAATTTTTTATTTATTTCCTTTCATCTGGGTCTGTGTACATCTTGAAAATTGAGACACATCAGACAGCTTTCAACTATGACCTGAATAAAATTTTCATTAAATTATTCATTTTAATTTTTAAATTATCACTAAAAATCTCAGCTGATATATTTCCTTCTTTAATGTTTTCCGTAAAATTTGTTTGTTAAATTTGTGGTTAAATTCAATAAAATAAAATCTTAGCAACTTAATTATCACACTAAACTAACTTAAATAAATTTTTTTTTTAAGATGCCCCAGCTAAAACCTGAAACGATTAGCATGACCGGCTTAAACCTGTTTCAGCATCTCTGTAACTTAGCTCGATTGGCCACCAGTGCCTATGATGGTGGTTCGAACTCTGAGGTATGGATTTATCCAAAGGCTTGTCACTTTATTAGGTCAGCAGGTGGAATTTTTCTTTTATTCCTCAAATTAGATTACTGAATTATCTCGTATAGTCTACCAAGCACTGAATTTACTAGCTATGAAGACTTTCATTTTTAGGTTTTAAAAAGCTTTATCTTTTGGCTTTAAAAAGTTTTACAAAGCAAATTTGGTGATTTTTTTTCACAATCAAAGATAATGTTGGTTGTGTTTACTGAAAGCTTATTACACATTCCTTGGTTAACAGAGAAGAGGCCATCTGAGTGTTCTTTTAGTTCCCTAAAAGCTCCTAAATAATATAAGGAAGTAGTTTTGTCAAGTAGAAGGTTGATTTTTCTGAAGTCTGATTTTTATGCCATTTGTTGTGATCATGCTTTTAGTTACTCTTGGACAACTGTAGAGTTCTTGTTGGTAATGTCTGTCCTAAATCATCTCTGACCATGAGACATGACGACCAGTTCATTAACTGAAGACTGTCACAAATTTCTCTTCTTATTTCTGGCTTAGAGTTCCATTTGTCTAGTTGGATGGGCACTAGGTTTTGTTGAATGCCTTATTCCTAGACTCTCCTAATAGAGTGTTATTTGAAAGTCTTCCTCATTGGATGTTCTAGTTTATTAATCATGGCTTTGATTTATGTAGTATCCACTCACACTTTTTTATTAATTATGTTATTAGGAGAAAGATAGAGAAAACCAATGTTAATCTATATGGTAAAGAATAATTTTAATTTTATCCAGAATAGTTTTATAGTATCTACCTTCTTTTCCTGTTTGCATAGTTTTTTTTTCTTTTAATTTTTTGGTTCTAACTCTGATTTTGATATCACTGTAGTGAGTTGCAATTTGGTAGTATCAGACAACCAGACAGATCTGATTTCCTTAGGGAAGTAGTCATACTCTAATTTTGAAATATAATATTGCTTTTTAAGTAGATGATATGAACACTAAGGCTGTTCAGTCACCTATCAGAAGGATATCTGTCTTCACCCTGTGTAACTTTTAAGAACTTTCACTCCCCACTTTTTGTGCAGTTTTCAGTGAAAACATTCTCTTTGTCATCTTATAGTTAACAGCATAAAGTTAAGTAACAACTTGCGTTAGCATATCTGTTTAATTTTCTGTGAATACCTGAAACCAATGGCTTTATCAGAGTAAGTTGGACAAAAGCTTTGAAGTATTATTATGCTAATAATTATGTGTGTGGTGGTGTTATTTCTTTGTAGCATGTTTTGGGGACTTGTTTTTCCCACCATGTAGTCAAAACTTTTGAGTTAAACATTATGCATATATATAATTAGCTGCTTTATAATTATGTATTTTTAGAACCAATACAGGTATATTTCAGTAATTGAGGAAATTTCCAAGACTTTTATCCTTATTATTTCATAACTGTAAGTAATAGGAATTACCTTTTAAATACTTTATAGTATATTAAAACTCATTGATATTGTATGACTTTTAAATTTGTTACTTTCTGTCTTTGTTTACATTGTTTGACAAAAATAAAATTTATAGCTGTTGTCATATTTTTCTTTCTTAGCTTTGTGGTATGGACCAATTTTGGGGCATTGCTTTAAGAGCACAATCTGGTGATGTCAGTCGAGCAGCTATCCAGTATATTAACTCCTATTATATTAATGGTGAGTGATTTGAAATATTGTCTAATAGGTAATTTTTTATATGAGGATTTTTTGTTTAGCTACAATTTGTTTTTTTTAATGTAACTAAACAATTATAGGATTGATATACATGTCTAAACATCTTATTTTCAGGTAAAACGGGATTGGAGAAGGAGCAAGAATTTATTAGTAAATGTATGGAGAGTCTTATGATAGCCTCTAGCAGTCTTGAACAGGAATCACACTCAAGTCTCACTGTTATAGAAAGAGGACTCCTTATGCTGAAGACACATCTGGAAGCATTTAGAAGAAGGTAATTTTTTTTATACCACATAATTAGAGTGAATTTCAGGCTTTTTTATTGCTGACATATCTAAAAGTATTCTGAAATTTAAACTAAAGGTTTTGTTGGGGGCAGGTAGAAAGCATAACTTACCAAGAGTGAAGGGTTAGTAATAGAAGTAATTTTTATTCATAATATGTACCGTTTCACCATGGAATAGGCAATATAGGTTCCTGGTAAATATTGCAGAGCTTTAAAAATCGTTAGACTCTCAGAAGATATGCATGAATAAGAACCTAGACAGAATTCCATCTCTAAGAAAGTTTTAATATGATTGAAACAGCAGAACACCACTACCAAAAGAAGGTTCACTAAAACCCTCACCAAGAACATCAAATAATCTCTCATAGTTGAATCAAGTTGAGTCATTTGTTTCATTTGCTGTTTTTTTTTCTTCCTGGACTAGGAGACAGTATTTTAATTTTGAATTTCCATTTACCATGGAAACATGATCAAAAATTCTGTTAATGAATATCTGTATAATTAATTTAGACATACCCTGTGTAATACAGAAATAAAGCAAATTAACATTTATGAATATATCGACTGAAATAAAAGGTGAGTAGATAGTTTTAATTCAGAAATTCTGTTTGTTAAAAATCATGAGTAAATGTAAAAGTACAAAGAATTGTGTTGAAAAAAATTGTTAAAGTTAATAACTTCTTTCAACTTCAGAGCTCAGTTTGATAATGAGAAAGTCATATAATTGATATTTGACGTTTTATTTAAAATATCAGGAAATATCAAATAATAAAGATATTCTACACATTCCTTATAAATTACATGGGTCCATGATTTAAAACATTTGGGCATTGCAAAATTCTTTGTTTTGATTATGATTACAATTTGTGGAAATTCTGTTTAAATAATTCCTTGTGTTTTTAAAGAATGTGTAAGGGAACTCTAGAGTTTTTTGCACAGAAACTTCACACTGTTTCATAACTTTTACCACTTTAAAAAATAAAAATAAATAAGCAAATGCAATGTCATTCAAATTAGTTAAAAATTAATACATACTCATTTTAAAATTCAGATGTTACACTGAGATACTACTATAGAAAATGAAAGTCATTGTACTCTGTCTCTTATCAGAGATAGTTACTGTTAATGATATGATATATATTCTTTGGAAATTTTCTCTATGCTGCAGTGTCTACAAACAATAAACCAAAAAGGTCCTATTGGTTCAAAGCCTGAATCCTCACAAAATTACCAGTGTTTTTAAAAGTAAATACTTATTTTAAAAGTCTTTAAAAATAAATTATTTTCTAGGATTCAATGCTGCGTTTTATAAGTTTAGTGAATTTCCATTCAAAAATCCCTTCTCAGATGTACAAATTTTTTTCTAACTCATGAAAAATTGACTTTAGTCTACTTAATAGAAATCTTTGTGTTTGTTCATGTTCTACTCTAAAAGTTAATGTTGGTGTTAATATATATAAATACTTATTTTGTGAGTGGCAAGTAAAGAAACTAGGAAACAATTGAATATTCAAAAAACTAAGAGCTAGTTTAAAAAGTTTATCTAGGTATTTTCATGCAAATTCTTGTGCAGTATCATACAATTTCAGGTGCTTAATGTGCTTAGTACTACTACGAATTTAAAATTGCCTAACATTTATAGAATGAAAATTTAAACTAATTATTGTTTGTATATTCTTTATATTAGAAGAGTAAATAAATGTCTTTTTAAAAGGGTTTTCTTTTTTATAAGAGATAAGTTATCGTCTTAAACAGTGATTCTCAACCAGAGGTGATTTTGTTTCCCAGGGAACATTAGGTAATGTCTGGAGACATTTTTAATTACCACCGCTTGAGGGAGAAGGGGGTGCTATTGTCATATAGTGGGTAGAGATCAAGGATGTTGCTAAACATCCTGCAGTGCACAAGACAAGCCCCGTCCCCATAACAAAGAATTATCAGGCCCCAAAAGATTAAGATTTTGGTCATAGAAGCTGGATACTGGATCACTTCTAGGAAATCAAGTCCATTCATTCCTTTACTTGCCTGCCTTCTATTCTAGTATTGCTGGTTAGTGTTAGACATGGATAATTTTTTTCTTAACTAAATTCAGGTACCCTGGATCCTGTCTTCCACAACTGAAAATCAGTTAGAAAATTGACAAATATTTAGTGAGTGTCATGCTAGGTGCCTGTCTCCTTTGAAATAGTAGTCTTTGTAATTCATTTTATTATTTTAGCAGTCATGGAATTGGCTCTCAAATTTTGTTAGGCTGGTTAACATATGTCTACGGGAATACATTTCTCTCTCTGAAAAATATTTCCTAATAATTTTTTTTCCTCTTCTGAATGTAGGATGACAGCTTGCCATTTCACTTACCGGATTAGTTTGTTTCTTTGAATTCTTCCTGCCTCTACTACTCCCTCCCCCATTTAAAAAAAAAAAACTTCATAATGGGATTTCTTTTTCCTCAGTAGTTTTTCTTGGAAACTATGTTTTTAGGAGTTCTTAGCTATATTTATGCATTTAAGTTTGATTCAATATGAGGACTCTAAACTTAAACTTAGTGCTATGGAGTCAATTAGAATGTGCTAGAACCTTTTATGGCCTTTTTCATTTTGTAAAATATTAAAAACTTCTGTAATATTAAAATGATTTAAAGTGATATTCTTCCTATGTGTGGTTTTTGTGTGTTTTAGGTTTGCCTATCATCTCAGACAATGGCAAATTGAAGGCACTGGTATTAGTAGTCATTTGAAAGCACTGAGTGACAAACAGTCCCTGCCGCTAAGGGTTGTATGCCAGCCAGCTGGACTTCCTGACAAGGTAGTTACATGGTTTTAATTTCCAAATTGATAACATTTCCCAGTTCAAATATCTGTATTTTTTGTATTTTTAAATCGGTTGCATCTCATATTTCAGATGACTATTGAAATGTATCCTAGTGACCAGGTAGCAGATCTTAGGGCTGAAGTAACTCATTGGTATGAAAATTTACAGAAAGAACAAATAAATCAACAAGCTCAGCTTCAGGAGTTTGGTCAAAGCAGCCGAAAGGGAGAGTTTCCTGGTAAGTCCAATAGTTCAAATTTTCATATTTTCTAGATTCTCTTATATATCAACCTCAGACATTTACTTGTTTTTGAAGACTACCAGCCATGTTCATGGCTCCCCCTCACCCTCTCCCACCCTTGCTATGGTGCTATTGATTCTTAGGCAAGAGTTAAGAGATGCTTCACATGTTATTTGCAAAAATTTGTTCTAATTTTTCTCAAAAATATTCTACTTTTGGAGATTATTTGATAAGCAGTGTGGAAATTATTAATAAGTTTGTTTCCATATACTACTTAGTACCCAGTTTTACCCAATATTTTGTTTTGCCATTTTGTTATATTTCATTTTTGGTTTTGTTGTGTGTTTTTTTTTCCAGAGCAACTGAAAATAATACACCTTTAAATCCCACCTGTGAATCTCCCTTTGCCTCCAAAAAAATACCATACTAAGAAATTTTTTGTGTGGGCCTGAAAGTGTGTTTAATTCTTCCCTTACTGTTACCACTAGTGCGTTTTTAGTATCTTTCCATAGTACATAAAATATGAGTTAATCAGAGGAACAACCATGAAACCTGTTATCCTTACTTAGAATTTAAAGGTCTGAAACTGTAACAGGTTACATATATATTACGGGAAAAAAAGATCTTAAAGTTTTAAAAGCTTCTTTTTAGGACTTTTAACCTGCCTGTGTACAGAGGGATAATTCTTTGGCATCTTTTAGTAAGGAGCCAATGATTTTACAGTAGCATGCATAAGATAAAGCCATATGTATCTTCTAAAATGTCAGATCTTTATTTAAATTTTGTTCTTGAATAATTAGTAAATATTTTTGGTATAAAAGAATAGATGTTGAAAAGTCTCCCTCCTACCCCCATCTCTAAACTACCCATTTCCCTTCTTCTGAGGCAAATATTACTGGTTTCTTACATATTCTTCTAGAGATACCAATATATAATGAGAATATTTATATACACACATATATATACACATATGCACACACACTTAAAATACAAATAGTAGCATTCCATTTATATTCTTCTACCTTTTGCTTGTAGTGTTTAACATTATTTAGAGAACATTTTAATTTAGTATGTGTAGAAAGTTACCTCATTCTTTTTAAGATGTCCATAATTCATAATATAGTGGTACCGTGATTTATTTTACCTGTTTTCTATTAATGGACATTTTGGTTATTTCCATTCTTTTGATACTGCAAACACTGCTACAGAGAATATCCTTATACATATATTATCTAATGTTGGGTAAATACCTAGTTAGGGAATTTTCAGGTCAAAAGGTATCTGCTTTTGTTACATTGAAATGTATTGTACATAAAGAAGAAAATATGAAACGAATAATAATAAAATGAAAACCGCCCATGTACCTACCATCCAGATTAAGAAGTAGAACATTATTAGAAGCTGCTTGTGTGTCCTTTTCCATTTCCACTTAATGCTATCTTGATTTTTAGCTTATTGTTCTTTTGATGTTCTTTACAGTTTTGCCTCTGGTGTGTACATATATACCTAAGCAATTTATTTAGTTTTGTGAGACAGATAAGCAAGCACAAACTTTATGAATTAAGAAAAAGGGGAGTACAGCTGCTATTGGATAAAGGATCACAGAAGAAAACAAGCTAAAGATGGTGTACATTTTCCCCTTCTCTAAAGGTTTATAAAGCTTCATCTGAGGATATCAATGGGAAGGTTCTCAAGTATAGGTCTCAGCATAGTCAAGATGTATCTCAGTGCTGTAATGTTGACAAAATGCTGGAATATCCAACAGAAATAGTGACAGAGGTTTTTTTTCCTAATGTCTTTATGACCCACTTTAGCTCTCAGGAGTAGATCAAATCAGAATTTCTTCTATGAATAATATGAATGTCTTCTGCTGATTCAAGCAGTAGGACTTGGAGGTGAGAGTAGAAACTTCAGTAGTGTATGGTAAGGACAGTCCAGGTACAGATAAGAATTTGGGCTAGATTTACTTGCCATTCTTTCCTCAGATAGAAAAGATGATACGAAGGCAGCAGGGATTTTGGTCATGATGGCCCTCAATAATGTATTTCTTTAGTCACACTAGTCCTAGACTAGTGTCTGGTGCACAACAGTAGCATACCTTTAACATCCTCTTGGTAATTCTTTTTGGCTCTCTCTTGTGTTGGATATCCTGTTTCCAGTATCCCATACCTTCTTTGTTGGTTTACCTTTTTTTTTTTTTTCTGAAATACAATATAGTTGTCCAGTATATTCTTGAGAGAAGATTGATGGAGTAAAGTTTTTGCTTCTTTGAATGATCAGAAGTGTATTTCTCATGTTTTCGTATTTAAATGATAATTTTGGTATAAAATTCTAAGTTGGAAATAATTTTGTTTCAGAATTTGAGATATTGCTGCATTGCATTTCTTCTGTTGTTGCTGTTTAGAGTTCTGAAGCTATTTTGATTTCTGATATTTCTTACATATCCTGTTTTTTTTTCTTGTAGAGCTTAATGAATCATCTTCTTGTTTCTAGCGTTCTGAAATTTTACAGTACTTGGCCTGAGTATGGGTCTGTTTTCAACAATTGTGATGGGTACTTTAGTATTTAGATATTTAGTGGGCCCTTTTAGTTGGGCAACTTATACGTTTAAGTTTGAGGAAATTTTTGTAAATGAGTTTATTGGTTTCCTGTCTTCTATTTTATCATTTCTCTCTTTCTAGAAATTCTTTATTATCTGCATGTTTCATCACTTGGACTATTCCTAACTCACTTTTCTTTCCTGTGTTTCGTTTCTTTGAGTTTTAACTCAACTTCCTGAGAGATCTTCTCAACTTTATTTTGCAACCTTTCTTTTGAGTTTTTCACTTTTGCTGTCATGCTTTTATTATCTAACCTCTTTCTTTTAATACTCCTATTTTCATGACTGAAATATCTTTTTGAAAATATTGGTATTTTTTTTTCCTTAGTTGTTGACTCTCTTAAAATCCACACTGATGGTGCCTGCATTTTAATTAGAATGTTTATCTAATTATCTAATTGTTTTCCGTTGGTCTCATCTCTTCCTTTACCGCGTATTTACCACTCTGGCATTCTTCATTCCTGTGTGTAGATCGAAATGTCCATTTGGTTTCTTTTTTTTATTTTTCTTTTTTGAATGAATTTCTTTTAAAAGTATTTGTACTCCAGGTCTTCTGGTGATGAATTTTCTTAAGCTTTTGTTTGTTTGAAAACAAAAAAGGTTGACTTTTGAAGGATATTTTCACTGGATATAGACTTCTAGGTTAAGTTTTTTCTTTCAGGACTTTATAAATGTTTTCCCATTACCACTTGGCTTGTCAAGTTTCTGAGCGAAAGTCTGCTTTTCCTTATCTTTCATCCTTTGTATGCAATGTGTCTTTTTAACTGTGGTTGGTTTTACAGGTTTTCCTTTAATGTTGATTACCAGCAGGTTATTGTTGTGCTTTGTTGCGTCTTTATGTAGTTTGGGTTCAGCTTCTTGAGTCTGTGTGTTTATAATATTTGTCAAATTTGAAAAAGGTTAGCAATTACATATTTTTCTAATATTCTTTTCTTTTTTCTTTCCCCTCAGACTAATTTCTGGGCCTCTAATTAAATGTCTCCTAAGCTGTTTGTTTCTTCTTTTCCTTTTCTCCTTTCATTCTCTTTTTCTCTTCTCCATCTCTCCCTCCTCCTTCCCTTTCCTGTCCTCTTCGCCCCCTTTGTCAGGTGTTGATCTTGCTCCTGTGCCAAATCAGTATAAATCAGATTATAGATTACAAGCTTATCTCTAGTTTGGGTTTTATCTTTTGGGGGTCTTACTAATTACTACAAGTTCATTTGATTTCCAGATTGCAAACTTGGTTGATGTTGTCTCTTCCCTTTTTTCCCTGTCAGATGTTTGTAAAAATTTGTTAAATTTACTTTATTGAAGTTGCAGAGGGTCAAAATCAGATGTGTGTTGTTAAATATACCATTGTAACCTAAGCGTTTTTAAGACTTCTTGTTTCCTTTTCTTGTTTTGAAATATTAATTGCATCACGATTTAAAAGTTTTAAAAGATAGTAACTTTCCAGAACTGTTAAGGAATAAGCAATTCTTATGTTAAAAAAGATCCTTTCAAAAGGAGTAAAAGATAGAAAGCTGCTCAATTAATTGTAAAAGCCAATTCAACCATTATAATCGAAATTAACATGTAATACACATGAAGTATAGGCCTATCTCTAATATCAAATGGAGTCTAAAATCCCCAAAACTGTTAGTCATCTTAGTGTCTTTTGGAACAAACTCATGCATGCTTAGAGTATATGACAAGCTAGAAAGCAGATCAACCCTATATTATTTAGCAATGCATCATGACTAAGGATGTTTTGTCTCAATATTGTAAAAAAGAGCAACAGTCATAGATTGCATTAGATTCACTCAATAAGGGAGAAAAGACATTTGATAAAAAAATCTAAAGTATTAAAAGTTTAGGATAGCGTTTCTGTTTATCTAGTAGCCAAATGTTTTTCTTAATAAGCACTGTGCTTTACAGGCATTCATATTTCTTCTAGTTTGTATTATGTGAAATGATTTGGATAAATCGTAAGTGTCAGAAGAAGTAACTCAGTTATAATTTGTAGGTAATATGATGAACAGCAAAATAGAGAAATCAAGTGCCCAATAACAATTAAAAAATATTAGGATAATTTAATGTGATGTCTGTGTGGAATATAGGAGAATAAAACTTTTTGAGATATATAAACAGACACTTGAATAAGTGGATATACTTAGCATGTCTCTGTACAAAGTATTGTAGAGATGCCAAGTTAATTTTGTTCTTAATATATTCTACCTAAGATCTTGATGGAATTTTTGTTTTAAATTTGATGAAATTACTCTGAATAATAAGTTAACTGTGTGAATAAACTAAGCAATATCAAAAGTTCTGAGAGTAAAACCCAAAAGGATAATAGAGAGGTGAATTTCAGTACTTTCTATTAAACATTTAAAAACTACTAAATAATACGATTTTGGTGAAGAATTGTTTAGTAAATAACAGAATAGATAACAAAGAAAATCTTAATATATGACATATGCAATTTGGAGGCAGAAACAAAAACTCCATTCTCCTCTAATATTCAGGATAGCTTAAAGTTTTTATACACACACACACACAAAATAAACTATAGGAAAATTCAGAAGAAACAGGATTGAATATTTTCAAACTATTGCGAGGACCAAAATTTCTAGGCTCAGAAATAAGAAGAAGGGCAAAAATCATAGATATAGCAAAACTGTCAATTGTTGTATAGCTACACAACAGTTGTACTTGAGGAAAATTGCCAAAATGAAGCTTATTGGAGGAACCTATTTTCCTTCTCTGTGTTTGAGTTATTATTATTATTATTATTTTTTTTTTGATGAGGAAGATCGGCCCTGAGCTAATATCGCTTACCAATCCTCCTCTTTTTGCTTGAGGAAGATTGTTGCTGAGCTAACATCTGTGCCAATCTTCCTTTATTTTATGGGGGATGCCACCACAGTGTGGGTTGACAAGCAGTGCTAGGTCCGTGCCTGGGACCACCAAAGCGGAGCATGCAAACTGAACAACTATGCCACCAGGCCAGCCCCATGTGTTGGAAATATTTTCTGATAGAATTTTAAAATTACATTTTCCCTTTACACAAATAGGAAAATCCTATGTGTCATTATGGAAAGCAGTAGCCCTGCTTCGTTCATTCCTGAAAATAGCTGTTCAGTGCCCATCCAAGGGAGTTTTTCTACAATTAAGTTAATAAAATTCAACAAAAATATTTAAGTTTAATTAGATTATTAATTAGATATTTCATCATTTTGCTTAATTTTTCTACTCTATTAAGCATTTTGTTTTTTAAAAAATTTCATGGACTAAACAATAGTTTGAATGCCTGCTGTAGTCTAGTGCTAGGAATCCATTTGTGAAGGCAATAAAATCTCTGCTTTTGTATAACTGGGATTTTGTGGTTTTTTCAGAAGAGAGACATAAATATTTAATGTCAGATGCTAATAAGTGCTTTAAAGAAAGATAAAACAATAAGGGATTAATAGTGAAATGAAGCTCCTCAGATTGGGTTGTTAGGAAGAACGCCTTTTAGAGTTCACATTTGATGAGAGATTTGAAAGAAGCAAGAGAATAAGCCATGTTAATTCCTGAGGAGGAGCATGTTTAGGCTTTGAAATAGGAACAAGCTTGGTGTTTTCAAAAACGAGCAAGGAGGCTGGGTGGCTAAAGTATACTTAGGGAGGATGATGGTGGGAAACTTCAGATGTAGGCAGCAAAAGGACTTTGTCCATTCCAGAAGTAAATTGCCCCAGTCAATTGAGTTTATTGAATTTGCCATAATCTGGAATGTTGTAGCTGATCTTTTTCATGTCAGAGCTTTGGTTTTTTTCTGCTCTAGAGTCTGTTTTGTTTTGATGGTAATAACAGGAAAGAGAGAATTCAATCATTATAAATATATACTGGTTACTTGTGCAACTAAGACATTAATGAATCTGATTCTTCTGCATATATTGCTGGGGGAAATGCTGTACGTTCCCAGAAAGCTCTGTGGAGTTTTGTATGTGTAGAATTTTTTGTATTGTTAAGCAAGCAGGAATTGATCTAGTTAGTCTAGTGCTGAAAGAGAATGTCCTTGTAATTTTTACTGCCTCGGGCTAACGTTGAACAACAGAAAATAATGTAGGAAGCATGGTTAGTACTGTCCCCCTACTGTCTCCACTTTGCATAAGAATGGTATTTAAGTAGTCCAGTGAAATTCATTGCTATAGCTGTGTATTCATGTCATCAAATAAGTTAACCCTTTAAAATGTTCACCTACCTTTTCTGCTGTTTTTAAGGAGGCCTTATGGGACCTGTCAGGATGATTTCATCTGGACATGAGTTAACAACAGATTATGATGAAAAAGCACTTCATGAGCTTGGTTTTAAGGATATGCAGGTACACATAAGTGTAGTTTGAACTTTAATTGTCTATTGACTGTTATAGTAAACAGTTGAATAGTTGAAAGTGTGGTTCAAAAGCAATTCCTACTGCTTTTGTTATATTAAAGTTATAGGTGGAGTTATTTTATACTTTATTTAACCAAAAACTTGTTATATCTAATTATGTGTTGTTCTGTCTCCCCCCCACCCCCGCCCATTGCTCCAATTTTTGTAGATGGTATTTGTGTCTTTGGGTGCACCAAGGAGAGAACGGAAAGGGGAAGGTGTTCAGCTGCCAGCGTCCTGCCTACCACCCCCTCAGAAGGACAACATTCCAATGCTTTTGCTTTTACAAGAACCTCATTTAACTACTCTTTTTGATTTATTAGAGATGCTTGCGTCATTTAAACCACCCTCAGGAAAAGTGGCAGTGGAAGACAGTGAGGTAACTATATCATTTCATTTTCACAAAGTCTTGTCCTTCTGTTGAGTGGAAAATAATTTTCTCAGTAAACTCTTAAGAGCAGTAAAACCTAGGAACCCATTTATTCATTCATTAGCTATTTAAGTGCCTAATAAGATCCAGGCATACTGTTTTAAGTATTGTTTTACAAGGATCAAAATAGTCAGAGTTTCAGCCTTCACTGAATCCAGTGGGAAAGACAAATAATTGACATGCTTAACAGATAAATAGTTTCAAGAACTAACAGTTTCAGATAGAAATAGCTGCTAAGACTGAAACATGACATACCATCATTAGGAGTTGGTGATACAGACCCATTTATATATTATTTGATCAGGGAAGGTTTCTCTGAGGGAGACCATATATAATCTGAGCTAGAAGGATGAAAAGGAGTCGACTAAATCAAGAGAATGAGGAATGATTTGTATAGAATAATCTGATTCCCGAAGCCATTGATACAAGAAGGAATTAGGCAGATCTAGGAATTGTTAGAGAGCTAGTGAGTAGAATGGGAGTGGTGAGAGAGTGGAATGAGAGGAATGAGATTGGAAAGATAAGCAGAGCCAAACTGGCCATTTCAAGCTGTTTCTGTTTTACTCAAAGTAAAGTGGACAGCATTAAAGTAGTTTAGGCAGAGGAAGAGACACGTTCTGAGTTTTGTTTTAAAGGTAATAGGTTTGTTTGGCAAGAACAGAAAAAGCAGTAAGGAACCTAATGCAGTAGTCCAAGGAAGAGCTGACTGTGCCCTGGAATAGAATAGTGGCAGTGAAAATCAATTAAATGGACAGTACGGGAAAATAGTATAACTTGGTGGTGGCTTGGATTAGGAGTAGGGAGAGACTTGGGCTCAGGAAAAAGGAAAACGGAGACGGCCTCCAAGTTTTTGGCTTGAGCAACGGGGTGGATTCCTTTTGAGATGAAGAAGAATGAATGCCTCTGGGACATCAAGTGGGGCTGTCAGGTAAGCAATTGGATATGCGTTAGAAACTCAGAGAAGAGATTTGGTCTGGAAGAAATAAGTTTGTGTGCGTTAATTGACTATAAAGATGGTGTTAAAGTCGAGACTGTGTATGAGATCACCTAAAGGAATTATTTTCAGTCCACTGACTGTTTTTTTAATGCCTTTAAATAGGTTTATCCTAAGATGTTGTTCATTGATGTACCTAATTCAATGACTCATTATTTCGAGATTGAGTGGCAAATAAAATGGTGGTGCTTTATTTTAGGCTGCTGTTATGCTCTCTCTTTCCTAAGAACGCTAGTGATTTCTTTCCATGTTTCTAAAATGTGTTTGATCATGGATTCAGTGGTAGCTGCTATTGAGTCCTCTGTTCCCCTGTTTTCTCTTGTGGCAGCATATTCTTAGATTCCTAAGACCTCTGCCTTTTGTTGAACAAAGCAGAATAATCAATAATAGATGCCCATGAGCCTCCATTTCCTCACCTTTATGCCACAAATACTCAATGACCTTTTACTTTATGTCAGCAGTGAAGTGGCATTTTAAGAGAGAAAGATAGTTATAAGAATTCCCCAGTTTTCTGGAGAGTGCTAATGTTCTGTGCAGTGTGTTATAGGAACATACGGGAGGGAGCAAAAATTGGGGGAAGATTTTTGCAAAAGGGGATTTGTTATATTGTGTCCAGCTGCTGATAAGAGTAAAGAAAAACAGTAAAGATTCACAGAAAAGTGAATGACATGTTTGAAAAACTGGTAGTGCAAATTACCAGTAACTACATTAGTAGTTACAAATCACCAGAATTACATTACTGGTAGTGTAATTCAAATATAAGGACACAAAGGGAGATTATAACCTATATCGCAAAGGATCGTATGAGATTTTTATTTATTGTAAAATGGATTGCCATCATCTTGGAAAGTTTTAAAAGAACAAAATGAGATCTTTTCTGGGCTTTTAGAAACAAAGTTTAGGTGTTAGTGTGGAGGATGTATTAGAGAAAACAAAGAACCAGAGGTAGGAGGACCAGTTAATAGGCCATTGTAGTAGTCCACGTGAGGCCTAAACCAGACGAGCATTCATTTTTTAGCAGATACTTTACTGAATGTTGTTTGTTACAAGTGTGCCATTGTTGATGTGGGGTTTCTTTGTTGTACAAGACTAGTTCAGCCTTGAAGAGGGTTACAAAAAAATTAAGAATAAAGGTCTTCACTTTGTGTGACCCATGTTGTAGGGCCTTTCAGCCATAACATATAACATAGTTGTGTACACTTGGGAGATTTCTTTTTCTTCATGTCATTTTTTTGCACAGAGTTCAGTCTTACTCTTTTGTTGTTGTTGTTTTTTCTTTACTGGGTATTTACAAAGGAATGAATTCTATTTTACTGAAGAACTCTCAGTGCCATTTCCCCAACTAACCCAAAAATGTTACTTGGGTTGCTTTTCTTTCTTCATCAGTGTTGTGAAAAGCAAAGTTTACCTTGAAACTCCATCTCTAAAATTCCCTCACCTTCAAAATACTAGCTTTATACTATTATACAAAAGAATTAAATTACTTTTTATGGGTGTATAGAAGATTCCTTTCGCATCTCTTAGATTATATTATACCAAAAAATAATTATGACAGCAACAGTAGTGGAATAATATATGAATTCATATATTGTGGAAAATTCCAAAACTATACATTTTAGCTTTTGCTGTTTGTTTACCTCTTGGGGTTATCCTTTAATTAAAAAAAAATCTATTTCTTACATACTTTCTGAAACATTCTTTAGCTTGCTATTATCTCAGCACCTTACACAGTTCAAATTTAACAAATGATCATGGAAGAGAGTAGATTCTTTAAAATTGTTTGCTTTCCTCTTAATCTCTGCTTGTCTGGAAAATAAAGTATAGATTAGCAAAATAAGAGAAACAAGTGTACTCTTTTCCCAAATATGAGGTCAAGGATTTAATTCACTAAGTCTTTGTCATCCTTAGAATAGTGACCTGCAAAGAGGAAACAGATGACAGTCTTATTGAAATTTACTTGAATGGCTTTATAAAACAGACGTTTTCAGTTCTATTTGAGAAGTTTCCTGAGGAAAGTGGTCAGACTTAGAGGTCACTTTTTTTTTCCAGAAAAGAGTTCAATAATAACAAGTTGAAAACCAGTACTTTGATATAACTGTTAATTTATTGGATAAATGTATTTACCATGTAACAAATGGTTTCTCACTCTTAAAGTAAAACTAAAAAATATTATCAAATTTGATAAGTAATGATTTTATGTAAAAATGTTGAACTTAAGTTTGGAATTTTTTTTACTGATCTGTCTTGATAAGCACTTGTTCTTATTTGTGTAGAGCTTAAGATGTGAAGAACTTCATCTTCATGCAGAAAATCTCTCTAGGCGTGTATGGGAGCTACTGATGCTTCTTCCTACATGCCCTAACATGTTGATGGCGTTCCAGAATATCTCAGAGGAACAGGTAAGCCCACAAAATCTTTTTACTCTCCTGGAGGATGGTACAGTTTACTTTCCTACTGGCAGTGTATGAGATTGCTTATTGACCTATATCCTCAGTAAAATTTTGCCCATTTAGTAGATAAAATGTGCCAGTTTATTTTAATATTGATTTATTTAATTATTAGTGAGGTTGAAGAATATAGGCTAAATACTACAAGGCAAAGACGTTTTCTAAAATTAACTTGAGAAAATATGGATTTGCTGCCTTTTTAGTGTTTTTTCTTCTTGTATTCTGAGTATTGTTTTGTTTTTGACAACAAAAAGTAATGTTTAGAGAAAATACACTGTGGTTTAATGACCTGCATCAATGCTCTTTTTGGATGCTTATACACGTCAAATGATAGAAGTAGGGGAAAATGACGCAAAGAAATTTTATATATATTTTTTAATTTTCCCATAGTGGCATGGTCTCACCTGTGTTGTGTTATGTATCTTTGTAAAGACATCTGTTAAAATTAGAGATTATTTTTTACAGGCTATATAAGAAGGGGTTACTTTGTAGAGATACAAGTAGAACATCGATGGGGTAAACAATGTCCTAATGTTAGGGGAGTGGTTATCTGTGATTTGAGACTTTGTCATTGTGACTTCAGAAAGTCCTATATCTGAAATGACTTAGAAGTGAAGAAGGTGGGCCTGGAAAAGAGTAGTTGATGACTCAGAGTAGCTCTAATAATAATACTGTTGTCAAAGATGCATATTAAGTGTGCATAACATAATTTCATAAGTTGGGAGTAGAAAAGAACAATATTTTAAAATTTATGTGTTTGTGTGTGATTTTTAAATAGGTGGGTGTAACTTAACCATAAGTAAGAATTAAATATAGACTTTACTACTTACATATCCTGAAAAGTTCACACATTCATCTAGGCTACAATGTTTTTTTGTTGGGAAGATGGTAAATTGCCTCAACTGTCGTGAAGGTTAAGAAGATGTAATTTTTTCCTGTGCTGCTGTTTTTGTATTAATTTTATTTTAACAAAATTTAATGAATAATTGGTGTTGTAAGCATACCATTAGTACTGATTATGTAATTGATCTTCACGTGTTTGAATATATTTCAGTGTATATGTAATTATTTGAGTTTTTATGTAGTATCAATTTCTTTAAATTTTGGGGGGAGGAGATTCCCTTAGTAAATTGGCTTGAGAAAAATATGTTTTTCTTTTCTTAACTTAAGAGTAATGATGGACTTAATTGGAAAGAACTGCTCAAAATTAAGAGTGCTCACAAGCTATTATATGCCCTGGAAATTATTGAAGCACTGGGAAAACCTAACAGAAGAATAAGGAGAGAATCAACGGTAATTGCATTTCTGTTATTATCATTAAATGTTTGTATTCTCTCTGGAGCAAAATTTGAGTGTATGTTATCCTTTAATTCTAGAATAACTTTTTTCAGCTGCCGCCTTCCCTTATTTTTTTATTTTTTGCCGTTCCCACAGGGGAGTTACAGTGATCTTTATCCAGATTCAGATGATTCAAGTGAGGATCAAGTGGAAAATAGTAAAAATTCCTGGAGTTGCAAGGTTTGATCATATGTGTTTTGCAGTGTATTGATAAAAATAATTTATCTCTAATTTTCCAAAAGTAGGTACCACAATTATTAATTGGTTTTAAACTAGTTTACTATTAACGCATACTTTAAAAATGATATGTTACTCTAAATCACAATAATAAGCTGAGATTATTTAATGTGTTTGTGCCTCTGTTTTTAGCACTTAATATTTTTCCCCCCATTGGAATACTGTGTTAGAACACATCATCATCTGGCATTAAATGGTTAATGGAATATAGATATGTTTATAGGTTTTTGCAAGAACTTTTCAAGAAAAATTCTTGAAAGTAGGCTGTACGTTATTACTTTTTATGGAAATCATTATGATTATTTTTTTAAATTTTTTTAAATATTGGCACCTGAGCTACCATCTGTTGCCAGTCTTCTTTTTTTTTCCTTCTTCTTCTTCTCCCCGAAGACCCCCAGTACATAGTTGTATATTCTAGTTGTAGGTCCTTCTCGTTGTGCTGTGTGGGACACTGCCTCAGCATAGCTTGGTGAGTGGTGCCACATCCCCGCCCAGAATCCAAACTGGTGAAACCCTGGGCCGCTGAAGTGGAGCATGCAAACTTAACCACTCGATCAAGGGCCGGCCCGCATTTTGATTATTTAAATCAAAGAGTAATTTGCTAAATGAAGGATATAGTCCTGCACCAGATAATGATGTTTCGGTCAATGATGGACTGCATATATGACAGTGGTCCCATAAGATTAGTGTATAGTTCCATAAAGCCCAGGGGTGTAGTAGGCTATACCATCTAAGTTTATGTAAGTATACTCTATAAAGTTTGCATAGTGACAAAATCACCCAATGACGCATTTCTCAGGATGTATCCCTGTTGTTAAGTGATGCATGACTGTATATGCTATTTTATTTATTTTTTGCTGTGGAAGATTCGCCCTGAGCTAACATCTTTTGCCAATCCTCCTCTTTTTTTGCTTGAGGAAGATTAGCTTTAAGCTAACATCTGTACCAGTCCTCCTCTACTTTTTTGTATGTGGGACACCTCTACCATATAGCTGCTGAGTGGAGTAGGTCCCTACCTGGGATTTGAACCAGTGAACCCAGGCTGCCAAAACACGTGGAACTTTAACCACTCAGCCACAGGGCTGAGCCTTGTATACACTATTTTATACACACACGTGCATACACACATCCAGTGAATCAAAAAGCGAGTCTTTGTTACATTTTATAGCTGCTTTTCTCTTACCATTACTCTCACAATTGCTTACAGTTTGTTGCTGCCGGAGGGCTTCAACAGTTATTAGAAATTTTTAATTCTGGAATTTTGGAGCCTAAGGAGCAGGAATCTTGGACTGTGGTAAGTAAAAAATCACTGTTTCAACCAGTTACAGTAGTTATTCCATTTTAAGCACTTCCATTTCCCATTAGCAAGTATAACTTTTGCTACATACTTCATTGTAGTAAAGGAAAGTATGGAGTACAGTAAAAATAAATTAAAAAAAAAGTCTCATAAACCGGTTATGCATTAGGAGTTCTCCATGTCAACTCTGTTAAAAATTTTTAAGTGCTAAAAATGAATGACTCTGAACCATGGCTGATTCATAAACGTTTTTCCTTTAGGTTGATAAAGTATATACTAATATTTATATAGTAAAGTATAGATGCTTTTTAAGAAAACTCATCTTCAATTTTTTTCAAAACATCCTTTTTCATTTTGTTTTGACCATTTCTTCCTTTATAGCAGTACTACTCAAAAATATATCTTCCAGGCCATTTGTGACTGGTCTGCAGTGAAATAGGTATAGAAATTAGAGTAAGCCTTTAGAAATTTTTATAGCAATTGGACATTGCTGCAGTATTTTTTACAGTATTTTACAAAATTATCAGTCCCCAACAAAATGGGAGTTTTAAAAGTGGTACTTTACCACTATCAACTTGAAGAAGCATTGTTCTGTAATAGGAAAATAAAATTGCTTGTGGAATATTAAAAAATTCATAATGCTATATACCAAACTGCACAATGCAGTTTTTTTTGTTTTTTTTTTTTTTTAAAGATTTTATTTTTTCCTTTTTCTCCCCAAAGCCCCCCCGGTACATAGTTGTGTATTCTTCGTTGTTCTTCGTTGTGGGTTCTTCTAGTTGTGGCATGTGGGACGCTGCCTCAGCGTGGTCTGATGAGCAGTGCCATGTCCGCGCCCAGGACTCGAACTAACGAAACACTGGGCCGCCTGCAGCGGAGCGCGCGAGCTTAACCACTTGGCCACGGGGCCAGCCCCTGCACAATGCAGTTTTTAACTAAAGGGAAAGGATTCTCCATTTCCTGACCTCCAACAAAGCAGAGTAGCGTTATCAAACATCCCTTTTGAATACTAATTTCTTAGTTACTTGTTCTTTAGAATTACCTTGGAACCTAGAACTCATGTGTTCTTGATTTGGTATCAAATACTAGTATGTCTAAAAAGTTAATGAGAGAAAATAACATTTAGAAAACATAGTGCTGTCTGCCAAAATTTTGTTAATCTTACCACTCATTGCAATACTTGTTTTTTCCATTTTTCTTTTACTACAGATATTTTCCTTTTTACAATAGATACCTCTACTACAATAATTAATTGTTGTAATTCTATGTCTTATAACTCAAATGTCTGTCGTGTTTTATTAGACATGTTTTTGTTGTTCCATTAATCCCTCAGAATTATAAGGTGCCTTTTAGTTCTCTGGCAAAGTGAGAGAATTTAACATCTTTAATGAGTAGTTAATGTGTCATTTATAGGAATTTTGTTTATAAACTGCTCTGTTTAGTTTTGAATGAAGTTACAGGGAATCATGTGCCAAAGCTTTTCTCTCTTTGTTTCCTTTGAAATTGTGGATACTTTTATGAAGTACTACTATTAAGAAAATTTTACTGCCATATGTGTTACATTGTACTCTGGCAATGCCTGACATGCCAAACATGCCTAAGACACAGAGCTTTCAAGTCAACTGATATCCCCTATTTATAATGCATCTCTCTTAATATGTTATAAAATAATTGTAAATTCAGAATCATTCTTGCTTCTTAACCGATTTTATTTTTCCCCTTTTTAAATGAACTTAGTTGAATTATATTTTTAAAATTAAACTTTTTGAGATATAATTCACGTACAATAAAATTCACCCTTTTAAAAGTAAAAATCAGTGATTTTTAGTATGTTCACAAAGTTTTGCAACCATTACCACGGTGTTAATTCCAGAACAATTTCATCAATCCAGAAGGAAACTCCGTACTCATTAGCAATCACCCCTCCCTCATTTTCCCCCAAATGCTTCAGTCCTATGCAAAAACCAATCTAATCTACTTTCTGTCTTTATGGACATTTCATGTAAATGGGATGATACTATATATATATAGGCTTTTGTGACTGGCTTCTTTCACTTGGCATAATGCTTTCAAGGTTTACTTTTGAAAGTAGTATATTATCCAGGGTCACCACTTTTTCATTTGAGCCATTCTAGTGGGTATGTGGTATTATCTGATGGTGGTTTTGCCTTGTCCTTCCCTGATGATTAGTGATATTGAGCATCTTTTCTTGTGCTTATTGACCATGATTTGTTTTTTGTGTTTTTTTTGGTGAGGAAGATTGGCCCTGAGCTAACATCTGTTGCCAATCTTGCTCTTTTTGCTTGAGGAAGATTGTCCCTGAGCTGACATCTGTACCTATCTTCCTCTATTTTGTATGTCGAACACCATGACAGCATGACTTAATGAGCAGTGTGTATGTCCACGCCTGTGATGCGAGCCTGTGATGCGAACCTGTGAACGCTGGGCTGCTAAGGTGGAGGCGGCAAATGTAACCACTAAGCCACTTGGCCAGCCCCCGTTTTTTCTTTTTCAATTGTAGTAAAATGCATGTAACACAAAATTTATCATCTTAACCATTTTTAAGTGTATGGTTCTGTGGTATTAAATACGTTCACAATAACTCCCCAATCGTTCCCTCCCCCCAGCCTGAGGCAACTACCATTGTACTTTCTGTCTCTGTGGTTTTGACTGCTCTTAAGTACTTCATGTAAGTGGAATCAGAAATATTTGTCTTTTTGTGACTGGCTTATTTCACTGAGCAAAATGCCCTCAAGTACCATCCTTGTTGTAGCGTATTGCAGAATTTCCTTCCTTTTTAAGGCTGAATAATATCCATTGTGTATATATACCACATTTTGCTTATCTTTTCATCCTTTGATGGACACTTGGATTGCTTCTATGTTTTAACTATTGTGAATAATGCTGCTGTGGACGTGGGTATACAAATATATTTGAAACTCTCCTTTGAATTCTTTTGGGTATATACCGAGGAGTGGAATTGCTGGGTCATATGGTAATTCTATTTTAAACTTTTTGAGGAACTGCCATACTGTTTTCCACACCAGCTATACCATTTTACATTCCCAACAACAGTGCACAGGGTTCCGATTTCTCTGAATCTTCACCAGCACTTTTATTTTCTGGTTTTTTGATGGTAGCCATCCTAATGGATGTGAGATTGTGGTTTTTACTTTCATTTCCTTAATGATTAGTGAAGTTGAGCATCTTTTCACGTTCTCATCGGCCATTTGTATGTCTTTGGAGAAATATCTGTTCAACTCCATGCCCGTTTTTGAATCAAGTTGTTTGGGTTTTTTTGTTGTTAAGTTTTCCAAGTTCTCTATATATTGTGGATATTAGTCATTTATCAGGTATATAGTTTGCCAATTTTTTCTCCCATTCTATAGGTTGTCTTTTTAATCTATGTGTTGTCGTCTGATGCACAAAATTAGTAAATTTTCATGCAGTCCTGTTTGTTTTTTCTTTTGTTGCCTGTGCATTTGATGTCCTGTCCAAGAAATCATCGCCAAATGTTGTGAAGCTTTTATCCTATGTTTTCTTTCAAGTGTTTTGTTGTTTTAGGTCTTATATTAGGTTCTTGATTCATTTTGATTTAATTTTTGTATTGGGTGTTAAATAAGGGTCCAACTTTGTTCTTTTGAATGCGGATATCCAGGTTTTCCAGCACCATTTCTTGAAAAGACCATTCTTTCACCCCCATTAATGGTCGTGGCCCCCTTGTCAAAAATCGTTTGACCATATATGTGAGGATTTATTTCTGGGCTCTTTGTGTCATTCATTTCTCTATATGTCTTGTCTTTATGCCAGTACCACACTGTGTTGATTACTGCTGCTTTATAGTAAGTTTTGAAATCAGGAAGAGTGAGTCTGCCAGTTTTGTTCTTTTCTTTCAAGATTGATTTTGCTATTCAGGGTCCCTTGCAATTTTGTATGAATTTTAGGATGGGTTTTTCTGTTTCTGCAAAAAATAGCATTAGGATTTTGTTAGCGATTGAACTGAATCTGTAGATCACTTTGGGTAGTATTGATATTTTAATAATGTTAAGTTTTCCAATCCATGAACATGGGATGTGTTTCCATTTATGTATGTCTTTAATTTCTTTCAGCAGTGTTTTGTAGTTTTCATTGTAGAAGTCTTTCACCTCCTTGGTTAATTCCTAAGTATTTTATTATTTTTGATGCTATTGTAAATGGAATTGTTTTTTAATTTTCTTTTCATGTTGTTCATTGTTCGTGTATATAAATGCAGCCAAATTTTTATGTTGACTTTGTATCCTGCTACTTTGCTGAATTTACTGAGTAGCTTTAAGAGCCTTTTTTTGAAGTCCGAGCTTATTTTATCTACAGAGATAATTTTACTTCTTCTTTTCCAATTTGAATGCCTTTTATTTCTTTTTCTTGCTTAATTACTCAGTACAAAACTTCCATTACTATGTTGAATAGAAGTGGTGAAGCTTGGCATCCTTTCCTTTTTTCTTGTCTTAGAGGAAACTCTTTCAGTCTTTCACCAATGAGTATGATTTTCACTATGGATTTTTCATACATGGCTTTTATTATGTTGAGGTAGCTTCCTTCTATTCCTATTTTGTTGAGTGTTTTTATCATGAAAGGATGTTAAATTTTGTCACATGCTTTTTCTGTATCAACTGAGATGATCGTGTGGTCTTCTCCCTTCATTTTGTTGATGTGGAGTATTACATTCATTTATTCCCATGTGTCAAACCATCCCTGCGTTCGAAGAATAAATCCCACTTGGTCATGGTGTATAATCCTTTTAATATGTTGCTGAATTCTGTTTGCTAATATTTTGTTGAGGACTTCTGCATCAGTGTTCATAAGGGATAGTGGTCTGTAGTTTTCTATTTTTGAAGTGTCTTTTTCTGGCTTTGAATCGGGGTTATACTGGCCTGATAGAATGAATTAGAAATTGTTCTTTCCTCCTTTGTTTTTGGGAGACATTTGAGAAGGATTGGTATTACTACTTCTTTGGATGTTTGGTAGAATGAACTAGTGAAGCCGTCAGGTGCAGAACTTTTCTTTGTTGGGAGATTTTTGATTACTGATTCAATCTCCTTGCTAGTTATAGATCTGTTCAGATTTTCTATTTTTTTGTGATTGAGTCTTGGTAGGTTTTGTGTTTCTAGGAATTTGTCCATTTTATGTAGGTTATCCAGTTTTTTGGTGTACAATTTTTCATGGTACTCTCTTAAAATCCTCTTTATTTCTGTAGAGTTGGTAGAAATATTCTTACATTCATTTCTGATTTTAGTAATTGCACTCTTCTCTCTTTTTACTTTGTCCTTCTAGCTAAAGGTTTGTCAATGTGGTTGTTCATTTCAAAGAACTAAGTTTTGTTTTCATTGATTTTTCTCTATTGCTTTTCTATTCTCTTTTTCATTTACTTCTCCTCTGATTTTATTATTTCCTTCTTTCTGCTAGCTTTGGGTTTAATTTGTTCTTTTTCTAGTTCCTCAAGTTGTAAAGTCAGATTGTTGATTGAGATCATTATTGCTTTTTTTAATGTAAGCATTTATAGCTATAAATTTCTGCATTAGCACTGCTTTCACTGCGTCCCATAAGTTTTGTATTGACTATGCTTTTTATCTATTTTTGTAAAGTATCTCTTCATATCTTGGGCTGACTTCTTTTTTTTTTCTTAACCAATTTGGACAAGTTTTTCTTTCTCAGATGTATGTAGTAGGAATATTTTACTCAATTTGTGACTTGGATTTTTATTATATTGACAATGTCTTTTAAGTGGAGACATTTTTAATTCTAACAAAATTTGTATCCTATCTAAGAAATCTTTGTCCAAGGTCACAAAGGTTTTTCTCCTCTAAGTTTTATAGTTATCTTTTGCATTTAGGTCTGTGATGCATTTTGAGTTAACTTCTGTATATGTAGAGTGAAGTTGAGGTTTTATTTATTTTTTTTCATATGACTGTCCAGTTTTTCTGGCACCTTTTGTTAAAGAGACTGTTTTTTCCTCACTGAAGTTTCTTGGTACCTTTCTTGAAAATCAGCTATATAGAACTGCTATATTTCCTGGTATTATACTGGTGTAGCTGTAGTACTTGGCAGTGGTTATGGAAAAGAGGAGGACAAAGACCATGAAGAGAAAGCTCTGAAACTCATTTTGTACATACGTGGTGTTCTTAATTTATTTAAAGGAAATGTTTTATTTAAAAATGTTTAATATAAAAATTTAAATCAATTACAAATTTTACTTTTCAGACTACTTAATATTTTACGAAAAATTATTTTTCATTTTGATTGTACATATGTAAAGTGCAAAATTCTCAGTTGAATTACTTTCTAGAATTAGTGAGAATTGCTTTGGCCTCAGAATATGTGTCACTTTTGTGGAGAAACAACTTACAGTATTTTGTCTCTCAATTCATTTTATTGGTGGGTAAATGATATCTTTGTTAGCAGTTTAATAATTTTTTAAAAATCACAGTACATTCTGAGCAGTGCATTTTTTAAAAAAGTTGTCTTTCTCTATCACATGCGTTAGTGTGATACCTTCATGATAGAAATGCAAGTGTCATTTCCATTTCATTAAATACATCTTCTTAGTGTCTAGATACTTTTCTTCATTTTTATAAGATTGAATTGTTAATGAACCATAATACATGAGCAGCAAAATTTCTGTACCACATAGATTGAGTACTAGCTATAATTACTTTTATTTTCTAGCCTTTAATTTCAGGTTGTATAGTGGCCATGTTAAATTAATGAAAATAGGGAAATGACATTTTCTTCTTATCCACAGTGGCAGCTAGACTGTCTTGCTTGCTTGCTGAAGTTAATATGCCAGTTTGCAGTAGATCCGTCTGATTTGGATTTAGCTTATCATGATGTCTTTGCCTGGTCTGGTATAGCAGAAAGCCATAGGAAAAGAACCTGGCCTGGCAAATCAAGAAAGGCTGCTGGTGATCATGCCAAGGGTCTTCATATACCAAGATTAACAGAGGTAAAGTACAGACGTTAACCTTAAATTGTAGTAATGAATTCTGTTTATGTTTTAAGAGAGCTTTTGTTTTTACAAAGTGAAGAAATAGACTAATGCTTAAGAAATGCTATCCTAGATTACCACAATATGACCTAAAACCAGAAGTGATGCTTCTGTTTTAAAGCAGGAGTACTTATGAAGCAGTAATGCTTTTCACGTCATCATGCAAAATGCAGGAATGAATTATATGCCATTTTAATGTTTTCTAACTATAGGATTGAGTTCATTATTTGGACTCAGTACTTTAAATACTGAGTGTATCAGTATCCGTTCAGGAAAACAAACACTAGGTATTTCAACAGAGAAAATTTAAAATAGAGAGTTGTTTTATGTGTATGTGTTGGAGGGCTAAAAATATAAAAAGAAAATGTTGAGATAACCTAGATAGGTAACCATTCACTACCCTTAGGGTTGAGGAACATAACGGAAAAGGTTGGAGTTAATAGAAATGAGCTTATAAGAGGGATCCTGTTGAATTGGGGTTTAGGCCTCTAAGTAAAGGGTTCTGCTGTTTCTGAAACCAACTGCCTCTTCTGGGTAAAATATTTCTGAAACAATGCTAACAGAAAAAGCAAGGAAATATTCTTTATTGTCTCAGGTTGACAGAACCTAATAGGAAGCCAGCTGGCAATGGAGGAATTTAGTTTGTCATGTTCCAGCCCTAGCATCACGGAGCAAGTATATAGAATGGTAGATTTAGAGCTGAAAGAAAATGGCACAATAACCAGCAAATCCAGCAATAAATTTAGAATTCTTTTTGACTATGGATTCTGTTATTCATGTGATCAAATATTTGCCCTTCCGATGTCTCCATCAGTGAACTGGGAAGTGGGGAGAGATGAAGACGAGTTTTTATTGACATCTCTTCCTCATTTAGTAGCCTTTTGAGAATGACACCTCACCTCATACCTGCCCAAGAAACACCAGAGTAATGAATTGTTACTGATAGAAAAATATTGTGGTGAACATAGGTTGGAAACTACTAGTATAAATGAAAATCTGAAGCATATTTCCCATTGGAATTTTGGGATTTAAATGGGAAAAGTGATCTGTGCTAGTATTCCAGATCATTTACATCTAATACAATTAAAATAGACTCACTGTGATCTAAATGTATTCTACAGTGTTGCATACTGTGAACGAAAGTCTTGCATCGCTTAATGACAAGACTATGTTCTAAGAAATGCATCATTAGGCAATTTCGTAAAGTCGTAGAGTGTACTTACACAAACCTAGAAGGTATAGCCTACTACACACCTAGGCTATATTCTACTAATCTTGTGGGACCACCATCATATATGCAGTCCATTGTTGACCAAAATGTTGTTATGCAATGCCTGACCAAACCTTGCATTGCTGTAATGTTTCAGGGTTTTTTTCCCCAGAATAAACTTTCCAGATTATAATACAAAAGCTCAAATCATTTGTGCTCCTTTCCGTCAACTCACTAAATAGTTTTAAAGCTTTTGATTTTTATTAGTGATTTCCTCTTGACATTTTAATGATATAAATACATGTAATTATACATGTAAAACACATATATGGAGTTTTAAAAATAATGGGTTTGTTTTTTAAAAAAATATATGCAAGTACATAGTAATGGAAAATAATTCAGAATATACAAGTGAACCTTCACCCAGTTGTAGTTGACTACCATTAATAGCTTTATGTGGTATCTTTCTGGAGTGTTTTTTTCTGTGCACATACCAGGGTTACGTTTTTTTTTTTTTTTTTGAGGAATATTAGCCCTGAGCTAACATCTGCCTCCAATCCCCCTCTTTTTGCTGAGGAAGAGTGGCCCTGAGCTAACATCCTTGCCCATCTTCCTCTACTTTATATGTGGGACGCCTTCCACAGCATGGCTTGATAAGCAGCGAGTAGGGTCCACACCCAGGATCTGAACCAGTGAACCCTGGGTTGCCAAAGGCGAATGTGTGAACTTAACCACTGTGCCACTGGGCCAGCCCCCCAGTGTTACTTTTTTATAGTTTAGAAAAGAGGCAGACTATACATATTTTTCCATTGGTTTATTTATTTTAATAATTAGAGGTTAGTATGTACGTCTAAGCTATTTGGCAACAAAAAATTTTGTTACACTAATTCTGGAGATAAAAATCATCCAATTTTGGTATATTATAGATAGTAAGGAAGAACACTAATTCTTTTAATAATTTACTATCATGCATTATTTCATTTGTTCTCCTTAATAATTGCCTTTTAGAAAGTTCAGATTCCAAATTGAACTTTCAAATTCCAGCCTCACCATTGCTTTTCTTGAAGCTTTCCTGATTCTGCCGGGGACAAGTTTAGTTGTTGCTCCCTTCTTTTGCTTATTTGGCACATTGTATATACTTAAGTTACAGTGCTTTCTATGTTATCTGCTGCACTGGACTAACATCTCCAGGATTGGAACAGTGACTTAAAAAATAAAGGCCCAGAGTGGGTTCCGACCTGCAGAAGGGATTCAATGATCCTTTATTAAATTAGCAAATTGTATGGATGAAGAACTAGGACCTAGAAATTAAGTATTCGTTAGAATCGTGCAGCTTGAAATTTAGCAAACTAAACTTTGAACCTCAGGATTTAATCCAGGATCATGTTCTGTATCCATGGTATATTGTATATTGCTTGTTTATATTTATTTCCGGGTGGTTGAGGAATCTGCCACTGGTTGACTATTTTTCTTATTTCAAAAGTAAAAAATGTTTCATTCCTCACTCACCTCCCCAGAACACTGACATGTAATATATAGTATTTTTCTTACCCAGTGACATGCAGAATATCTGTGGATCCAATATACAAAATAATTTTACCTGTGTATTTCTAAATTTTCATTTTCTTTTCCAAGTTGCTGCTCTTAAACTTGGTTACAAAATTCTAGTTTTCTAGTATTTGATATTTTTACAGTATTTTTAAATAGCCATTACTAGGATATTTCTTACCTTGTCATAGACAAAAAGTAATTTGGAGTCTTGGGTTAAAAATGCAGTTCTGTGTGTTTTAGTGTATTTAAAAGTTTTTTTTAAATGTTTTTGTTTTAAAGGTATTTCTTGTTCTTGTCCAAGGAACCAGTTTGATTCAGCGACTTATGTCTGTTGCTTATACGTATGATAATCTGGCTCCTAGGTATGAAGTTTTAACATAATTTATATATGTATTTGTAGTAAGAATATAGTGTCTTAAAATTTTATTTTGAAAAAATTTAAAACTTAGAAAAATCAAGGCATTTTCATGGACTCTGCCATTCATCTAGATTTGCATATTACCAAAATTTTGCCAGTTTTTATCTCGTAATCATGAGTGCGCATTTTCCGTGTGTCTGTGCACACGCATTTATTTGCATACTCTCCTGAATCTTATGACAGTAAGTTTCAGACATGACTACTTACTCATAAATACTTTGATGTGTATCTCCTAAGATTAAGGACGTTCTCTTAATCTAGCATAAAATTTTAAAATTTAGAAAATCTAACATTGATAGAATAATATCTAATCTATAACCCATACTCAAGTTGTTCTATTCATATTCTTTATAACAATTGTTATCCTGGTCCAGAATCATGTACTACTGTGTTTCTTCCATTTCCTTTAATCAGGGATACTTTCTTAGCCTTTCTTTCATGATACTAACGTTTCTGGGTGGTATAGGCCAATTATTTTATAAATTGCCTTTCAATTTAGGTTTTCCTGATTGTTCCTTATGATTAGATTCAGATTATACATTTTGGTAGGAATACTCCATAAGTGATGTGTCTTTTCCAATACATGCTGGGGATGTCAGTTTGTCCCATTATTAGTAATATTAATTTTGATCAGTTAATCTGGTTTCTTCCAGGTTTCTCTACAATAAGGTTTCTGATTTTTCCTTTAAAAGTAACTTATGGGAAGATATTTTGCAACTGCTTAAATTTCCTGCTCCCCATGAAACGTTCACTCATTGATTTTCAGCGTTCAGTGATGATTCTTGCCTGAGTTAAATATTATTTTAATATTTGAAAACTAGTGATTTTCTAACTCTTACCATTCCATTTATTAGTTGACCTCCTATTGTGAAGAAGAGCTTTCTCTTCTTCCCTTTTATTTATTTAGTTACTATCAATTTGGATTCATGGATTTTTTTGTTTGTTTATTGTTACAATTTATTACTATTACTATTCACTTTGGTCAACGTATGTCTGAGTTGGCCTCTTCAGCCTTGTTCATGTGTCCTTTTCACACATTCCCATTATTTGGGATGGAGAGGAGGAGTCCCCTTTTTTTTTCCCCTGTCACTGCAAGATCTTCTAGGTTTGTAGTTTCCATGTCTTAGTCCTGGAATCAACCATTTCCTTAAGAAGCGCTAGTTCCTATTGGTGGGGAACCTCCAAAATATGGGTGCTTGGTGTATTCATTGTTACTAGTGTTTCCTTGCTTCTAGGCCCTCAGTGGACAGAGCTGGAAATACGTGTGTAAGAATATAGTTTAAACGTGTAATATGACCCCATATATTGGGGCTACATTGGAGATCTTAATAATGTACAAAATTTTAATAATATAGAAATTCAAGTATGATAATGGCTGACTAATGCATAGCTACCTTGTTGTATGCCTTAAATAATCACATAAAGTATGTTGAAGTATATAAAATTAATTTCCAGGTATTTTGTAGGCATTATATTGGGCTGAAGTTTGCCATTGTCCTCAAATAATTTATAAAGCTAATGTAAACACCTTTACAAATGATTATCCTATGTATTGCTAGTATCTAATTAGCTGTTTTTAGGTGCTTTTAAAAGTCATGTTCATAGGCAATGGTTGCATATAAATAGTATGATTATTTTAAGATTCTTTCTTTTTTAGTGTGCCTTTCTTTAATGTCTATCTCAATTGAATTCATGTTCATTACTTGATCAGTATCTGCTTTAACTCACTACACTTAAATTCTGCATGAACTATATCTGATTTTGGTCACCATATTTTCAGTGCCAAGCACCTTACCTCATTGTTTGTAAAACTTGTGAATGGATAATGTGGGGAAACAAAGAAAGTGCTATAACATACCCTTGATTTGTATGATAAAATGCATTTTATACCCCAACCACCAATTACTCTCCAGTTAAATAATTCTTAACTCTTTCTTGTCCTCTAACACACACTCTACCTCACTGTCCCACACACCACAATATATTGAATTAACAAGGCAATTCAATGACTACTTTAGTCTGCTTTTATTTCTTTAGAATTAAGAAATGTTCACTTGACTGTTAACCTCACACAATGAGAAATAAATATGCAGATTTGTTAACAGCTGTTGCTGTTCAAGCTGGTTCACTCTGTGGCAATTCTTGTTTTCATTCTACCAGTTCCATTCTTAAAGAACTCATTACAATCTTTGTAATGTGAGCTCCCCCTCCCCCATTCCAGTGTTTTCTCAGCACTTGTTCCTGTGCAATTATCTTTTTATAAGCCCCTACTTTCAGTTCATAGGTGCTAGGTATATCAATTTAAGGAAGCTAGAATGAACTTTTTGACTGTTTTATTAAAAATCTTGTAATGATACAGATTTAAAAGGTAGATAGGTAGGTTGCTCTTGGTAAAGTTAAATGCATTATACCAATGTAGTAAAAATTAAATGTGAGATATGGCCAAACACTTGATTTATACATTTTAACTTATTAGTACCTTTTATTGTAAATCAATACTATGGATGAGTCTTGCTTTTTGATATTTTGAAAGGTGTTTTATTTATTAAAACATAGTGAGGATACTGGAGATCAATGCTTTTTTTTTAACAGTTTATTTGTAAGGCAAATAGTAAATCCCTATTTATTGGTTTTAGTTAAAATGAAATTTTAGTCTTTTTTAAATTGAGGTGTAATACTTTTTTCATTGAAGTTACTAAAAGTATCACAGGGAAAAATAGAGATGAAACAAGATAGAATAAATTTGTTAATTTTCTTTTTAATAATTTGCTTTTAACTGTTCTTGATAGAAATTGGCATTAACAATAAAAAAGGAAGGGCGTTTCATGTCAATGTATGATTCTTTTCAGGGGGGAAGTTTGAAGTTTAGACTTTAAGCTGTTATAAACCTTTCTCTTTGTAATACATGTCTCCAGTAACTAAATCATGAACACTTTTTGAGGGTACACTTATTTCAATCAATATTGGATTCAGTCAATTAATAAACAGATTATTAAGTCTGAACAGTCATTTGGTGTTTGCTGTAATAAGACTTTACCTGTGGTTCTTTAAGTAAAAGATAAATATTATAGGAAAAATAGCTTTCTTAAAATCTAAATCTTTTTTGGGCAGAAATTGTATAAAGTTGAAAGGATATGTGATAATAAATTGAGCTATTTTAAATTCATTGCTGATTTTAATTGGTGGTGGTGGTGTGTTTTTACTTTACAGAGTTTTGAAAGCTCAGTCTGATCACAGGTCTAGACATGAAGGTAAGGGTTTCACAAAGTTAATTTTTAATAGATAAGGATTTGGATAACCAGATACATTTATATATAATATCTTTAATAGTGAACATTGTGTTTTCTTTATAGCACAAGACCTTATAGTCGTATTTTTTTCTAATTTTTCTTTAGTTTCACATTATTCAATGTGGCTGTTGGTGAGTTGGGCTCATTGCTGTTCTTTAGTGAAATCTAGCCTTGCTGATAGTGATCATTTACAAGATTGGCTAAGGAAATTGACCCTCCTTATTCCTGAGGTAAGATAAAGATTGAAGATTAGTACTATTTTTACTTTTCATATTTTTTTCCTATTATTAGCATTGCTAAAAGTAAAAGAGCTAATGGAAACAAATGGACCTGATTCCACAAATACATCACATTGTCTAGAATGTACCTATTTAATCCTTTAAGATCTAGAGTATTTTGAACTATGTACACTTAAGTGTGAATATTAAATATTCTGTAGCATTCATATTGGTCTTTTTTCTGAAATGTTTGTTTACATAGTGATTATTTTGCTTTGGGTTTTTCTTTTTATTGTTTTTTACCAGGGAGTGGGAAGGACTTGAGCGTTTATTTTGGTAATTTATGTTTTAGAAGTTTCTTTTGCTTTTTCTATTTAATTAGATTATATCCTTAGATGCAACAAAGACTAAAAAGTTGAATATATTTTCTTTTGATTCCAATGAGGTCAATATAATTTTCACTAACCATATCTTGATTATTGCTCATACCATGTTCCTCAATGCAACAGTACTAACACTCTGTTACTAATATACTTAGCCATAATAGTCACGCCTTTTTTTTTTTTTTTAAAGATTTTATTTTTCCTTTTTCTCCCAAAGCCCCCCAGTACATAGTTGTGTATTTTTATTTGTGGGTCCTTCTAGTTGTGGCATGTGGGATGCCACTTCAGCGTGGCCTGATGAGCAGTGCCATGTCCGCAGCCAGGATTTGAACCACTGAAACCCTGGGCCACTGCAGCGGGGCACGCAAACTTAACTACTCAGCCACAGGGCCACCCCGATAGTCACTCCTTTTTTAGACAGCAGTGTCTAATTCTGTTAGCTCTGAATTGAATGCATGTGTGTTCTTTTGCTGACCGTGTCCCAGGTAACCACTGTGACATTTGGGCAAGTCCCTTAGAATCTGTAAAATGTTCTAGTTTAAGTACTTTCTAAGTTGCTTCTAGTTCTGAGAATATTTTATCCTGTTACTTAATTGTGTAAATAAATTATTTTGAATACCCTCTCCTCAATCCCTTTTGTATTTGTCTGTTTTCATCGTGTTTATTTGGTTTGTTTTTATGGATGTATTTGGGAATTTCTAAAATACGTTTTTACATGTTACTTTATACTTTGGGGTAGTTTATTTGATCATATTATTTACATGTATGATGGTGTGATCAGAACATTGCATTTTAAAATATGTTACTAAAGGAACCACCTAACATGTTATTTCTGCCAACGTATTAACTTAAGATTAACTTTTTAGTACTTACTCAGACTATCTTTGGAACTTGCTTTTTCATTTAGACTGCAGTCCGTCATGAGTCTTGCAATGGTCTTTATAAGTTATCTCTGTCAGGGCTGGATGGAGGAGACTCAATCAATCGCTCTTTTCTGCTATTGGCTGCCTCAACATTGTTGAAATTTCTTCCTGATGCTCAAGCACTCAAACCTATCAGGGTAAGGTTTTACTATGTTCAAGAGTGGTTTCTGTTTCTGCAATTTCCTTTGCCCCAAGTTTATCATTGTATTATACCCTCATGGTAATTTTGAGTACTTGTTTACTGTATGTAGTATTTACCAAGAGGATAGTAGTTATATAGTTCTTAAAGTGACAGCATTGTGACATGTTGTGTCCACATTACACCTAGGAATGGAATCTCTGTACTTTGATTTCAGCTATGTGGGATCTCTCCTGGGTATTCTGTTGTGGAAATAACATCTGTTCTTACTAGATTCTGGGCCTTATATTAATAAGTTGAATGATAGAAACATCCTAAATGTAGCTTTCTTCTCATTCAGTCACACAGTTGTTTTTTTGTTTGTTCTTTGCTTTATCCTTATGATACTATAGTCCCCCCCTTTATCTGCAGAGGATGCATTCCAAGACCCCCAGTGGATGCCTGAATCCAAACCCTATATATTTCTGTGTTTTTTCCTATACGTACATACCTATGATAAAGTTTAATTTATAAATTAGGCAGAGTAACAGACTAACAATAATATCTAATAATAAAATAGAACAGTTATGACAATATACCATAATGATATACTGATAACTGAGAAGGCTACTAAGTAACTAATGGCTGGGTAGTGTACACAGCATGAATATACTAAAAGGGATGACTTGTATCCTGGGTGGGCATGGAGGATGTCGGCACGAGATTTTATCATGCAGAATGGCACGCAGTTTAAGACTTATGAATTGTGTATTTCTGGAATTTTCCATTTTATAATTCCAACCATGGTTGACTGCAGAAAGTTGAGTCATAGAGAAGGGGGACTACTGTATTCTGAATTTTTAGTTCCCTTCCTTGCTCCAGTGTATGTATTAGCCTTGTAAAAACCCTTTTACCACATAATAAATCCAGAGCCATTAAGTAAATTTTACTAACCCCAGAAATATGACGTATTGTAAGATTTACGTTTTCCTTCTCCATATTTACCTATCATCGACTTTGTAAGAAATATGTGTTCTTTATTTTTCAGATTTCAAAACTATAACAGACCATTGCATGTGGGCAGATTTATATATACCCATATTCTATAGGTTTCTTTTGTTTACACACGTTCATTGAATTCTTAGTTTGTATCACATTATTTAGCATTGTATGTGATTCATATCTTTTCCAAGTAGGTTATAAGTAATTTGAGAGTAATGTTTTCCTGGGAATTCTCGTATTATTCACTTATGTACTAGTTACTCTAATTTTACAGAAACCGGTAGTGTTATCTCCATCTTTTGTTAAATTTTGAATACTGTTTAGTTTGTATAGGGATTTAATTTTTTCTTAAAGTCTTTAGGTTCTTAAATGTATTGTAATTTTAAGTTATTTCCCTTTTTAAAATGTTTTCACAAAGTTTAAAATTTTTTTTAATAGATTGATGATTATGAAGAAGAACCAATGTTAAAACCTGGATGTAAAGAGTATTTTTGGTTGTTGTGCAAATTAGTTGACAACATACATATAAAGGATGCTAGTCAGGTATGTTCAGGAAATTATACATTAACTTGTTGATACTGATGAATTTAGCATGTGTGTGATCATGACTTTATAGGTCCTTATTATCAAGGGCATTTTTATCAATCTGTAATGAGCTGAAAATGTCATAATTTTTCTACTGTATTTGTACCTTTCTGTTCTACGCTAATTCTTCTTTTTACTTTGACCTTAGTTGAAATGTCTTCATCTGCTACCTATAAGTAGTTTCCTTTCTCTTCTGAGTAAGATTTGTGGATATAAAATCTTTTTGGAATGTTAAATGTAGACTTCAGGTTTAAATATATGGCTTTCTATAATAGCATGTGGATTTGGAGTTCTGAATATGTACAATAAAATTGCAATTAAAAGAGAAGTTATTTTAAGCTAAAGAAACACTGTCAGTTTGCTGATCTACTAATTTTTTTATACAAAACTAAGATGATATTTTCATCCAAACAAAGAAATTTTTAAAACAAGTTGACTTTAAAGACAAAGTTGCCATATAAAAAATTTCGTCTTTTTTCTCCTTTATAAATTTAGTAAGCTAAAGTGAATTTAAGTAATCTCAGAAAAAAATGAGAGACACTTTAAGAAGATACATTTAAATATTTAGGAAGCATTTTCTCTCAGTTTTCTTTCACGTATTTCAAAGTGCAGTATATATACTTTGCATTTTAAAAATTCAGTAGTATTTGAACTTTCTACTTTTAAGAAATAGTTTACATCTTAATTCATAAAGTATTTTACTATTCATTTGATAAATAATTATAAAAATTAATATTGAACATGTTTTAGTTTACTTGATGATTATTCATAAAATATTGATGCCAGATAAACATTGACTTTCTTTTTTTTTTTTTTTTTAAACCTGGGGTGGCCCATTTAAAGTAGGAATCTAATATATCTTGCTTGCCAAAGTAATTTTCCTTTATGAAAATCTGTTTTAATTTTTTTTTTAAAGATTTTATTTTTTTCCTTTTTCTCCCCAAAGCCGGTACATAGTTGTATATTCTTTGTTGTGGGTCCTTCTAGTTGTGGCATGTGGGACGCTGCCTCAGCGTGGTTTGATGAGCAGTGTCATGTCCGCGCCCAGGATTCGAACCAACGAAATACTGGGCCACCTGCAGCCGAGCGCGTGAGCTTAACCACTCGGCCACGGGGCCAGCCCCAAAAAATCTGTTTTAATTTTGTTGTTCAGTTATAATGAGAAGTAAAGCCTTCTGAAATTAACTGTACATTTATTATTAAAGCCTGGTTTAAAAGTGGTGTTAAAAATAAACCTTAGCAGGTGAATTGTATGCTATGTGAGTTACATCTCAGTAAAATTGTTACAGAATAAATAAAACAACAAACCGAGTGTCTTCTTCATATATTACTGTGACTATCATATTTATTACCAATATTCCATTGATTTTTTTTTTGAAGGACTATCAATGATGTGTTTACAACTATGATTTTATGATTTTATTAATTGACGTCATGTATAATTAAAGAATAGCTTTGTTATTTATGATTCCACCTATCTCCTCCTCCTCCTGGGGGGAAGTCCGTCCACCTTCCGATGTATAGCAGCACAGGTCTCTCAGGCATCCTGAGATGCTATATGGATATCCTTTGTTAACCGATGAATGTCCAATTAGTGTAGATTCGAAGGGGAAGAGACAAAGAAGACTACTCAGTCTGCCATCTTGGTGATGTCCCCAGCTTTGTTGTTTATAATTTAATTGTTACATTAATGAATTTTCGAGAACCAAATTCTTGTCACTTATAGGGAAAGGATTTTTTTAAATAATCTCGGAACTACTAAAAATTTATACTTCTAATTTGTATTTTCTCTTTGTATTAAGACAACACTCCTCGACTTAGATGCTTTGGCACGACATTTGGCTGACTGTATTCGAAGGTAACGGTTGATATGAAATTCACAGTTATATTGCTGAGGAAAGATAAAACAACGTAATTATGTGAACTATCTTGTCTTGCTTGCATTCTTTTTTGTAGCAGAGAGATCCTTGATCATCAAGATGGTAATATAGAAGATGATGGGCTTACGGGACTCCTAAGGCTCGCAACTAGTGTTATCAAACACAAACCACCCTTTAAATTTTCAAGGGAAGGGCAGGTAGGTATTAAGACATCCAAATGTCTATATAGAATATGATTGAAACTTTTGTTGTTGTTGTTGCATATGTTAAATTTCCTTAAACATGTGGAAGCGTAAAGTCTGGTAGAAGTTTATTGCTGTCAGGAAAACTGAACTTTGAATAAAATGAACCCTTAAAATATGAATCTTAGGCTTGTTTTTAGAATGCAGAAACAATTCCTATGACTGTATATAGAAAGGCAACTTCTAATGGTACAGTTTGATTGAAACAGTAGGATTGTTTTTGTTTTTTTGCTGAGGAAGATTCATCCTGAGCTACATCCATCCCCAGTCTTCCTTTTTTTCTTTTGCTTGAGAAAGATTTGCCCTGAGCTAACATCAGTCTTCCTCTGTTTTGTTCATGGGTTGCCACCACAGCGTGGCCACCAATGAGTGGTATAGGTCCATGCCTGGGAACTGAACCTGGGCCGCCAAAGCAGAGCCTACTGAACTTAACTACCATGCCACGGGGCCAGCCCCTAGGGTTGAACATTTTGAATTATCTGAATTTATAACAATGGAATTAGTAAGTAGTCATTATAGAGTACCTATCTTACTGGTTTCATATTTTAAAGACCCCTTTGACATAAAATCTGTTATTGAATGTTGGATACACCTAATGACTCTAGACCAGTGAATGTCTGATTACTCTTTACATTAAGTTAATCGCCTTGTCATTGGCAGTTTTGTCCTTGCCTATTTTGTCATTGCCTGCATTGAGAGTTATTTCTGGTTTGGAGCATTGTTTTCTTGAGGTTACTGATTTTGTTAGGAAACACAGGAATAACCAAAAGGATGGAAGATTGTTTCCATGAGCATAGACTAAGGGATTCTTGAGATAAACTTAAGGTGACAGTCTTAATCTATCTTAAATTTGTGCTATTTCCTGTATTCTGTGAGGCCACTTCTTGTGCTATTTCTTCTAGGTGCTTTTTAAATTTTTCCATTACACTCACTGGGAATAATTTGATTGATTTATAGTCTTGCTGGTTGAAATTTTATGTTATATATAAACCAATATACAGTTATCCCTCGATATCCTCAGGGGATTGGTTCCAGGACCAATCTGTAGATACTTAAGTCCCTTACATAAAACGGTATAGTGTAAATATAACCTAGACACATCCTCCCATATACTTTAAATCATTTCTAGATTATCTGTTATACCTAATGCAATGTAAATGCTCTGTAAATAGTTGTTACACTATATTGTTCAAAGAATTAATGACAAAGAAAAAAGTTTACACGTTCAGTACAGATGCACCCATCGTAAGCCTTTTGATGTGTGGTTGGTTGAATCCATGAATGCAGAACCCATAGATATGGAGGGCCAACTCTATAATTTTCATTCCAAAATATAAATATATTAATTTACTTTTCTTATAACGTATCATTGTAAAGAAAGAAAGAAATTTTTAGTGCAAAGAGAAGATTCCCATATAGTTTGATTTGGTTTCCCATGATACTTTGGTGATGGCCTTCCAGGACTTTCTGTGCATATATTAAATACACAAATGTATAATTTCTATTATGTAAATACCATTCTGTGATATGCTTTCTTCATTTGAAAAAATACGTTAAAGAAAGAGAAAATACATTTAAAAACTCGAACACATAAATAAGGAAATAATTTAATCTTTATTGACATTTGTGTTGTCACTAGTTAAAAAAGACTATGTGAGGAACATCTTTGCACACCTGTCCCATTATATATTCATATAAATTATTAAAAGTAAATTTGATTTGGGGCCGGCCCGGTGGCGCAGCGGTTAAGTTCGCACGTTCCGCTTCTCGGCGGCCCGGGGTTCGCTGGTTCGGATCCCGGGTGCGGACATGGCACTGCTTGGCAGCCATGCTGTGGTAGGCGTCCCACGTATAAACTAGAGGAAGATGGGCACGGATGTTAGCTCAGAGCCAGGCTTCCTCAGCAAAAAGAGGAGGACTGGCAGTAGTTAGCTGAGGGCTAATCTTCCTCCAAAAAAAAAAACAAAAGTAAATTTGATTCATTTTAGTCAGAATACATCAGTTTACAAAAGGTAATGTAAGTTTATACTTCCAACCGCACTAGGTGAGAATGCCAGTTTCTCAGACATCCACGTTCCTTACATGACTCTTAAATCTTTGCCAATCTCACTATTGTTTTAGTTTTATTTCTTCAGTTATTGTTGAATATGAGTGTCTTTTCATTTATGTATTGCCCATTTGCATTAACTTGTGATTTTTCTGTTCATGATCTGTGTGCATTCTTCTGTCATTTTTCTTCTATTTATTTGTAAAGTTTTGTATTTTGAAAATATCAACTCTTTCTCTGTCATAAGTGCAGGAAATATTTCCGGAAGTATTATTTCTCTTGATTATTCATATTTTTTAAGACCACTGTTTTTTTCCCCCTCTCTTTTGTTTACTGATTTTTTACAAATAATTATCTTAGGCAAAGTTTTTGAACCCTTATAGGGTAGCTGTTATTAAACCCCATTTTGACAGGTGATGAAACTAAGGCATAGACAGGTAAAGCAATTGGCCTCACTGAGGTCACTCAGATTCTTCACTTGGCTAAATTCTTAACCACTAAACAATACTGTATACAGATGTTAAAACCTTAAACACACCGTTCTGTAGTTTGCTTTTTTCACCTTCTTAGAGATTCTCCATATCACTATATACAGAGTTTAATTCATTTGTTTTAACAACTGTGTAATATTCTTTTTCTAGATATATGTAATATCTAACTAGCTTCCTAGTGATGAACATTGTCTTATACTGTTACAAGTGATGTTGCAGTGAAGATGTTTATACATCCATCATTTAGGAAATCTGTAGGAAAAAATTCTAGAAGTAGAATTGCTGGTTGATGGGGTATGTACTTTTATGATTTTGGTCAACATAACCACATTGCCCTCTATGGAGGCTGAGTCTCTTTATGGTCCCACTTAGAATGTATGTGAGCGGGTGTCTATTTCCCCACTTTCCTACCAACCCAGTGTATTATCAAATACTTAATTTCTGCCAGTCTGGTAGGTGGAAAAGATTCTCTTAGTTTTATTTTTTGTAATTATGGCTAAGGTTGAGCTTCTTTACATGTGTTTGAAACAAGCCATTTATTTGTTCTCTTTTCTCTGACTTGCTCAAATCCTTTCCTCATTGTCCTATTATGTATGTAATTGGTTCTTTTCTTACTCATTGGTAGAATTTTTTATGTAAAGGAAATTATCCCTTTGTAATGTGACTTGCAAGTACTTTTTGTCTGTTTGTCTCTTGACTTTGTGCTTTTTTTCTAAGCAGAAGTTTTTATTTTCATGTAATCAGATTTACTAATCCTTTATAGCTTCTGGCTTTTCTGTTACACTTTAAAAACTCATATTGTTTTTTCGTACTTTCATAATTTTATTTCTTACATTTAAGTTTCTTCTGTAAGGAACTTACTGAGGTGAAAAGAATGAAATGGGGAGATATCTTTCTTTTTCGGATAGTTACCCAAGTTGTCCTAATAACTGGCTAGCTTATTTTTTACGCACTGATTAGAAATAACTCCTTTATCATATTCTAAATTGCCATGTGTACTTAGATTTATTTCTGGACTTTCCGTTCCACTCTCCTAATCTGTTCATTCACCAGTATCATACCCTAATTATGTAGATTTACAGGTGTTAATATCTAGTAGAGATGTTCCATCTTCATTATTACTCCTTTTCAGAATTTTCCTGGCTGTTTTTTTTTCCACATGAACTTTAGAATCAGTTTGTTTCAGTCTTTCAAAAATTAAAATTCTGTTACTTTTTTTTATTGGAGTTGTGTTAAGTTTTATGGATTCTTGTAGAAAAAGTGACATTATATTGAATTTGCCTCTGCAAGAACAGGATTTATTTTCTTATTTATAAGACTAGTCTTTTTGTGTTCTTCATTAATGTTTTCATTTAAAATTTGAATTTTAAGCATTTCTTAATAAGGTTATTCCTAGGAATTTTATCTTTGAAGGTATCGTAAATGGAATCTTCAATTATGTTTTCTAACTAGTTGTTTATATATAGTAAGAATTTTTGTGTATGAATTTGCTGCAGACCATCTTATAGCCACTTATTGTTTGTAGATTTTTTCAAGTATCTTTGCTTTTCTCTTCAGTATTGTCTGATTTTCCATTTGTTTTAGTTTATCATCTGCAAGTAATTATTTTACTTCTTGATTTTTAAGCCTTGCCTGTCTTTGTTCTTTCACTTGTCTAATTTTGTCTAGAACCTCCAGAACAATGTTAAATAACAATTGTTTTTGTTGTTTATTAACAGTTGTTTACTGAGAAGGTTTTAATGTTTATGTAGTCAAAATTATAGTTTCCCACTGGTTTTTGCTGAGGTGGGAAACCTTTAGCTTTTGTACAGTAGAGATAAGTGGTCTGAATTAACATTTTAAAAGCTTGACTCATGCTCTAGGTGGAGATCCAGACTCTATGTAAAGAACTAGGAGGGCAAGAGTGTAGATCTGGGGTCCAGTTAGGAAGTTTTGCAGTCATTCTAGAGAAGGGTGATGATGAAAAATGGTTGGATTTGGAATGTTTATTGAAGATAGAGCTCAAAAGACTTAAATTTGGGTAAGATTGTGAGGTAGGAGAGAGAGAAATTAAGGACAACTCTTCAATTTTTAAGCCTGAGAAACTTAAGTGAATGATATTGCCATTTACCAAGGAAAAATTCAGGATAGATGAGGTTGGAGAAGGGTGAGGGTGTCAAAATCAGGAGTTCTGTTTTGGACATGTTAAATATGAAATGTCAATTAGATATCCACTGGAGGTGTTTAAGGCATTTCGTTGTGGTGTAATATTAAGAAGTCTTTCTTATCTCCAAGATAGTTAAAATGCCTTTTCTAGTTCAGTGATTTTACTTTATTATTTAAAATTTTCACCTAGAGTTTACGTTTAGTTCAGGAGTCAGTAAACTCCTGGTTTCTGTAAAGAGCTTTATAGTCAGTATTTTAGGCTTTGCAGGCCTTGTATGGTCTCTGTCACCACCACCACCACTGCTACTGCTTCTCTTTCTTCTCTTCCTCTTCTCCCCTTCCTCGTCCTCCCTTCTTCTCCTTGCTCTCTTCTTATAATTCCCCTTTAAAAATATAAATCTCATTCTTCTCTCCCCTACCTTGTATAGTATCTAGCAAATATATGTTAAGCAAATGGATGATTAAGAAGACTCAGTCCAGACTCTTAAGAACTGACAATCTAATGGTTCATTTGTTCAGCAGATTGAGAAACCTGCCTTATGCAAAATTTGTGTGTACCCTCACAAATAATGGCTGCTGATGATATTTGTAAATCATGGTAAAAATAATAGCTATTAAAGGGAATTCTATCAGGGATATGGACGATCAGATTAGGAAAGGCTTTGAAGAAGATAGAGCTTTTGTAATACAGGATAAAGTTTTCTTAAGTAGAAATATAAAGGAAACATTTAAGTCATGGAAAAGAAGATGAGAAAAAGTAAGTCGTAGGAAACCTGGGTATATGCAGGAAATTGAGTGGTTAGTTCAGTTTGGCTTGAGTTTGAGGAAGTGTAGGAGGTAACTTTGGGAAACTAGGTGGTCATCTGTTGTAGTCACAGGAAATTATTTTTATATGTACAAGAAAGCAAAAGCATTACTTTTGTAATTTAAAAAAGGGGCCTTTGAAGTTTTTGATCAGTCAAATAACACCAGGAACATGCTTTTTGGCAAAATAAATCTGGTAACAAGATTGAGAGCCAGCACAGTTCAGTGGTCTTCGAACTTTCTTTGTTCACGTAGTCTTTAAAGAATCTTGAAAAAACTAAGTGTCCTCTTACAGAATTTTTGGGGTTTTTTTTGGTGAGGAGGATTGGCCCTGAACTAACATCTGTTGCCAATCTTCCTCCTTTTGCCTGAGGAAGATGGTTGCTGTGCTAACATCTATGCCAGTCTTCCTCTGTTTTATGTGGGATGCTGCCACAGCATGGCTTGACATCTGATGCTAGGTCTGTGGCCAGGATCCGAACCTGCAAACCTGAGGCTACCCAAGCAGAGTGCGTGAACTTAACTACCATGCCACTGGTCCAGTCCCCAGATTTCTTAATTTTAAAAAATGTCTAGGGTTTTCAAATTTAAATGTTTTTAAAGGATATAATTTTTATGGAATTGTTGAAATTGATAAAAATATTTTTTTTCCTGTGACCTCACAGTATTGTCTTAAATTTCTTCTGTATTTATCATTATATTACATTTACTGGACATGGGCAATCAAAGCAACATAAGTATACTTTAAATTTTTCCAAATAAGTATGAGACATTAAAAATGACATTTTATTGAAAATATATGCATTCACAAGGGTGGGGTTTTTTAAATTAATTTATATAGTTGTAGATGGATATTAAGCTAGAATGATCACATGTTCATTCTCTTCCTACTTTATATTTTTTTAGATGTAAACTCTGAGAAATCTTGTTTACATAATGGAAATGTAAACTGTGTTCACATAAGGTTTACAATGGGAATGGAAGGAGTATTGTGGGTTTTGTTTGTTTGTTTAAAGATTGACTCCTGAGCTAACAACTGTTGCCAATTTCCTTTTTTTTTTAATTCTTCTCCTCAAAGCCCCCCCTGTACATAGTTGTAGATTCTAGTTGTGAGTGCCTCTGGTTGTGCTGTGTGGGACGCTGCCCCAGCATGGCGTGACGAGTGGTGCCATGTCTGCGCCCAGGATCCGAACCAATGAAACCCTGGGCCCCCAAAGCGCAGCGTGCAAACTTAACCACTCGGCCACAGGGCTGGGCCCAGGAGTTTTGTTGTAACATGTTGATTGTTTGAATTTCTTCTGAATTACCTGTCAAAAATCGCGCTATGGTCTCTCATCGTAAAACTGATTTTAATATTCTCTCAGGTAGCAGTTTGAGGTTCTTCTTTCTGTGAAAAATACCAAAATGGCTTTGCCATTACATATCAGATGAATATGTTAATATATGTTACTCTTTCACTTAGAGACACCTGGTTTCCTGGTAAAAGAGTAAGGAAAATAAAGATAGTGTTCATTTCAATATGCTTTTATCAACCTAGTATTTCTGATAAAATGCTTTTATCTTACCACAGCTTTCAAATATATTTTGTCAAAACTTTGGAGCTACAGATATTTAGCTCATTCAGTTTGTACATCCAAACTGATTGGCAAAAATAGTTCATTGTTAAACTCCCATTAGCCAATTCTGTTTCTGTTTGAGTGAGTTTGACTTTATTTTTCCAGTTCAAGTAAATATGTGACTTTCTGTCTATGAGACGGTTGTCTTACCTCTGAATTCTAAGATAGACAAGATATAATCTTATCATCAGTCTGTCAACTATATGAAATGAGCCCTTATTCACTTTGTATATTTCTTAGCCAAACTTACTTTCCTTTGTTAAGTCAGGAATTATGCATTATGCTTTCTTTGACAATAGTGAGATGGAAGAGGTGAGGTCATCAATGGGGAAATATTTTAAATTATTCCTTATTTGGTGCCTGTGTCAGAGGTTCCCAAGACCACTGCCAGATTCACTGATTCCCTAGAAGGACTCATAGGACTCGGCATGTAGTTGTCTCATGGCTAAGATTTATTACAGCAGAATGATACAAAATGAAATCAGTAAAAGAAGAAGAGGGCATAGGACCAAGTCCGGTGGAAACCAAGTACACACTTCTAAGAATCCTCTCCCAATGTAGTTGCACAGGATGTGCTTAATTCCCCCAGTAGTGAGTGTGACAACATGTGTGAGGTGTTGTCTACACAGGGAATTTCTTTTGAGCCTAGGAGTCCAGGGTTTTTATCAGGGGGTGGGTCAGGTAGGCACATAGTACTTGCATAACTGACCACAGTTACAGAAATTCCAGACTCCCAGATGGTAAGCAGATATTCAGCATAATCCAAACACACCAGGCACAGTGAGCCACTTTTATCACTTAGGGAAAGTTTTATATTAGAGGAGGGAACTGTTTACCATTCAACTTTCCAGATGACCGCTAGGAAGCCACCCTCACGTTCCAGTCTAATAGCAGAATCTCAGTCTTATTATCTATTTTCTACACAGTACCTCAGGAGGTTTTTGTGCTCCAGAACAATGTACCATACTCGTATTTCAGATGGTGAGGGAGATAATTTTCTTTGGTAAAGTGACAAAGGACCAATTAAGAAGGAACAAGTGGGAAAGGTGACCCTTTCTCAGGCAGATCAAATTTAAGAAAAAGTACATCTACAGTATACCTTTCCCCTCAGTTTGAACTTCACTGGTATAGAAGTTAAGAGCTTGGTGTCTTAAATCCCAACTCTGACTCTAGGCAAAGATCTTAACCTTTTTTGTTTTGGGGCCTTAAGTAGTATCTGCCACTTGTGAGTGCTCATTATGAGTAAGTTGCTACTTTTGTTGCTGCTACTGCTGCTGCTACTATTATTATTAGAGTGAAATAAGGAGAATCTTAAGTAAATGTAGAGGCAGTCAAGAATAGGGAGTAATGAGTCCTTACCAAAAATTTTGGTCACTTAATGTGGTAGAAAATAATAGCATTGTAGTTGGGAATCTGTGAGAAAGAGCTATCAAGAGGGAAGGAACAATAAAGGTGATCCCCACCAATACCATTTTCTCTAAGAGAAATGAACATTGGGAAGACATTCAGATGATGGTGTATGATGCTGTTTTAAGTTTTTAAACAGTCTTTTAGTAAATTGTAGATGGTCATATAATCCAGTTTACTCTGTGTAAGTTCTTCATTATATTTGGAATATAATTAATAGCCAAGTTTAGCTAATATACTTGATCTTCCTCTTTTTTCCAGGAATTTTTAAGAGATATCTTCAATCTCCTGTTTTTGTTGCCTAGTCTGAAAGATAGACAACAGCCAAAGTGTAAATCGCATTCTTCAAGAGCTGCTGCTTATGATTTGTTAGTAGAGATGGTAAAGGGATCTGTTGAGAACTACAGGCTAATACACAACTGGGTTATGGCACAACACATGCAGTGTAAGCGTTCTTCTTTTTCTTTAGTATTTTTAAATTTTGTATGCAGAAATGAGATTTTGGAGGGCATGATTGAGAGAGAATTCATGTTCACACACTAACATTATAAACTGTTGTTGCTAGGACATTATTGAAGTTAAAAAGTAACATTGGAATTTTTTGGTTCTTCTTAGAAAAAAACAGGTGTGAAGGACTTTGTATAGGTATCTGAAATACTTTGGCGTTTTTTGGTTAAATAATTTAGTGTCATGTAAGATCAAGTTTTGATAGTCTTGAATTATTAGGAAGTGAATTAGTTTTACGGTGTTCTTACTAATTTTAAAAATTATCATGTAGAATGTTTTATATATTTTAACTAAATAAGTAGTAATGGAGGTATTGGCTGTTAATAAAAGCAAAATGCATTGTTTAATGGTTTGTTTGGGGGGAATCTTTCCCTCCATCTTTTTTCAGCAGCCCATGCACCTTATAAATGGGACTACTGGCCTCATGAGGATGTCCGTGCTGAGTGTAGATTTGTTGGCCTGACCAACCTTGGAGCTACTTGTTACTTGGCATCTACTATTCAGCAACTTTATATGATACCTGAAGCAAGACAGGCTGTCTTCACTGCTAAGGTACAATTTCCTCACTTTAAAAATTAATACTGTAATACAAAGTTTTTTAACTTTGTTTCAATTTAGTGAAATATTTTGAGAAGATAATTTATGAATTAAAAAACGACAAAATTTGACTAGATAACTCATGTATATTTTAATTACTTTTACATCTCAATACTTTATTCCTAATATTGTGATATAATGTCTTTATTTCTCAAAGGAAAGCACAGTTATAGCATATAGACACTCAGTGTATACAATGAACATGACATTTTCAGTAAATATAAACACAGATTTTAATTACATAGAAAATAAGCAAAGCCTAAAACAAAGTAGGGAAATAGTGTCAGAATTAAGTGAACTTGTTTCTTTTGTATTTATCCTAAAGTAAATTTGATTGTGGGCCTAGTTTGCTTGGATATGGTCTGCTTCATATCATTTTTGTTAACTTGTTCTTTCTAGTTTTCATTCCTTTTTACCATAGGCTGTTTTTTAGTTTACCTTCTGCACTGCTTTTATCATTTCTTGAGGAACTTTCTTTAGGCTTGCACTTGAGTTTTTGTTTTCCTCCATTATGTCATCTTGATGTCCTGTCTTTTTCCCCCCAACAAAGTATCACAATTCTCTTTATTTATCTTCAGTGAATCCTTAATATGTTTAAGTTATGCTTCAAGGTCTCCAATCTACAGTATACTCAAGTGGGTTTGTTTTTTGGCTTTATAAATTTATTTATAATTTATAATATAAAAACGTTATATTGACGTTTTTAAGTGTATCATCTGAGACTGATTATGATTATAAATAGTTGAATAATTGATTTCATTTAGCATATGGAAATTTTTGTAACTAAATTTGGTGGCCCCATCTGCATGATTTTATTATAGAAGCAGTTATTATCAAAGAAGCATGTTTTCAGTGATTTTCTGTCTGATAGCTTGGCCATACTTTGTAGTTTCTCTTCATATTAGTCATCACCTTCTAGCCATTAGTACTGTCAGGAATTTGTGTGTGGCAACAGAAAGAATAATCAGATATGCTAATTGTAAGTCTCATAAATGCTATTTTTGGTTAAAAACTAAGTTTAGATATGTCTCTATGTAAAAAATTCTTACAAAATAGAATTTGACATGACTTCAGAAAGTACTCTAGTCAAATGGGCACTTGATTATTTACATGAAAACATTAATCATTTTTATTATTCCCTTTTCTGATGTTCACAGAAAGATTAAAGAAAGTTACATGTATTTTAATTGTGGTAAAATATACACAACTTAAAATTTACCATATTAACCGTTTATAAGTGTACAGTTCTGTGATATTAAGTACATTCGTGTTGCAACCATCACCACCATCAATTTGCAGAATTTTTTCACCTTCCTTGCTGATGCTCTATACCCTTTAAATACTTATCTCCCCATATTCCCTTCCCCCAAACACCCTGCAACCACTGTTCTACTTCCTGTCTCTCTGAATTCGACTACTCTGGGTACCTCAGATAAGGGAAATCGTACGATATTAGTCCTTTTGTGACTGGCTTATTTCACTCAGCATGTCTTCAAGGTTCATCCATGTTTGTAGCATGTATCAGAATTTCTTTCCTTTTTAAGCTGAATAATATTCCATTTTATGTGTATACTGCATTTTGTTTTTCCATTTATCTGTCAGTGGACACTTGAATTGGCTTACACCTTTTGGCTATTGTGAATAATGCTGCTGTGAACATGAGTGTACAAATATCCATTCAAGTTCCTGCCTTCACTTCTTTTATGTATATACCCAGAAGTGGCATTGCTGGATCATGCAGTAGTTGTGTGTTTTTTGCAGAATCACTGTGTCATTTTTCCACAGTGTTTCCCATTTTACATTCCTGCTGGCATTGCAAAAGGATTCCAGTTTCTTCACATCTTTGCCAACACTTGTCATTGTCTGCTTTTTTTCTTATGATAGCCATCCTAACGGGTATGCAAATGTATTCTTTTAGGTAGTAAATACATACATATGTAAGGTATATATTTATTTAGAAATTGCACAGTAAGTAAAATATTCTTGGTTTTACTTGATTTTAAAGAATTCAGTCACTTCCGTTCTGTAGTCAACTAATACTTCATTCTCCAGTAACAAAAATAAATCCAGGTCTTTATTTCTGACCATTTTTGTATTCTGAATTATTAACAAGTTGCATGTATCAGGTCTGTTATATACTGGAGAGTATCATTTTATCTGTCAGTTCTCATTATCTCATGAAGTATTAAGCTTCCCATGTGCCAGGAATATACTGTAGTTATTTTTGCCAATTTTCTTGATTTCTTTTATTCAATTCCTATTGCACTTACTATATAAATTTTTTAACTTTTTATTAAGATTATGATAGTTTACAACCTTGTGAAATTTCACTTGTACATTATTGTTAGTCATGTTGTAGGTGCACCACTTCATCCTTTGTGCCCTCCCCCGAAACATCCCCTCTTTCCCTTCTAACCCGCATCAGTTCTCTTTGTGTATAGGTTTAACTTCCACCTATGAATGTAGTCATACACAGTTTGTCTTTATCTATCTGGCTTATTTCACTTAACATAATACTGTCAAGGTCCTTCCATGTTGTTGTGAATGAATGGGACGATTTTATCCTTTTTTATGGCTGAGTAGTATTCCATTGTATATATATACCATATCTTCTTTATCCAATCATCAGGCGATGGACACTTAAGTTGCTTCCACATCTTGGCTATTGTAAATAATGCTGTGATGAACATAGGGGTGCATGGGACTTTTGGAATTGCTGATTTTAAGTTTATTGGATAGATACCTAGTAGTGGGATGGCTGGGTCATAGGGTATTTCTATTTTTAACTTTTTGAGAAATCTCCATACTGTTTTCCATAGTGGCTGCACCAGTTTGCATTCCCACCAACAGTGTATGAGGGTTCCTTTTTCTCCACAACCTCTCCAACATGTGTCACTTTTTGTTTTGGTTATTTTTACCATTCTAACAAGTGTAAGGTGATATCTTAGTGTAGTTTTGATTTGCATTTCCCTGATGATTAGTGATGATGAGCATCTTTTCATGTGTCTATTGGCCATCATATATATTCTTTGGAGAAATGTCTGTTCATGTCCCCTGCCCATTTTTTGATTGGGTGGTTTGATTTTTTGTTGTTGAGCTGAGTTCTTTATATATTATGGAGATTAACCCTTTGTTGGATAAATAACTTGTAAATATTTTTTCCCAACTAGTGGGTTGTTTTTTTGTTTCAATCCTGTTTTCCCTTGCCTTGCAGAAGCTGTTTAGTCTGATGAAGTCCCATTTGTTTATTCTTTCTATTGTTTCCCTCGTCTGATGAGTTATGGTGTCCGAAAAGATCCTTTTGATACTGATGTCAAAGAGTGTACTGCCCATATTCTCTTCTAGAAGACTTATTATTTCAGGTCTAATCTTTAGGTCTTTGATCCATTTTGAGTTTATTTTTGTGAATGGTGAAAAAGAATGGTCAATTTTCATTCTTTTACATGTGGCTGTCCAGTTTTATCAGCACCATTTGTTGAAGAGACTTTCTTTTCTCCATTGTAGGCCCTCAGCTCCTTTGTCGAAGATTAGCTGTCCATAGATGTGTGGTTTTATTTCTGGGCTTTCGATTCCATTCCATTGATCAGTGCACCTGTTTTTGTACCAATACCATGCTGTTTTGATTACTATAGCTTTGTAGTATGCTTTGAAGTCAGGGATTGTGATGCCTGCAGCTTTGTTTTTTTTCCTCAGGATTGCTTTAGCAATTCGAGATCTTTTGTTGCCCCCTATGAATTTTAGGATTCTTTGTTCTAATTCTGTCAAGAATGTCATTGGAATTCTGATTGGGATAGTGTTGAATCTGTAGATTGCTATAGGTAGTATGGACATTTTAACTATGTTTATTCTTCCAGTCCACGTGCATGGAATGTCTTTTCATCTCTTTATGTCATCATCAGTTTCTTTCAGGAAAGTCTTGTAGTTTTTGTTGTATAGGTCTTTCACTTCCTTGGTTAAATTTACTCTAATGTATTGTATTCTTTTTGTTGCAATTGTGAATGGGATTGAGTTCTTGAGTTCTTTTTCTTTTAGTTCGTTGTTAGAGTATAGAAATGCTACTGATTTATGTATGTTGATTTTATACCCTGCAACTTTGCTGTAGCTGTTGATTATTTCTAGTAGTTTTCCTCTGTATTCTTTGGCATTATCTATATATGAGATCATGTCGTCTGCAAACAGTGAGAGTTTCACTTCTTCATTGTATATTTGGACTCCTTTTATTTCTTTTTCCTGCCGAATTGCTCTGGTGAAAACCTCCAGTTCTATCTTGAATAAGAGTGGTGAGAGTGGACATCCTTGTCTTGTTCCTGTTCTCAGAGGGATGGGTTTCAGTTTTTGTCCATTGAGTATGATGTTGGCTGGGGGTTTGTCATATATGGCCTTGCTTATGTTGAGGTACTTTCCGTCTATATGCATTTTCTTGAGGGTTTTTATCATAAATGGGTGTTGGATCTTGTCGAATGCTTTCTCTGCATCTATTGAGATGATCGTGTGGTTTTTGATTCTCATTTTGTTAATGTGGTGTATCACGTTGATTGACTTGCGGATGTTGGACCATCCCTGTGTCCCTGTTATAAATCCCACTTGATCACACTTTTTTATGTATTGCTGTTTTTGATTTGCCAGAATTTTGTTGAGGATTTTTGCGTCTATGTTCATCAGTGATATTGGCCTGTAGATTTCCTTCTTTGTGTTGAACTTGTTTGGGGATCAGGGTGGTGCTGGCTTCATAGAATGTGTTAGGGAGTTCTCCATCTTCCTCAATTTTCTGGAATAGTTTGAGAAGGATAGGTATTAAATCTTCTTTGAATGTTTGGTAAAATTCTCCAGAGAAGCCGTCTGGTCCTGGGCTTTTATTTTTGGGGAGGTTTTTGATTACTGTTTCTATTTCTTTCCTTGTGATTGGTCTATTCAGATTCTCTGTTTCTCCCTGATTCAGTTTGGGGAGGTTGTAAGAGTATAGGAATTTATCCATTTTTTCTCGGTCGTTCAATTTGTTGGCATATAGTTTTTCATAGTATTCTCTTATGATCCCTTGTATTTCTTTGGTATCCGTTGTGATTTCTCCTCTCTCATTTCTAATTTTATTTATTTGAGTCTTCTCTCTTTTTTTCTTAGTAAGTCTGGCTAAGGGTTTGTCGATTTTGTTAATGTTTTCAAAGAACCAACTCTTCGTTTCATTGATCCTTTCTGCTGTCTTTTTTGTTTCAATATCATTTATTTCTGCTCTAATTTTTATTATTTCCCTCTTTCTACTGACTTTGGGCTTTGTTTGTTGTTCTTTTTCTAATTCTGTTAGGTGTCGTTTGAGATTGCTTATGTGAGATTTTTCTTGTTTACTGAGGTGAGCCTGTATTGCAATGAATTTCCCTCTTAGGAATGCTATTGCTCCATCCCAAATGAGTTGGTATGGCGTGTTTTCATTGTCATTTGTCTCCAGATAATATTTGATTTCTTCTTTAATTTCTTCAGTAATCCATGGTTTGTTCAGTAGCATGTTGTTTAGTCTCCACATTTTTGCCCCTTTCCCAGCTTTATTCTTGTAGTTAATTTCTAGTTTCATAGCATTATGATCAGAAAAGATGCTTGATATTATTTCAACCCTCTTGAATTTGTTGAGGCTTGCTTTGTTTCCCAAGATATGGTCTATCTTTGAGAATGTTCCATGTGCACTTGAGAAGAATGTGTAACCTGCTATTTTTGGATAGAGTGTTCTATATATATCTATTAAGCCTATCTGGTCTTATTTTTCATTTAATTCTATAATTTCCTTCTTGACTTTCTGTCTGGATGATATTGGTGTTAATGGGGTGTTGAGGTCCCCTACTGTTATTGTATTGTTGTTGATGTCTCCTGTAGTTTTGTTAATAGTTGCTTTATAAATTTTGGTGCTCCTGTGTTGGGTGCATATATATTTATAAGTGTTATGTCATCTTAGTGGAGTGTCCCTTTTATCATTATAAACTGCCCCTCTTTGTCTTTGTTTATCTGTTTTGCTTTGAAGTCTACTTTGTCTGATATAAGTATGGCGACACCTGCTTTCTTATGTTCATTATTAGCTTGGAGTATCGTTTTCCATCCCTTCACTCTGAGTCTGTGTTTGTCTTTGGGGCTGAGGTGTGTTTCCTGGAGGCAGCACATTGTTGGATCTTCTTCTTTAATCCATCCTGCCACTCTGCGTCTTTTGGTTGGAGAGTTCAACCCATTTACATTTAGAGTGATTATTGAAATGTGGGGGTCTACCGCTGCCATTTTATCACTTGTTTTCCGGTTCTCTTGCATTTCCTTTGTTTCTCGTCCCGTGATTTTTGGACTACTAATTCAGGTAGGTAGATTTCTATGTTGGCTTTCTTCTTATTTGTAATTTGCGTCTTTATTCTTGTTATTTGTTTAGTGGTTACCATGTGGTTTGAATATTGGTGTTTCCCTTCCTTTTATCTTTAATGTTATGCTTAACTTTTGCTAACCTGTTCTGATGCAGAGCTGCAGCTGTTTGATTTTGTCTTTCTACTTATCTCCTTTGTTCTGGATTTTGTAACCCCTTTCCTTTTTTTGATTTTTCAGGTATGAGGGACTTCCTGAGCATTTCTTTTAGGCGAGGTCTTGTGGCAATGAACTCCCTTAACTTTTGTTTATCTGGGACAGTTTTTATTTCTCCATTGTATTTGAAGGATATTTTCACTGGATAGAGTATTCTTGGCTGCAAGTTTTTGTCCTTCACAGTTTTGACTATATCATTCCACTTTCTTCTAGCCTGTAAGGTATCTGCTGATAAATCTGCTGACAACCTTATGAGGGTTCCTTTGTAGGTTATTTTCTTCTGCCTGGCTGCCCTTAGGACTTTCTCTTTGTCATTGACTTTTGCAGGCTTCACTACTATATGCCTTGGGGTTCGTCTTTTAACATTGATAATATTTGGAGATCTATTAGCTTCTGTCACATGGAGTTACATCTCTCTCCCCAGGTTTGTAAAGTTCTCAGCCATTATTTCTTTGAACAGGCATTCTGCCCCCTTCTCCTTCTCTTCTCCCTCTGGGATACCTATAATCCTTATGTTGCATCTCCTAATTGAGTCAGATAATTCTCAGAGAGTTTCTTCATTTCTTTTTAATCTTAGTTCTCTCTCCTCTGTCTGCAGCATTTCTATATTCCTATCCTCCAGATTGCTAATTCTGTCCTCTATATTATCAACCCTACTGTTCAGAGAGTCCAGATTTTTCTTAATCTCCTCCATTGTGTTCTTCATCTCCAGTATTTCTGATTGGTTCTTCTTTATGGTAGCAAGCTCTTTTGTGACACAGCCCCTGAACTCGTTGAGTTGTCAATCTGTATTCTCTTTTAACTCGTTGAGTTTTTTAATGATGGCTGTTTTTAATTCATTGTCATTTAGGTTGTAGATTTCATTGTCTTTGGGATTGTTTTCTGGGTACTTGTCATTTTCCTTCTGTTCTGGAGATTTAATATATTTTTTGATACTGCTTGATGGCGTGGATTTGTGCCTCCGCATAGAAATAGAGTTTAGTTACTGCTTCCACTTGCTTCTGCTGGAGTTGGGGGGAGCAACTGTTTAATCTGCACTGACCAGGATTCCTGTCAGCTGTTGCTAACCAGACCTGGGCCCCTCCTCATGGTCACAGTGGTCCTGTGGGGTCTCTTGTCAGCTGTGGGGACAATCACAAGGGGCCTCAGGTTGCTGGTGCCTACTGTCACACCACCTAGACACGCTCCCTCCTTATGGTCTGCAGCAGTGTTATGGGCTTTCACTGCTGCCAGGAGCAGGTTCACCTAGATTCGTAGCTCTGTCACCATCAGGGCCCACAGGATCTCACTTGTCCACTATGGGCCACAGCAGAGCTATGGCTATCTGCTGCAGTCTGTGGTTAGCTCACCCAGCTGTGCTACTTCTGCCTCCGGGCCTTCCAGCCTTGTGATTGCCAGGTGGGGCCTCTCCACTAATGCTGCGCAGAGGCTTTTGCTGTGGCTGCTATGGGACCATGGATTTTCCCCCTGGACCGTGGACCAGGCTTGCTGAGACTCCAACCTGCCACCGCCCCCTCACACGGACTCGCTTGGTCTCCCTTGCCCCCTCTGGGCCACAGCAGGAGACCATGAGTCAGAGGCGGCTGGCTGGCTGCTGCACCGCCCAATATCATATAATTTTGTAGTAACTATATGGTGAATAGATCCCTATTTCTCTGTCCTTATCTTATGTCAGCAGTTTGATTATTAGCTCTGGAAAAAAAGAGCCATATTACCTGTACTTCCCATAAAATTAACACAAATAACTAGTGTATACTTCTAATATATGGGAGGCTTATTATTTCATGAGATTATCAGAGCTTCTTCAGAATTATGATAGGTAGTAATTTGTAATGAGGATAATATTTGCTTCATAGATTTATTTTAATATTGGAATGAAATAGAATATATCTAATGACTGCCTGGCATGAATATGGGACTTTCCTGTAATGCTGGTTTCCAGGACTGAGTCTCTAGTGAATGAGTCTAGCCAGATTCCTGAATTTCAGTTAATGATATTTGAATATTTAGAGGATTTTCAAAGATGTCGGCCAGTTTTCCTCTGCAGTGTTAAGGATCTACTATTCTAGAAAAAATAAAAAGATGACTAGATGAGGGTGAGGTGTCATTTATTAATATATTTTTTTAATATATGGATTTATTTGTGGGAAACAACTTCATTGCACACCTAAAATGTTTGCAAAATCACCAACTTGTAAATCAGCATTGCACCAAATAAGTCATCTGGAAAGCAATTTTTTAAAGATCTCTTTATTTGGTTTCCTTACGTAATAGTGATGACTGTATTTATATAATGAACAAAATATGCCAATTTTTTTTTTTAAAGATTTTATTTTTTTACTTTCTCCCCAAAGACCCCCAGTACATAGTTGTATATTCTTCGTTGTGGGTCCTTCTAGTTGTGGCATGTGGGATGCTGCCTCAGCGTGGCTTGATGAGCAGTGCCATGTCCACGCCCAGGATTCGAACCAACAAAACACTGGGCTGCCTGCAGCGGAGCATGCAAACTTAACCACTCAGCCACGGGGCTAGCCCCAAATATGCCAATTTTTAAAGTGCTAAAATTGTTAAAGAAAGAATAGACTATGTGTGTGTGTGTTTTCTTATATATAACTAAAAGAATGAAAACAGATACAGTGTTAAGCACATTATTTCTTTGCTAGAGTGTCTGATTTACTACCATCAATATGTTTTAATGGAAATTTTTCTCTTAATTTCCAGTATTCAGAAGATATGAAGCACAAGACCACTCTACTGGAGCTTCAAAAAATGTTTACATATTTAATGGTATGTTTGCATATCGTGTTTGGAACACTAATTAGATATACCCTTTAACTAAAGCTAAAAACATTAAATGCAGTTCATTTGTATTGGCTTTGTCCTGACTATATACTCTTATTTCTCTAATTGAATTTATCACTTACCGGTTTTCTTTGTCATAGTGACATGTAACAGTCACACCTCAGTCACCTACTTTCTGTTAATTTGTCCTTTGAAGAATCTCTTGTATCTGATTGTTTTCCCATCACAGGGTTACCCGCCTTAGGCTTAGAGTTTTCTGACTTATTTCTTTGTCCCTCTTAATTCCCACCCCCAAATTTATGAAAGTAACTTTAATAAAATGGCAAATGTCACAATATTACTCTCCTATGGAAAACTCTTCTGTGGTTCTTTATTATGAACAGAATAGTATTCAGGTTCATCAGCATGGCACATACCCTCTGTGATTTTGCCCCTTCCTTTCAACCTCCCCTTTTATTCTTCCCCGTATCCAGCCTCACCCCATAGTAACTATAAGCCCTTAAAGCCCATCACCCTGTTGCTTCATTGCTTGTGCAGTTATTTATGCTTCTCCCTCTGCCTGTAGCACTCTTCCTCAGCACTCCTCCATTTTCTTCCTTTTGTCATCTTTCAAAAATCGACTTGGTTTTCTCCTCCTCTAAGAGACTAGCATTCCACACAGTGTCTCCAAGTCACCATAACTCTCTGTCATACCTACCACTCGTATTGACTGTTACTTGTCTCATCTGTTAGAATCTTGAGGACAGAGATTACATCATATTTATTCTTGGTAATTATAATAAGGACTCAATGAATGAGATTTTTAACAAAATAAAAGATTTACTACTCATCCCTTGATTCCACTTTGTCTCCTTTCCAACAGAGTTGGAACATGCCACCTGAACATCTAAAACAGAAAATTACTCTTTTAAACAACTAAGGAAAAGTTCAGTCTGTAGGAAAACTTATTCAGCCTGTAAAGGTTTTGTATTTTATGCTTCACAATACAAATCTGTGTCCTTTGAGTCCCAAATTTCTTCCTAGAAATTCCCATGCTTAAAAAACACAAATTTCTTAACTTAAGGTAATTTAAGCATCTTCTGGCACCAAGTCTAATTAAACTGAAAATGCCATGAAAATCAAACAAACATGAAATAGAAGACAGCATATCCTGTCTTTAAAAACTTTTCTTTGTAGATTTACTACCTGTTTTGTTGTTGTTTTGTTCATTGAAGAACCTTGTGATAATTTTCCTATTTTTGAGACTTAGATTTGTTTGTTTTATAATCCTTCTCCCCTCTCCACCCCTCTCCCCCAACTTCTCCCTTACAGGAGAGTGAATGCAAAGCATATAATCCTAGACCTTTCTGCAAAACATATACCATGGATAAGCAGCCTTTGAATACTGGGGAGCAGAAAGATATGACAGAGTTTTTTACTGATCTGATTACCAAAATTGAAGAAATGTCTCCAGAACTGGTTAGTACCAGAATACTGAAGTTTCTTTGAAATTTGTACAGATTCGCCCAGTTTTAATTACTGACTTTGTTTGTATTTTTTTAAAAGAAAAATACCGTCAAAAGTTTGTTTGGAGGTGTAATTACAAACAATGTTGTGTCCTTGGTAAGTATTCTACCTGTTCTTTGCTTATTGGAAATCTTAATGTATATTTAGCTTACTATAATAAATTACTAATTTCTGACTGTTGATTGACCAGGATTGTGAGCATGTTAGTCAGACTGCTGAAGAGTTTTATACTGTGAGGTGCCAGGTGGCTGATATGAAGAACATTTATGTGAGTAATGTTGTATATGTTCTTTAGACTTTTTTCTGCTTTTAACTATTTGTACATAGCAGGTTTATGTTTGTCATCTTGAGAGAAAATTAACTTTCCTGTTTTCATCTATTTTCTTCTTGCTCTGCTACTCAAGAATTAAAGGTAGACCACAAAGCTGCTTTTTCCAAATCAAAATTTAAGTACTTGCACTTTTGAAATATTTAGTAAGATTCATAAAGCATCTTATCAATATGACGGAAAACAGTTTTTTACTAAAATTAAGAATTCATTTTAAAGAAGTTTTTCTCTGTGCGTTCTGCCCAAATTATAATTACTTTTTGTAGTTTTGCATACTGTAAACAATAATATGAAACTTTTAAATGTGGTTTTATACACAGGAATCTCTTGATGAAGTTACTATTAAAGACACCTTAGAAGGTGACAACATGTATACTTGTTCTCATTGCGGGAAGAAAGTACGAGCTGAAAAAAGGTATGCTTTTTGAAATGTATTTTTTTTCATTTTGATAAATCATCTAATGGAAATAAAACAAATATAGGATAAGGTAATGTTAAGTGTTATGAAAATTATGTAATTAATGTTAAGGTCAATTGCTGGGAGTTCATTATCATATAGCAACTTTTTATTTGGTTATTCAAGTATACTTTCAAGCACCATTAAGTTTTTCAGATTTCCTTTTTGTCCTTTTAATTAATCAAATATTTACCAAAGTCTGTCTGATTGCTTAGCCCTCTGCCGTGCACTCAGTGGAGCATGATAAAGAGTCTACTCATGAACTGAAGACATCCTCCTCTGAATCGCTAAAGTGAGAGATTTTTTTCTTAAGAGCCAGCTATAAGGTGGCCGGTTTAGGCAGAGTTGGGTAAAGATTTTCAATTCTACAGGTGAATGTTGAATGACAGATAGAAATTGGATTGAAAGAGCATCTTATAGTTACTAGGAACAAAGGCAGAGAAGTGGAAATGACCTTGTATGTGCAAGAATCTTGGATTAGGCCAGCCTGCCTCAAGTGGAGGATTTGCATTGACCAGTAATAGAAAATAAGATTGATAATAAACAGTGGCATCAAATGATTAACATTTAGATTTTGGGATTATCTACATAATCGATTGATTGAAGCCATCAGAACATCTGCCTGTGAAAGAACACAACTGTTGCAGAGGACTGAGACCTTAAGCCAACATAAAAGTACAGAGGAAAAAAATGACAGAATCGAAGCCAGGAAAGAAAGAAAATCAGGATAGGATGGTAACCCAGAAACTGGGGAAGAGAATCTCAAGAAGGTATTTAATTGACATAGTCCACAGAGATAGGGGGAAAAAATGACACCTGAGTAAAAGTAGTCAGTTTTTCAAAAGTTAGTTTAGTGATGTATTTCGTCAGCAATAGAAGCAGGGTTGTCAGGCTACATGGCATTGAGTATAGGTCATGCATTTTAGAAGTTTGACAGTAAAAAAACAGCAAGGAAGTTGGGATCTAGAAAGAGCTTTGGGATCAAACCAGAGGAGTTTTCTAGATGAAATAGATCTGAACATGTTTGAAGGCACAGAATGAAAAGCCAACTCTTAAAATTGCTTAAACGAAGATTTCTTTGCAGGTAAATATGCTTTTGAATAGAATGGTATTCTTTTTCTCAATCTCTAGCAGTCAAGTTGGTTGCAAGAGAGAGATGTTGGGGGCCAGCCCTGTAGCCGAGTGGTTAAGTCCACGTGCTCCGCTTCAGCGGCCCAGCGTTTTGCCAGTTCAGATCCTGGGTATGGACTTAGCACTGCTCATCAAGCCATGCTGAGGTGGTGTCCCACATGGCCCAAGCAGAATGACCTACAACTAGGATATACAACTTTGTACTGGAGGGCTTTGGGGAGAAGAAGAAGGAAAAAAAAAAAGTTGTAGGTGGACATGCTCAAATGAAAGCATAGCCATGCAGGCGGTTAGAGGGAGAAGATGAACTCATCTGATGAGAGTTGGGTTAGGATAAGAGTTAAGGACTTACACAGAATGGAGTCAGTCAGAAGTTTGTTACTGTGGAGGAATATAATGAGGAGTCACTAAAAGACAATTGAGAGGCTATGTCATGTTCTGTGGAGAATCTCTTTTTGGAATAAACTTATTGAATAAATTTGTCATTCTTAATAACCTACTTCTTGAAACACTCCCTTCTTTTGGTTAATGTGATTCTGCTGTTTTTTTGAAATATTATCTCATCTCTCCTAAGCAAGTGTTAGTCAGTCCTTTGTACTCTTACCATACTTTTAGATGTCTAGAACAATAGTAAGACATATATTACAGTAACAGTAAGACAACAGTAAAACATCTGTAACAACAGAAATGGGCCAAGGATCCTATTCTGTTCTATCTTCAAACCTCTGGTTTTCTCAGTTCATTCATTCTTTCCTGAATGATCTTTTCTGCCACCATAACATCAATCTCTACTGACATGCTGATGATTCCCAAATCATCTTCAGAATGCTCTGCTGTGCTCTCCCAACTGTCTTAACTTGTGTATCTTATATTTCAATAGGAAACTCTCATCTCTTCAAATCTGATTGTGTCTTTTATCCTCTGACTTAATGCATGGTTCCACTTCCCACCACAAGTCCTTTAGTGACTCTTAGCTCTTAGGATAAAGTTCATAACCTAACATTACACGCAAGGCCCTTCATCATTTGACTGCTTTATAATTCTGTAACCTCATCATTTGCCAGTTTCTAAAATAATCAATAATGATGAAGTTTTAGACTTCTTAGTCCGTCTCCGTGTGACATCCTTCCCCCACCTTCCTTGTCTCTCTAAATTCCTTTTTTTTTTTTTTAAACTAAGGTCTTGGTTTAAACAAATTCTCTTTTGAATCCTATGTACAATGAAGAATTATTCCCTGTAAATTCATTTTTTTCATAAATCCAAGTTATATATATATATTTTGTTTAAATTGAAATTGTTTGTTTAAACTTGAACTAATAATATGTCATACCATAAGATTTATGTAACCAGTTGACTTGCCACTGCTGCTATTACTGCTATTGTCATTGTTGTAATACCAGACAACACTTACTGAATGTTCTTTTCTAGGCAAGGCAGCATTCTAAAAGCAGTAGGGAGTAGGCACTTGAATCTGCATTTTACAAATAAGGAATTCAGCTCAGAGAGGTTAAGTAATTTGTTTATGGTCATGCATCTAGTAAATGAAACAACAAGACTACAATTCTAGTTCATAAAATAAATACTTTAATCCCTCTTATTTAAGGTGGAAAAGAAAACTCTGAACCAAAGACTTCCTTGCCTTTGAAGTATGATGTGACTCTTTTTTATGCTTTCATAGCACCTTTACACATCTTCATCATGGTGTTTACCACAGTCTACTGTAATTTTTTTTAATTTTTTTTATCTAGACATAGGAAAACCCTATGAGAATGGAAAAAGTCATGTAACGGGGACATAGATTTAATAAGAGCATGATTTATTTATTTATTATTTACTCTGAATTAAATATTGAAATAGGTATACTGTAAATGATACCAGCTAAAGTACTTATGAAAGACAATTTTTAACAAAAGTGCTTTTGTCTCTTAGGGCATGTTTTAAGAAATTGCCTCGCATTCTGAGTTTCAATACTATGCGATATACATTTAATATGGTCACAATGATGAAAGAGAAAGTGAACACACACTTTTCTTTCCCATTACGTTTGGATATGACACCCTATACAGAAGATTTTCTTATGGGAAAGAGTGACAGGAAAGAAGGTAATTTTCCATTTCTTTCTCGTCTATGTTTATTGTAAGTCTCTATAACAAGATAGTCATAATTATAAAGTTGTAATAACTACGCATTTAACAAAATTAAATTGTATCTCAGGAGAATGTTTTTGAAGACAACATGGCACATTCAGTCAATTATCCAATTAATATTTAGTATCTACTAGGACTGTGTTCTAGGCACTCTTTTAGACATGGAAGATACAGGGTACTGAACAAGATAAACATTGTTCCTGCCCTTATAGAACTAGTCTGGTGGGAAAGTCTTACATTGAAGAAGAAATTACAAATATGCTGTGTTGTCAAATAGGAGAGTGAATATATCACAAATCTAGGGGAATCAGGAAGAGCTTTTGTGAGAAGGTGACATTTTTTTTTTTTAATTTTATTGAAATATAACACACATCATAAAAATGCACAAAGCTTAAGCACACAGATCGATGAATTTTCACAAAGTAAAGGCACCTATGTGACCGACAGATCAAGGACAGAACATGACCAGATCCCAAAGGCCCCCCCCAGCTTCTTCCCAGCACCCCACCCCCAATCCCAGCCCCCCTGCCCCGCCCTGAGGGTACCCACTGCCCTGACTGGTCACACCATGGCTCAGTTTTGCCTGTGGTTGACGTTAGTAGCCTTGGAGGTGAGAAGGTGACATTTAAGCAGTGCTTGAATAGGAGCTGGATTGAGAGGAATGGGTAGCTCTTTGGTGGGGGTGGGCAGTGATTTGATGAGATGGGCAAAAGGCAGTGGCCAAGTCATTTTGTTTGTAGGTTGTGTTAATAATTTTGATCTTTATTCAATGTGAAACCATGGGAATGTTGTAAGTAGGGAACTGAGATAACCAAGAGGGATGTGGAAAAGGTTATTCTGACTACAGCAGTAGAAATGGATTAGAGGATGATGAAATGGGTGTGGGGATGCCATTCTGGTAAACTGCAGAGGTGGTAGCTTAGATGAGAAAGTAAGTGTACCATTTAGGTTAGGGAGAAGTCTATGGAGGTAGAAATAACAGGCCTTGATAATTGAATGAATAAATGAATCCAACAAAGTTATTGAACATCTATCTATTAGGTAACTTGCTATTCTTATAGTAATGGGAACATAGTGACAACAAAGAACAAGGTCTTTGTCCCTATGAAGCTTACATTTTAGTCAGTCTGCTGCTAGAGGAGGAGGAAAAGTCAAGAATAACTCAGGTTTCTGGCTTGATCAGCTAGGTGAATAGTGGTATCAGTATTTCAAGAGGATCTTAAAAAGGAGGGAATATGGGGCCGGCTCAAAGACCGAGTGGTTAAGTTCGGGTGCTCCCCTTCAGTGGCCCAGGGTTTCACCGGTTCGGATCCTGGGTGCAGACATGGCACTGCTCATCAGGTCATCTTGAGGCAGTGTCCCATATAGCACAGCCAGAGGCACTCACAACTAGAATTTACAACTATGTACCTGGGGGCTTTCGGGAGAAGAAGGAAAAAAAAAATTGACAACAGATGTTAGCACAGGCGCCAATCTTTTAAAAAGAAAAAAAATGGGGGGGATGTGGTCAGAAGTATTGAATGCTAAAGAAAAGGAACAGTTCCAGTGAAAGCATGAGTGAAAATAATCTAAAATGTAAAAGATTTTTATCTTTATCAGCACTTTCATTTGCAGTAGGAAGGCAGATTGCAGTGAGTTAAAGATGGCACTCGATCCACAAGTAATTACCTCCAAATTGTTTTTACTTCTATAAGACCAGTGATTTTCAAACTTCTATGTATGTGTCTCAAGGATCACTGAAGTGCGGAATGGAAATAGGTGAGAGAAGAAAGCACAATAGGTCCATCTCTTGCCTCTTCCATTCTTGTTTAGCCAGAGAAGTTCCGTTTTACATAAGGGTCCTGACCATGTTTTCTTTGTATAAAAAGTTCTGCTGATTTAAATTTTTAAGGTTTGAAAAAGCCGCTATATTAATAAGATTTAGGAAAGAGAGCCATGTTTTAATCTTTATACTCCATTGCCTGGCACTTAAGGAGCATCCAATAAATGTTTTGCTCTGACCAAAAGGGGGGTGAGAGGTATAAACGATGAGTGTAGGCTATTCTTTCAAGAGGAGAACACACTCTTTCTTTGAAGAGAGGAGAGAAGATGGTGACTGTAGCTATGAAGGAATACGGAGTTAAAGGAGGCAGTTTTTAGTTAGGACTTGAGTATGTTTAGAAACTGCAGGAAATGAGCCAGTAGAGATGATAAGTTTGAAAATATAGGTGAAGTTAAGAAGTGAGCATTCTTGGGGCTGGCCCCATGGCCAAGTGGTTAAGTTTGCGTGCTCCGCTTCAGGGGGCTGAGGTTTTTGCTGGTTCAGATCCTGGGCGTGGACATGGCACCGCTCATCAGGCCATGCTGAGGTGGCATCCCACATGCCACAGCTAGAAGGACCCACAACTACAATATACAACTATGTACTGGGGGGATTTGGGGAGAAAAAGCAGAAAAAGGAAAAAAACAAGATTGGCAGCAGTTGTTAGCTCAGGCGCCAATCTTTAGAAAGAAAAAAGAAGTGAGCATTGTATATATACATCCTACTTAGAACTCTTGTCAAACTATTTGTAAAATTAGAGCAAGAGTAACTGTGCTTCACTGTATTTTCAATGATACTTCCATGTAGGGAAGCAGCAGAAATTTATGCCAAGATACAGGAATTAGCTTAGGCCACAAGTGATGTGTTGAGTCAAATTCTAGCACATCCAAACTCCTCAAGCACTGCTTTGATAATTTCAGCCGTTTCTTTCTCTCCACCTAATTGTCACTTCACTTTCCAGTTTAGACTGTGCTCTCAAGTTAACCACATCTGCTCTCACTTATTTGCTTCTGGTTATAGTTTTTTCTTTTTATGTGATGCTGGCACTATAGATCATAAATCATACATCATCTTCAAACTTATTAGACCATTCTGTAATTTTTTCCTTAGTATCTTTTATACCTTTCAAATTTAAATCTTTGTGGGTGGGGAGTTTATCTTTTGTTTATTTTGTTTGTTTACATAAAGCTCCTAATACAGACTTTTCTATTAACTGATACACACTTGGAGGCATGCTACCAATACAGTGCTCCATTTTCCTTAACATGAGACTAAAAGGCATAAATGTATTAACTCCTTTTCAGATCTTGTGTTTGCCTGCTCCTAAAAAGGAATAGCCAGATTAAACAAAAAGAACTGTTTTATACAGTCATTTGTCACTTAACAATGGGGATACGTTCTGAGAAATGCATTGTTAGGCAGTTTCATCATTGTGCAAACATCACAGAGTGTACTGAAGTGAAACAAAATTTGCCACCCGAAATGTGTTTTTTTAACATGAGGATTATTTTAGGCTGATTATTTTTTTAAAAAACACACAAAAACTCAAAAGTTTTTCTTGTCACCTCCCCCTTAACTGCCTAATAGAATTTAAATAGTAAAATCCTGTCTCAGGAAGTGGGCTGTCACCTTAGCATAACCATGAACTTGGTGGTAGACAAAGAGGAACCTAGAAAAGCCTGTTTGTTGGGCTTCCCTCTGTGTTCTTCTGTCTCTGTGTGGCCAAACATTTATTCTCCAAACTTTTGATCCTTTTCACCTACCCATGAATTGCCTTCCTTCCCTTTGAAGTTCCTGACTCTCCCCACCCCCAATATCTTCTTTTGTCTTTAGCTAAGGATGGTATTTAAGGTGAGGGCTTCAGCCATTTTGGCAAGTTACCTGTTCTCCCTGGGTTTCTCCCATATATATGTTATTAAACTTTGTTTATCTCCTGTTAGTCTGTCCCATGTCAATTTAGTTCTTAGACCAACCAGCAGAACCTATAAGAGTAGAGGAAAATTTCTTCCTCCCCTTCAGTACTTCACAAACCCAGATGGTACAGCCTACTGCACACCTAGGCTACATCGTGTTAATCTCATGAGACCAGCATCATATATGTACAGTCCATTGTTGACCAAAACATCGTTTTATGGTGTACAACTGTATTTATATATTGTGTTAAGGTTGTCCATAGTTATACACTAACACTGGTTGTTATTCCAATGATTTGTATAATTGTTCCTTAAAATTGTAGTATATGGATAGTGAATGTCTAGTAGAGTTGTTTTGTACCTGTTTTAGTATATGAGGTCTCGGTACCTATTTCTATACGTAAAGTATGTTATGTAAAATGATTCTAAGATGTCATCATGTACTGTTTTCAAAATTAGTGCCATTATTTTGTATAAATCATTGCAGGTTTTAAGGAAGTCAGTGATCATTCAAAAGACACAGAGAGCTATGAGTATGATTTGATAGGAGTGACTGTTCACACAGGAACAGCAGACGGTGGGCACTATTATAGCTTCATCAGAGATATAGTCAATCCACTTGCTTATAAAAACAATAAATGGTGAGTTTTAAATATTTTATTTTTGGGATTTTTAAAAATCTTCCTTCCTGTATTTTTAAAGTATAAGACTATGATAGTTTTCAGATATGTTTTCTGATTTTGGTTTTCTAAAAACTTTCTATAAAGTTAGGAAAGAGGGCAGACAAAATTTTTAAATGAATGTGACTTTCAAAAGACAGTATGAATCACTTGTTCTTAAACTTTATGGATCTCCAGATGCTTTTGAGAATTTGATGAACGTTCTCCTGGGAAAAATGAACAAACACACAGTTTTGCACACAACTTTAGATTCATAGATAATGTTGTACTTTCCAAATCTTACCTATTGGTGTCTACTCATTCAAGAACTATTTACTGAATGCCTTCTATATAGGGTGGCCACAAAGTTTTTATATATTCCAGTTAGAAGTTACCTGTGTGCTCCACTCTCCTCACCTTACCTTTCCCCTCCTAAATACATTCTTTTTATGATCTTTTATCAAGTTAATGACTGGAAGTCATTAAATCAGTCCTAATAGCTATGTTTTGGTCTTCAGATGCTGTGAGGTAGTCTCATGTCTAGAGCCTGTATGTATGCTGGGCGTTGTTTTAAGTGTTGGCGATACTGCTTTGAACAAAATATACGTTGCTAAACTGATGTGCAGTTAGCAGAATAGTTTTGTTCAACTATTTCTCACTTGTTAAGCCTTGATATCTTTTACTTTTTATTGTCCATTTGAATATATTTCCTTAAGTGTATTTTTGAGTTTTTTTATCAGGAGTTTTGAAATGGCATTTTATCTTTGAAAGTTCTCCCACCTCTTCATCTTTTCTGTCCAATAGCTTGTCAAGTTATATTTATGTAAACTTTTTATTCCTTGTTTTTATGAACTTTTTTGTTACTCCTAGGTTATAAATAGATGTATCAGATTTTAGAATCATTATGACTACCTTGTAAATTATATTCCCAATTTCTAGTAGATTAGAGTTGTCAGAACAAGAGCTTAGTTGGAATTTACCTCATGTTAATAATAATTTGGTCAATATTTGTAATATGTTAGTATGTAACCTAAATATTTTAAAAATAGACATAATGCTGAGATATTCAGTGTCTATATAGTTTATCAACACTATATGCTCTGTTTTAGGTATCTTTTTAATGATGCTGAGGTAAAACCTTTTGATTCTGCTCAACTTGCCTCTGAATGTTTTGGTGGAGAGATGACAGTAAGTTTTATTCAGAAATTATAAATAGTTCGTGACTTTCCAAGTGCTTTGTAGTATCATAAAATCCAATGGCAGAGTCACTTAACTTTCTTTTAATTGCTATGATTAAATCTAAAAGTTAGTCATTTGGCATTTATTGGAAGTTTAGTATGTTTGGAGTATATAGCAGACAATGGGAAATAGTTAAAAAATTACTGTTTCTGCCTTCAACTGATTAAGAAGGTCTGATTAAGAAAGTTAAGATTTAAATTGAAAAATTACATAGTAGTATAGGCATTGAATTACAATGCAATGAGACATTATGATTGAATAAGTTGTTTACTTGAATGCTTTGGGATTAGACCAAAAAGAAATTACTCTTTATTGACTTAATATGCAAAATCTTTGACAAGGAAATTGGCTTGAGCTGGACTTTAAAGAGTTGTTTCTTTAGTGTTTTCTGTAACAGTAGCAGCAACCTGGTTATTACTAGTGACAGTATAGACAAAGAATATCTGTTATATAATAGACATAAGAGAAGACACTTAGGTTGCAGGAGTGGTATAATAATTTTACTACTTCATGGGCAGTTTATCCTAGTACCAATTTTCTGAAAATGGTTTTAAAATACTATGTTGATTCTCGCAAGTCAAGTATTAAATAGTTATTTCCACTTCACAGATAAGCCCAGATAAAGTTGTTTTTCACTTTCATAGCCATGTTCATTGTGAAATACTTGTTCACATTCAGGATTTTAATGGAAAACTTCCGTATTGTTGGTGCTCTTATGTACTATTTCTGAATAGAAAAAGGAAAAGTAGGCAAATTGCCAACACTTTGGAAATGAGTGTGAGGAAGGAAATAAATAACGAGTTGCCATTGAACCCATCACTAAACTGATTGCATCTCTAGATGTTATTCCTAGGATATTTCCTCAAAAAAACAAGAAAAGAAACAAGTAAACTTTGCAAAGCTCTTCTCTTAAAAGATAGTTTTTCAAATTGCAAGTGCATTTTATGTTCTTATGCTTTGTGTATTTTGTGGTAAAGTACCTTTAAAAATGTTTCACATCTTTGTTTCCAAAAAATTCTGTCGGAGATTTTTATGAATGTAATGCTATTTGAAAGTTATTACAAAGTTACTATTAAGTATAAAAGAGCTGTTTATGAAATATTTTGTATATATAGTTGAATATACCCATTTTTTAAAGAAGGAAAACTTTTATTTTTTTAAACAGACCAAGACCTATGATTCTGTTACAGATAAATTTATGGACTTCTCCTTTGAAAAGGTAACCATTTCTTTCATATGTAATTTTATATTATTTTTTCTCCTCTTAAATTGTTTTGTCCTACTTAATGTTAGGACTACTTAATGTTTGTCCTACTTAATGTACTTAAGGACAAAAGCAAAAGTATATTGTCTACTTTTATAGTTACACATTGCAAAATGAAAATAATACTTTTTTTTTTTTTATTCTTAAAGACACACAGTGCATATATGCTGTTTTACAAACGCATGGAACCAGAGGAAGAAAATGGCAAAGACTACAAATTTGATGTTTCCTCAGAGTTACTAGAGGTATAAGTTAATTTAACTTTGGCAGCAATTTAAAAGCATGTTAAGTATTTATGCAGGTAATAGTACCATAATATAAAAGTAGGCTATGACAATGATGGGATCTGTGAACCAGGGTAGACCCGACACTGTTTACAAATAGTCTTGGTAATACTGACATACAATAGGTGAATGTAAAGTGAATGAGATTAAAGGGAGTGGAAAGTAATTATTAGTAACATTGAAGAAAAATAAGAAAGGTACACTTGTTGATGGAATTGGGGAAAACTCACAGGTAACCTATGTGGTTGGTGATGTCCTTCTTGGACTGGGTACTGGGATTGCAGGAGTTTTTCTCTTATGCTTCATGTTACACACGAGGTGTACAGTGTATTTGAAATACATTTAAAATATGTGTTTTACATATTAAAAAATGTCGCATTTGTAGTAATGAAGCTTTCTTTGTTTCATAATGTAGTAAGTGGTAATATTACTTTAATGTTTTAAGATTTATAAAAAGTATTCACAACTCAGTTTTTGTTTTGTCAATGTTATAAACTTAGTCAGCCAAAAGTATAAAAGATAAATCTCAGGAAAAGTATACCGCCAAAAATATACCTTTCCTTTAGACAGTTCAGTTTTTACTGTCTGGTTGATTGATTGATGTTTGCACTGTTGTGGCCAAGTCTTAAAACTGAGTGGATTTTGTTCCCCAAACAAACTCTTAACTGCTATCTTGCCTACCCATAATGTTACTGCTAAAAAAACCAAGAATATTATCTTCTTTCAGACCTTTGAATTGGATTTACCAGCAAAATTAGATGCTTTACTAGATTTCAAGCTATTAAACTCACCTATTTGTACAAAAATTTATTCCAGCTATCGTCATAACCAAAATTAAATAGATTATAATCACCATTATATGCAAGACTTTGTGCCCCCAAGATTTTTAGACAAATTTACACCTTGTTCTAGATGAGGACCCAATAGTATTTAATGACAACCATCCCATATGTGAAGTAAAATCAAATTTTAAATGAAACCATAAGGATGTATATATATTGTTCATTTATATCAATGGTTCTCAAACTTCCTGTTCTTAGGACTCCTTTATATTCTTAAAAATGATGGAGAACCTTGAGTATTTTTAAATATTAGTTTTAATGTGGTTTTGTCTATCAATATTTACCATATTAGAAATGGTAATTAGAAAATTTGTTTTAATTCACTTAAAAATAACAAAAATAAACCCATGACATGCTAATATAAATAACATTTTATGAAAAAATCTTTTTCAAACAAAACCACTCAGTGAGAAAACTGACCCTGTTTTATAATTTTGCACATCTGTTTGGTACCAAATTTATTAGAAGATAGCTGGAATCTCATAACAGCCTTTGCACTTGGTCTGCTGTGATGTCATTTCTCAGTTAGCTTCTGGAAAGTTTCATTGTACTCTCAGGAGTGAATGAGAGTTTAAAAAGGCAAATAGCATCATAGTATTACTAAGAAAATTGTTTTGGCCTTAAAGACACTCTAAAAACATCATCGGGATCCACACAGATCTCTGAATCATTCTTTGAGGAACCACTGATTTACACTGTGCTGGAAGGGAATCCCAGACCTTTGCTCTACTATTACAAAGAAAACAAACTGAACTACGTTAGAATATTCTTGATTGCAGACCTAAACCAACCGTTTTTTCTGTCATTGTTTCAGCTTATTAATTTAAATGAATTTGCATATACATTTTACTAAAAAAATTAAATAAAAATATAATACCCTATTACTTAACATTAATATAGATTTCAGATATAAGCTGGAATCTGGTCTTTTAGATTTGTACAGTTAAAATATAGCTAGTAGCAGACTTTCCCAAAAGGTATATAGACAATTTTTTAAAACCATAAAATATATAGAGTAAACAAACATTACAAATTGTACTGACTGTTATGGATAAAACAAGTAGAGTGCTCGGAAACATGAGTTGATCAGCATTGCTGGGGAAGATGATCAGGAAATGCTACAGATTAATCTTAAACTGAGACTTGAAAATTAGCGAGGTTAATCATATGAAGAGTACTCCAGGCAGGGAGAACATCATGTACGAATCCCCTGAGGAAGGATAGAGCTTATTGGCATGTTTTAGGAGCTGAAAGATGACCTCTGTGGCTGTGATGATTAATAAGTGCAAGGAAGAGTGGCCCAAGATGAAGTTGGATGGGTATGTAGAATACCTAGGAAAGTTCTGATCAATGTAGTGCGATAATTTCACACTTAGACACACCCATAGGTTGTATCGATACAGTGTAAAACGTGTTGTATTGATACAACGTCAAAAGGACCATCGAAAAACAAGATGAATGTTCTGTAGGACAGAAATGGAACAGAATTAAAAGCCCTGAGTCTGGCGGAAACCACAGAACTACCAGGCTTTAGATCCAAAGCAGATAATAGTGGCCAAGACTTCAGCTCGTGTGCAGTGAAGGGGACCAAAATTATGACACAGGAATTAGAGCCGACTTCATGGCTAGAAGCAAGAAGCTGGGATGGGACTCTATTGCTATGAAAAGGCACTGAATTGGGATGGGTGAATGCTGTCCAACTCTCCTTGGGGCTGTAGCGTTATAGAAAGCTATACGCCTAGAAATAATGAAGGACCAAGAACTCTGAAGCAGGCCATTCATTGCCTGGGTCTGTGATTTTCAAATATCAGTGTGGAGCAGGAGCCCCTAATATGTGATTGTAAAACCTGGTTCTGGACTAGAGTAATTGGCTGGGGAGGACACAAGTAAAGAGAGTTGAAATCTTTAGGGGGGAATAAAGGCAGCCAGTAATATCAATAATCAGAACATAAATTTGTTCCAGATAAAAGTAATTTTATGGAACTGACAATGACTTAGAGTGTGTTTGGGGTATTCAGAGAGGTAAAGGAACACAAAAACTAAAGTCAGCAGAGCAATTCTACAGGGCTAATGTCAGAAATAATCATTTTTCACGATTTTTATGGAGTAACCAAGAAAATTACCTCTCATTTTAAGGTCTTCCAACCTGAATTAAACTTTTGTATTTTGCCAGTTTTTAGACGTAAACCTTTCTCTCATAACTTGTTCTTATCAAAATGCAACATGACATAGTTTTATTCATTTATCTATTTGCTCTTCAGACAGATGGGGATTTCATCTTAAAACTTTCATTTTGAAAGTTCTTACTTTCAAAATCTTTATAAATACATTTTTAAAAAACCGTGATCAGTTGAGGTAGCCAGATAAGGAGTGATAAATTGGAGCAGGTTTAGTAACTACTTTCATATTCCATATAGCTGGAAAAAAATCAGCGTGGGTTTTAAGTGTATGTATTTGATTTTTGTTTCTTTTAGAGCAAGTCTTTTTTTGTCCAATAAAAATATTGGTACAATGTAATGAAGCAAATGCTTTCTGATATCTAATGTTAACATTTTTTTCCTTCAGTGGATTTGGCATGATAACATGCAGTTTCTTCAAGACAAAAACATTTTTGAACATACATATTTTGGGTAAGTTTGGTAAATTTAATAGAGTTTTTTGTTACACATTTTTTAAAAATCTTATTCTGTAAGAATTTTAACTTACTACTTTTAAATTCTAGGTTTATGTGGCAGTTGTGTAGTTGCATTCCCAGTACATTACCAGATCCTAAAGCTGTGTCTCTGATGACAGCAAAGGTAATATGTAAGCCTTATATAATTTTTTCAGAATTGAGTTCTTTAAAATAATTACATCTTTTTTGCTTAATTTTCTCTTTTCTTACAGTTAAGCACTTCCTTTGTTTTAGAGACATTTATACATTCAAAAGAAAAGGTATGTGTTTCATTTTGTGAATTTTTTTCTCATTTATCAGATGTCTTTTGGCTTTCCTTAGCTTTAGCTCAGAAGTCCCCATGCCTTCACTGACTTCTTTCTTTTCCTTTTTTAGCCCACAATGCTTCAGTGGATTGAACTGTTGACCAAACAATTTAATAATAGTCAAGCAGCTTGTGAGGTGAGGTGAATAATTCAACAAACGATGTACAGCTTAAGATTCACTTTTTTGATTTTTTGCTATAGCAAACTTGTTTTATCTATTATAAATCATACGGAGCCCAATGAAAGTTGTTCCTAAAATTACTTCATAACTGCCAAAAAGTTATAATTTTGTGTTTCACATCCATTATACTGATTAAATAATTGATTTTTAAGTTATTTAAAAATCCGTAGGTCCACCCCTAATGTATTAGAAGGAAAAAGTATAAAAAATTCAAAGGACTATATCAGCTGTTTCTTGACTACTTTTGAATGTTATCAGAAAATACTTAAAAATGCATCCCTTTCCATTCTGAGAAAAAAATGCATATATCCCAGTAGATCGGTTTATGTCCAATTTTATCTCCACTCATATTGCGTGATAACGGAGACATTACTAAGATAATCTACTCACAGGTAATGATCACTTAACCATATTGCCATCTGAATATCATTTATCATTTTTGGTTGGTTCCCAAAGTGGTGTAAACCTTCCTAGGAATGCAGTCTTCTAAGTTTCCAGAGGTAGGAGATAGCATAGTATGCAATAGGTGAAATTAGTTGGAGGTTTTTTTAATATAGAAGCTCATCTAATTATGCCTTGTAGCAATAGAATAGAAGAATCTGATTGTTGTAAATTTCAAACACAAAGGCATAGCTTTTTTATTTTATTTTATTATGTTTTATTTTTTTGGTGAGGAAGATTGGCCCTGATCTAACACCTGTTGTTGGTCTTTTTGCTTGGGGAAGATTGGCCCTGAGCTAACATCTGTGCCCATCTTCCTCTATTTTGTATGTGGGTCGCTGCCACAGCATGGCTTGATGAGTGGTCTAGGTCCATGCGCGGGATCTGAACCCGCAAACCTGGGCTGCTGAAGTGGAGTGTGCCAAACTTAACCACTCTGCCACCAGGCTGGCCCCAAGGCATAACTTTTTAAAACATTATAATGAATATTTCCAAACATGCACAAACCTAGAAAGATATGAACTCTCATGTACCCATCACCTGATTTCAACAGATAGTGACATTCTTTTGTTTTCTTCTATTTCTATCCCTGATGCCTTTTTTCAGCTGAAATATCGTAAAGCCAATCCAGATAAAATATCATATATCCATAAATACTTATTATATATATATCTCTATTAGATGAGAAGTTTAAAAAAATACATAACCATGATTCCATTCACTCCTAGTAAAATTAGACGTGATTCCTTAACATCATCCAGTACTCATTCTGTGTTCAGTTTTGTCTAATTGTCTAAAAAATGTTTTTTGAGTTGGTTTATTTGAATTAGTTAGTATTCAAACAAGGTCCACATTTTGCTTTCATCTCATTAATCTCCTTTCATCTATAACAGTTACTTTCTCTTTTTTTTTTTCTTCTTGCCACTTTGTCATTTTTTTCTGCAGCATTTTCCACATTCTTGCTTTGACTGATTCCATCTTCCTGGTGTTACTTAACCTGTTTCTCTATTCCCATCCCCCTTTATGATTTTTGAAAGCTGTTTTATAAATCCAGAGGATTGATTAGGTCATAATTTGTTGTGCTTTTTTTTTTTAAGTAAAGTTGCCATTTTAGTTTTTTCACCAAGGGTTTGCCTCAGGAACTCTCTCAAGAAGTTAATATTCTCTTCAGTTGTCAGTAATTATGTGTATGCATAAATAGGCAGTACAGTTCAATTGAGGAGTTAAATATGTAATTAAGAGATATCTTGAAATCAATGGGAAATTGTTTTAGCTTAGCATAAAGGAGTTTTTTGTTATCAAGAAGGCATAATTTGTTTTTAAACAGAAAAAATCATACTCAGATCATATGTTATTAATAGGAACAAAAGATTCTACAGTGTGTTATTTGTGAGGACTAAGAGGAAAATAGTATTCTATTTTAGGACTATAGGTTGCTGTCTTGCACATTGTATATTATGATGTAAATGACATCTATGGAATTCTATAATAAGATGACCCTGATTATGACTTTAGACATTTTAGATTTTGGACTTTCTAACACTTGAAGAATCTGTTTTGTAAGAACTTAAAATAATTGAAACATCGATTGGAAGTTAGTGTCACACTATTTTCTTACAGTGGTTTTTGGACCGCATGGCTGATGATGACTGGTGGCCAATGCAGATACTAATTAAGTGCCCTAATCAAATTGTGAGACAGGTAAGAAAAAATTTATTTGAAAATTTATTTGAAATTTATGTGAATATGTCTTAACCCAGCATTGAAAGTAGTTTGAAAAAATTGAACTCTTATCATAAAAGCCATTTTTGCTGTTGTGTTCACCAGCCTCTTTTAGCAAATCAACTATCATTCCAATCGAGTGATTAAAATCATTCAGATTTCATGGTTATACCAAGATAGCTATGACCACCTCTTCTCTCAGATCCTACTCTGGCTGCTTCATAAGTTGTGCTGATTCTTTTTTGGATCCTTAGATGTTCTAACCATGGTAGGGTACTGTAATAGCCTTGAAAGTTAAATGAATAGTGTATAACTCATTTCTGTGACAGATTGTGAATTGTCACTTGAATCAGTTTGTTTTCCTTACGTCACTGGAAAAATTAGACAAGGAAAATGTAAATATTACTTTATATTCACTTATGACAGAAAACCAAAAATTTATTCTGAAATGTGCCACTTTCCAGTTATTATTGAGATATAATTCATATACCATAGAATTCACCAAAACCTTTCAAAGTGTAAATTTAGTGGTTTTTATTATATCCCCAGGCCTCATCTATCTAATTTAAAACACCCCAAAGAGAGCCCCCATACCTGTTAGCAGTCACTCCTCATTTTATCCTATCCTTTATCTCCAGCCCCTGACAACCACTAATCTACTTTCTGTCTCTATGGATTTGCCTATTCCAACCATTTCATATCAATGGAATCATACAGTATGTGGTCTTTTGTTACTGGCCTCTTTTTTTTTTTAATTTTTTTTTTTTTTTGCTGGGAAAGATTCCCTCTGAGCTAACATCTGTTGCCAGTCTTCCTCTGTGTGAGCCACTGCCACAGCATGGCAACTGCGAGACAGGTGGTGTGGTTCTGAACCCAGGCTGCTGAAGCAAAGCACACTGAGCTTTAACCACTAGGCCATCAGGGCTGACTCTGACTGGCTTTGATTTAACAGTGTTTTCAAGGTTTATTCATGTTGTAGTGTGTATCTGTATTTCATTTCTTTTTATTGCCAAGTAATATTCCATTGACTGGATATACCAAATTTTGTTTATTCATTCAGTAGGTGATGAACATTTGGGATGTTTCTACTTTTTGGCAATTTTGAATAATGCTGCTGTGAACATTTGTGTACAAATGTTTGTGTGGAAATACTTTTTCAGTTCTTTTGGATATATACCTAGGAATGGAATTGTTGGGTCTTATGATCACTCTATGTTTAACATTTTTAGGAACTACCAAACTGTTTTTGATAGTGTCTGCACCAGTCTGCATTCCCACCAGGAATCTGTGAGGGTTCCTACTTCACTACATCATCTTCAACATTTGTTACTGTGTTTCTGATGTTAGGCATCCTAATGGATGTGAAATAGTATCTCATTGTGGTTTTGGTTTGCATTTCCCTAGTAATTAATGATATTGAATGTCTTGTCTTGTGCGTATTGGCCATTGGCCATTTTATAGATCTTATTTAGAGAGTCCCCAGCCATTTTTAATCCCTGTTTCTTTTGGATAAACTTAAATCATATTTCCTTCTCCTTGGCATTGATAAGCAGCTCTTTCACTGATAAGCAGCTGTCCTGCCCTACTCTTCTGTTCTGAAAAAGAGGGATGCTAAGTTTTCTTTTCTCTATCTCCACTAGTTAAGAGGCTTTTGTGAAGCTTTGTTTTGGTAATCTCTATTACTGAAATGAATAATTCGTTGTTGTTTTTTCCTTTATCGTAGAACTAAATGCTGTTTTTCAAGCTAACTTTGCCTTGTATCTTCAGTCTGTAGTTGAAACACCAGGAAAGCTTTAGAAGATAATCTAGGGACACAATATAAATGAGTGGCAGATAATTTTGAATCATGTTAATTTTTCAGTATCTTTGTTACCTGATGTGAGTTGGTGTTTAGATTATGTCTTTTCCTCTATAGATGTTTCAGCGTTTGTGTATCCATGTGATTCAGAGACTTAGACCTGTACACGCTCATCTCTATCTACAGCCAGGAATGGAAGATGGGTAAAGAAGGACCTTTTGAACATTTTGTTTTTAAGCTTTTTAATGATCTGCCTGCAAAGTATTTTTAAATATCCACACTGAAATACTTAGGTTCTTCTATTTTAAAATACTCTGTAATAATACATATCAAGAAGGGAAAACTTTTATTTTGTTTTTAATTAAGTGCATCTTTAAAATCCTCTACAAATAACTTTATGTTAGTCTTTTTGTTTGGATTGATTTAGTCGGACACAATAATTGGAATCCATCCACTTATATTATTTTAATTGGTATTCATTATTACAAAGACAAAAGAAAGAAATTTAGGTTTTTAAAAATATTCCTTTTTCCAGAATGTCTATCGCCATATTTCATACTTTCTCTAAGATATATTAAATTATATTTTCAGGTCAGATGACATGGATGCCTCAGTAGAAGATATTGGTGGTCGTTCATGTGTCACTCGATTTGTGAGAACTCTGTTATTAATTATGGAACATGGTGTAAAACCTCACAGTAAACATCTTACAGAGTATTTTGCCTTCCTTTATGAGTTTGCCAAAATGGGTGAAGAAGAGGTGAGCCTATATCTTGTTTATTTCTGGGATTATGTACCTATTTTTAGTGTTTAAAACAGGTGTTTTTATTTTATATTTTTAAATTAATATTTTCATTTTTAGAGCCAGTTTTTGCTCTCATTGCAAGCCATATCTACAATGGTACATTTTTACATGGGAACCAAAGGGCCTGAAAATGTAAGTATAATTCTGTCTCATATCAATAATTTAGAGGCTGTATTTTCAAGTTTGTGTCATCAGTAGTCAGTAGAACCCTTTCAAGTCCCTTGTAGCCCTGATATTACATAATTTTAAGGGTCTAAGTTTGGTTAACAGTTTTAGTGGATATAGCAAGAGAAGAAACAATCAATAAATTTCACTAGTAAGGCCCTGGAACAAGGCAAATAAATTTAGGCAAAATGGCCACCATCTACCTTGGGGTCCTATCAATAGTGTGTTATTTTGGTGAACATTTTTGTTGGCCATATTGTTAAGCCCTTTGTTATTAAGTTTGGAGAGTCTTCTGAAAATTTAAGTAGGTGGTCTATTCATAATACTAAAGTATTACATGAATTTTGTGTTGTCTGTAATGACCACATTAGGTTGAATGCTCTGTTTGCACTATCTTATTTAATGCTTATTGCAACCCTAAGAGGTAAGTTTATCTCCATTTAACAGGTGATGAACTTGAGGCATATAGAAGTTAACTTGTTTTAGATCACAGTGAATTGGGCTTTGATCCTTGGTCAGACTCCTGAGCTAATCTGTTAACCACTATGCTGTAATGCTTCTCAGAATATGGACTCTTATCTAATTCCAGCCTATATGGCTGCCTGTTTAGACTGCTTTGCTTTTGTTTTGTTAGATCATAAAATCTTTTCAGTCTCTTGCATTTCAAAGTCCAAGTAAATATCTCTGGATTATCTGAAAACTGCTTCTTTAATTTGTATAACTGGCATTTTTATTAAACAGGAAATACTATTTTATCATCCTCATATAAATTTTGATCCTGATTTATCATCTAAGGGGCTTGCCTATAAGAAAAAAGAAATGATTAATAGATTATCCTGTTAGGTAAGGTAAATAGAGACAGTAGTGCAAATGATTGTTTTTTACGGTTCTTCCTGTTAAGTCTAAAATTAAGTCCTGAATGTGGTTTAGACTTTTAAAGTCAGGGCTTCGAGTGGTTGTTTTTCGTGGTAACATGCTTCTCTCACCATCTACCTTGGATAGTTATATAAAACAATCAAGTTATTTGCTCTCAAGATAATATTAAAATTAATATCGTATTAATATGTTCTGCTTCAGCCTCAAGTTGAAGTGTTATCAGAGGAAGAAGGAGAAGAAGAGGAAGAAGAAGAAGATATCCTCTCTCTGGCAGAAGAAAAATACAGGCCAGCTGCCCTTGAAAAAATGATAGCTTTAGTTGCTCTTTTGGTTGAACAATCTCGCTCAGAAAGGTGAAATGTTTCAGCATTCAAAATGCTTAAAGCATGTTTGATTTTATTCTTTTTACATAATTGTTTTACCATTATTATCTCAGCAGCTCTTGTTACGTAATTTGTTTTAAATAGTAACATTACTATTCATCTACTCTTGTAGCATAAGTATTTCAATCCTTTGTACCAAACTCTTACTTTGCCTCTGAGTCATGTTAGAAATATACATTGAAGAAATATACAGTAAAATATCTAGCAAAATTATATGTGCATTCATCCTTTTACCTAGCAATTCCACTTCTAGGAATCTGTCTCCAAAATACAGAAAGATGTATGTGCAGTGCTACTTATTAAAGCAGTGTTTGTAATAGCAAAAGACTAGAAATGTCCACCAAGAGGGGACTAGTTGAAAAAACAGGCCATCCACTCAATAGAGAGTACTCTATTGGTGAAAAAAAAGAAATATGGGGGCCGGCCCAATGGCATAGTGGCTAAGTTCGGGTGCTCCGCTTTGGCGGCCCAGGGTTCATGGGTTCAGATCCTGGGCATGGACCTTACATACTGCTCATCAAGCCCCACTGTGGCAGTGTCCTATATACAAAATAGAGGAAGGTTGGCACAAATGTTAGCTCAGGGCCAATCTTCACTACTGTGGAGAGATCTTTAGGATAAATATTACTAAGTGAAAAAAGCAATGTGGAGAAAAGTGTAAATAGTATGCTACTTTTTAAGAAAAGGGAAGCTATGAGAGAGAGCCAAAGAGTGTGTGTGTGTGTATATGTATGTGTACGTGTGTACATCCAGTCCTCATTATTCATGGATCTCCTATTTATGAATTTGCTGACTTACTAAAATTTATTTATAATGCCAAAATCAGTACTCATGGAGCTTTTACAGCCATTTGTGGACCTACAGAATGTACCTATGCACAGTGGCAAAACATTTGAGTTGCCTGTCACACACTTTCCCAGCTGAGGTCAAACATGATGACACTCTACCTTCTTCTTTCAGTTGCCATATTGTAAACAAATAATCCTTTTCATGGTATATGCCACATTTTTCATGTTTGTGCTTTTTGTTGGTGATTTGGCTGTTTAAAATGGCCCCTACGCATAGTGCCAAGCGCTATCTAGTATTCCTAAGTTCAAGAAGGCCATAATGTGCCTTAGGGAGAAAATGACACGTGTTCAATAAGCTTCATTCAGGTATGAGTTATGGTGCTATTTGCTGTGAGTTCAATGCTAATGAATCAACAATATGTATTAAATAAGGTATATTTAAACAAACACACATTAAAAAAAAGTAACTATTGATTGGTTGACAAAAATGTTGTGACCAGAGGCTCATAGGAACCTAACTCTGTATTTACCCTATAAGCAATGATTCAGTATTCACTAATTTAGTGTTTGCAGCACTTTTTAGAACATAAATACTACAAATAACAAGAATTGACTATATTTTTTAAAATTGAAGACTAAATCAAAAACTTAAAAGTTTTCTGTGGTTGGGGGAGGGGAAAACAGGCTGGAGGGGAGAAGAATGAAAGCTTGACTTCTTTGAATATACATTGTTTTGTTTTTTAGGTTTAACTTTGGAATCATGTAAATGTTTTTATATAATTATTAATTAATTTTAAAATACAATCCCTAAAAATCAAAAGTAGACTCAAATAAGCGAACCTAACTATATGTTGAGCTGGCAGCATAGCCATTGGAGGAGAATTAATAAGTAAAGTGACATTAGAACATATTAATTTAACTGAATTCCTAGTGGGATATACATGAAGGACAAAAAGAATTATAAAATTGTCCTAAACTGTTTTACTGATTATATTGTTAGTAGAATTATTATTCTGAAACTATATTATAGAATAAAGCAAATAAATAATTGTTAATGTCAATAGAAAACAAAATTTTCAGCAAAACAAAAAAGTACAAATATAAAATTGTAGGGTTTTTACATACATAACTTTTTTAAACTAAATTTGAATTTGGAGGTATTGGTAGAGTTCTTGGTATATTTTGTCTTAAGCAAACAAGAAATGTATTACAGACCTCTATTTTCTGAAAAGGCCTAGAAATCCTGTCCAACTCAGAATCACTGAGTGCCCCTGGCATCTAGATTGTAGTCTCTAGATATCATTTCTCACTGGAAAAAATCCGGATTCCTTAGAAAAATGGCCAATTCCAGGTCTTGGGCAAGAAATAAATGGGAAGCCTGGAACGTTTGTCGTTTGGAGAAGCAAGGAGGCTATCAAAAACTACTGAGGTCATGTTAAAAGGACTCAAGAGCCAACATAAAGGAGCTTTCTACTGGTCATAAATTGTACATCCTGAACATCAATAGTAAGAATAGCTACAAGTGGACTAAAACAATCACAGATGGGTCAATTCATGAATTCATAATGAACCTAAAAACAAAGTTAAAAAACTTGCAACCCTGGAGTATATTAGGAAACCAAATCATAATTTTGGCAACTTATTAATAAAGGAACAATGTTGAGCATTTATCTTACCTGCAGGAATTATACCAGGAAATGATCATCATTGGCTGAAAACGTTACAAAAAGACAACTTTTCATTGTGTGCCTCCTGATGAAAGTCCGTACCACCACTTATAAAGTGTTCTTGATTAAAAAGTCAAACCTAGATCTGATCAAGTCTGTAGATCTAACTACAAGTTTACAGGAAATATGGGGACAAAGGAACGTGTTAAAACACCACCACAAGGATACAATCAGCAAAATGGAAATGTGGGAAATTCTACAGGACAAGCCATCTGCTTTCATCAACAGATCAATTGCAAGATAAAAACAAAATTGGAGGGGAAGCCAGTGGTCTAAAAGAGGTTTAAAAGACATTTCAACTAGTTGCAACAGAGGACTTTATTTGGATCCTGATTCAAACAAATTAACTATAAAAAGTTTTTTAGAACCTTGAGGAAATTGTACACTGGATATTGTATGATAGTAAGGAATTGTTGATTTATTTTAGGTGTGAATAATGGTAGTGTAATTTAATGTTTTTGAAATTTATCTGTTAGAGATGCATACTGAGATTTATGTATTAAATGATAAAATATCTGGAGTTGTTTCAGAATAGTCCATACTGAGTGAGTAGGAGTTACAAATGAAACAAGACTGGCCATGAAGTGGTCATTGAAGCTGAGTGATGGGATACTTACACTATTCTATTTTTGTACGTGTCTGAAATTTTCTTTAAGTTACGCAGTAATGTTAAACTGAGAGGTGAAACTCTAGTATTTCTTAGAAGTTCTTTCTTTTCTGAAGGTTCTCATGTCAAACAAAGCTCTCTAAATTAGACCCATCCTAGAGTTATATACCAAAATATTGAATAGAAATGAAGAATGGAATGAAGACATAAAGAATAGAAGTAAAGTAGATTGGGTTTCCATATACCAATCCTGGAATCTTGAAAAATTGTCTAAAAGATGTCTAGCAAGCAAGTCCAGCTAGCAGAAAGTTAAACCATGATTTTATGTTGGTGGCTTGGTACAGTTGTAATTGAATTGACAATTTTGATACCTGTCATGATGCAAATTGCTATAAAGTAATACAGAGGAAGAAAAACTTATTTCCACTAATGTTTTCTTTCAGGCATTTGACGTTATCACAGACTGACATGGCAGCATTAACAGGAGGAAAGGTAATACTTTATTTGTATTAGACCATTTGATATATTAGACCAGTTGCAAAAATAATAACATAACAGTTCTTAAATGAACAACTTTTGGTTTTAACAGGGATTTCCCTTCTTGTTTCAACATATTCGTGATGGCATCAATATAAGACAAACATGTAATCTGATTTTCAGCCTATGTCGATACAATAATCGACTTGCAGAACATGTAAGTACTGAGAAAGTCTTTAAGTTTTTTGGTAACTTTTAAAAGAATATTCTGAAATTCTCCTTTTTCTGTTTTAGATTGTATCTATGCTTTTCACATCAATAGCAAAATTGACTCCTGAGGTATGTAGACATTTGTTAATTGATGTTTTTAAAACTACTATCAGCACTGACACTGCTTCCAAATGAACCTTTGTAATTATGCCCCCCAAAAAAAATTTATCAAAGTTTCCCCCATAACACAATAACCTGTTTTTAAGTATGTAATTTGAATAAAATGAATTGCCTCTTCATGTCTAACTATCACAAATGTGATTTTCCTAATTAAATATAAATTTACATGTAAGTTCAATATCTTGGAGTGTCACTTAGATACTAAACTTAGAAGTTGTTCCTTTTGAAGCATATATCAGAATTGTGCCCAAGAAAAAAGTAGACTAACCAGAACTCTGAATAGGTGGAGAAATATGTGGAAAATAGAATGCAGTATTGTACAAAAATATTTTTGTAAAATTGAAATACAGCTACTTTGATAATACATGTCATAGTAATGTAAATTATACCTCAGAGATCAAAGGTTAGGAACTTTTAATCTAAATTTTTCTGTAAATATGGTGGTCTCATTAACAAGAATTTTGATATTTTCTTTTTCCAAACTGACATTCAGAAAAATACATGTTTTCTGATATATGTGGCTCCCACACAATTGACTGTCCAGCTGATCCTGCTGCTTTAGTTCAAGTTCATATGCAGGAGTATTGAGCTCTGCTAACCTAACACAGCAGGTTTAAATATGATGTATAGAAGAGTTACACGTTTCTTTTCTGCTGAAGGAGATGGCTGCAAATAGATCTAAACCTAGTCATTTATGTGTCTTATAGGCAGCCAATCCTTTCTTTAAATTGTTGACTATGCTAATGGAGTTTGCTGGTGGACCTCCAGGAATGCCTCCCTTTGCGTCTTACATTCTACAGAGGATATGGGAGGTAAGTCTTGCAGCAGATGTTTCAGTATTTATTTTTCTGAAGATTTTATTTTTCAAATACAATCACTGTCATGTTTCAAATACAATCACCAGTTTCTTCTTACTTCGGTAAGCTAAAATGGTTTTAGTAAGTCACAGATCAAGGGAAGAAGAGACCTTTTGTCAGAGATCTGGGGGAAAATAGAGTTCTTGGTGAGTTTCCCAGATGTTTAAGGACTTTCTTGTAGAGTCATAAACAGCCTTCTGCCAATCCAGGGTTCTCATTCATCTACCTTCAAAAAAGATTCCATTAAGTGATAGATGCCCTAGAAATATAAACCAAATATTTTCAGCAGTTCACAGAAATGGTAGAGGAAGCACCAGCCACTTCTTTTCTTCCAGGAAGTTACTACTGAGGTCACAAAATTTCTCCTAATTGCGTGTTGGAAAAGCCCACTCTCTGGAGCTGGGGTCAGCAAACTTTTTCTGTAAAGGGCCAGATAATATTTTAGGCTTTGTGGGCCATATGGTCTCTGTTGGAGCCACTCAGGTGCTATTTTAGCATAAAACCAGCCATAGACAAATACATAAATGAGTGGGTATGGCTGTGCTCAAATAAAAACAGAAACAGGCAAGTCACAAAATTTGGTCTATAAGCCATAGTTTTCCAATCCCTAGTCTAGATTTCTAAGATTCCCTTTTCCCATGAAAAAGATCTCCCCAGCAGTGCTGTGAGCTACTTTTCATTCTCTTATAGTAACAGATTGAGCAAGCAGTAAGTAATGATGGGAAACTTTAGAGAATTAAAAGCATTTTTAAATAAATTTATAAACTTAAGACCTAAAAGTCTTTGGGTTCTCATATTGGTTCTGTGTTAGAGTCCTTGGTTACTTTAATTTTATTTTGTAAGCTAATGACAAATTTTCCTGAATATTTCCTGTTGATAAAAGTAAGTAGCTTTAAAAATGGAGAAAAACATGGTGAAACTTCTTTCAGGCTCTAGTTTTCAGAAAACTATCTTGGCTTTTAAGTGTTTAATGGCATATACCAAAAGTAAGTAAAAAAGTAACTGCTCATTCAGTTGGCCTTATATTCTGTTATTGTCATTTTATTTGTAGGTAATTGAATACAATCCTTCTCAGTGTCTGGATTGGTTGGCAGTGCAGACACCCCGAAATAAACTGGCACACAGCTGGGTCCTACAGAATATGGAAAACTGGGTTGAGCGGTTTCTTTTGGCTCACAATTACCCTAGAGTCAGAACTTGTAAGTCAAATATTGGGAATTTAACAAACCATTTGTTGTTGTTCCAAGTTTTGTTTTTCTGTTTTGTTTTTAAGGTGACCACCATATGCCCATTGTTTTATAATACAAAAGGCACTTGGAGATACTGTTCTTAAAAGCCAAAGTTATATTAGTATTTGTAAACCTATGGCAGTGTTTTACAAATATCTGTAGTGTTTTTTATTTTTTTAAGGAGAGGAAACTATGTACTTGGGTGACATCACTACCACTATCAGTTTTGTTTCCTTCCTTGGTAGAGTGACAAAACATGATCAGCATTAGTGGAGAGAGTAAAGAGTCAGAAAATCCTATCTTAAAAGTAACTTGAGAAGGTTGAGAGTAAAATAATAATAAAGACATAAAACAAGCTGAGAGAAAATATTCACTGAAATTATGGGAGTTAAATGATAGACACCTTTATGGTACACAGGCCGGAAGGAAATAAAGATCTTTGAAGACAGATCGACAAATACCAAAAATAGATACTTCACAGAATAGAAAATTGCTTGTAAATAAACATAGAAAATGTTCTTTTTTTGATAGTATTCAAACAAAAATCAAAGTAGTTAATTTTTTAAATTTCTTTAATCGTTAAATTTAATGGTTCAAATCCTATTTTCTAGCTGACCCTTGAGAGGGCCTAACACTCCAGTGGCAACAAACACATCAGTACCCAGATCTCTGTTTCTAAATACCATTCTCCAGTAAGACAAATCACAGTTCATTGGAGAAATGTCCGATCCTAGGACCAGGGCAGGGAATATATAAGATGAGTCTGGAGCATTTTATAGAACCAGAAAGTAAAGAAGTACTCATAAAACAAAATGATGGGGGTATGTCAGAGACACATATTACTAAACTGAAAAAGCTGCCAGTAGAGGAAGCTGGAACAATTTGAATTTAAAAAAAAAAAAAGTAGCATTGGATTATAACCCAAAGTTATAAAATAAATATCAGTGAGTCCATACTGATATAAATAAATGCTTGAATAAATAAATAAATGGAGAAGAAACAAATTTCCTGTACGTAAGAATTCCAAATAATTTATGTATATCCTCCCCCCAAAGAGGTGGAGCATAACTTCCCCACACCTTAGCTTAGTGACTGTAGTGACTGACTTTGAAAGAGTAGAGTATGGGGGATGGGGAAGATACGTTTAAGTGAAGAAACTTGACAAACACTAAGTCAGGTGACTATCATCATCAATGATAAGTCATGTTGATAGCATGTACCCTTGATATAATTGATGCAAAAGGGACTTCACCTGTGTGGTCTTCCTTCCAAAAACCCATTACCTGAGTCTAACTATGGTAAACATCAGACAAACTCAATTAAAGAAACTTTCTACAAAAATACCTGGCCAGTACTCCTTAGAATTATCAAGATCCTCAAAAGAAGGAAAGTCTGAGAAATTATCATGGCCAAGAGGAGCTTAAGGAAACATGACAACTAAATGTTAATGTATTCTAGATGAGATCCTACAACCAAACAAAAGAACATTAGGGCAAAACAGTTGATATCTGAAGTGTGGAGTTTAGTTAATAGTGATGTGCCAATGTTGGTTCCTTAGTCACAACAAATGTACCAGAGTAATTATAGATGTTAACAAGAGGGGAAATGGGAGGAGGGATATATGGGAGCTGTCTGTTTTACCTATTCTAAAATAAAAGGTTTATTTGGGAAAAACACCGTTTAGTGGTAAGTACACATGGATTGGCATTGGTACTCTGCTCATAGGCTTGTTTTTCCTGCCAGTTTAGTTAACCCCGCAATAATGGGATATTTGTAAGAGCTAATACATAGCTGGTTAGTATTCGTGTCCTGACTCTTCACCATGCAACAATGAAAACCTGTGCTGAACCAAAAAGAAAAAAGATTTTTTAGCCAGCTGTTACACCTAATATTCATGACAGTGCTGAGGAAGTGGCATTCTCATACATTGCAGTGATATTGTAAGTTAATATTACCCTTATGAAAGGCAATTTAGCAGTATGTACCGAGATCCTTAAAAATTTTTGCCATTTTAAACTCAGTAATACCATTTCAGGGATTCCAGTATAAATAAATCATTCGATATATGGATGCCCAACAGCACTGTTTATAGGTGTGAAATACTAAAAACTGGGTGTTGAGTTAGGAAATAAATTGTTATAATGCATCATTTCAAAATTATAATAGTGAACAATGTAGTAATATAAAAAAGTGCTTTTGATATAACTTGAAAAAAGGGACCCAATTATTTGAATAGAATAAATATAACTTAGAATAAGAACTAACATGTATAGAAGAAAAGCTACAGAGAAATAATTTTAAATCTTACAAAATAATTTTAAGGACTGACTGAGAATATTTAATCTAGAGAAAAGATGAAAAATGGAGACAGATGTCTTAAAATAGTTGAAGAGTTGCCGTACAGAAATGGAAGTAAATTTGTTTCTTTAAGTTCTCTATAGCATAAAACCAGACTCTCAGGGACTTTTAAGCAAGGGAGTTTTTAGCAAGATGATCTGTTCTTCCATATTGACCTTCCTAATTGTTCTCAAAGATAAACATAATTAAAAAGTTGCGTTTTTCTCCCTAGCAGAACTTATTCTTTGTTTAAAAACAAATTGCTTTTATAGAAATAGATGGTTAGATGTGTGATAAAGCAATACAAAATGTTAACCAAAGTGGTAGGTCTATGGGTATTTAGTAGAATTTTGTCAATCTTTCATTGTGTTTGAGAATTTTTCATAATAAAATGTTGGGGTAAAAGTATATAACTTAAATTGAATAAGTTTTTTTATGACAAATTACTTTTCTCAATTATACTTTTGTACAAAAATCAATCAGGATGACACCTACATGCCAAGTTCTTATATTTGAAACACATACCAAATAGAACCTAACTGAAAACAGGCTAACAAGAGCAATATATAGATGAAGAAATATGTAGAAATGGAGTATTGTGCAGAAATAAAGTTTAATTTGAAATAAATCTGTAAAATAGATTACAGTTCATTTTAGAAACTGTACCTTTATTTGCTTTGGCAAATAGAATTTGGAAATTATCGAATTATAGGTAGAATAGTGGGAGACAGAATTGGTAAGTGTATTGAAAGCTGTTAAGCTAAGGCATTAGAGTCCTTGAGGAGGAGACTCTGTAGTAAATGGTGTTAGGAGCGTTAGCTCATGAGTCTGACAGTCTGGGTTTGAATTCCATCTCTGCCAGTAGCTATGTAATATGGAGTAGTCTTAGTATTTTAAGTCTGAGTGAAAGTGGGATTAATAAAAATAGTTGCTACTATATAAAGTTATGATGTTAACTAGTAAACATTCTATAAATGTTAGCAATTCTTGTTTTGTTATTGTTTTACCATTATCATTATTATCGTTGTCATCATCATCGTTTCCCAAGGCCGAATTTGGGTTCCACCTCTTTATCTGTGTGGCCTTGGTCTTTGCTTCTCCAAGATTCAGATTTTCCAGTGTAACATCACCTACCTCCAGGATGATTGTGAGGATTAAATGAGATGACATTTATAAAGCACCTAGTTCAGTGCCTTGCTCGTAGTAACTGCTTTTACAGATGGACTCAACTAATGAGTCACTAACCTCTCAGAATTGTAGCATAAGCTCAATAACCCTTTTCAGGTATGTTGAAGGAGGGATTCTTTCTTTGTGTGCAAAGTTAGCCTAGAAGACTTCTGAAGATTTTCCAAAGTTCTGTAATCAGCATGTATGTAATCTTATATGTTACAAAGGACTTTCAGATAGATCTCATTCTGTCTTTATAACTTAAGTATATTTTACCATTATCAGTTAATTATTACGATGTAATTTACATTATTTTTAAAGAAGGAAAAACTAAGTCCCTAAAATATTAAATGATTTGACTATGTCAGACAGCCTTAGATAGGTCTTCAGGCTCCAAATGCTGTATGCTTCCTGTTAAACTATATTGTTTCCTGAGGAGAAATGAAATGATAAAGTAAGTGGAAAACTTCTACATCTTGGGAAAGCCAAACAAAAGAGGTTTAAAACTGTTTCTTGCTAATGCGATTGTTGTCGCCACTTAAAATATAACAATGACAGAAAGGAAGGCATCTGTTTCATCATTCCTTGGATCTTTCTGTGGGGCCAATGGTAGAATAGAAAGGTAATAAAAAAGGTGTTCATGTCCCTTAATTTTTATTCATTTTAATTTTTAAAGGGAAGAGTGGCTTTGTGTTTAATGACTGCTCTTCAGTCTATTTTAATCTTGTAAGGATCTGACAGTTTTGTTTTACATTTTATAGCTGCAGCTTATCTTCTGGTGTCCCTTATACCAAGCAATTCATTCCGCCAGATGTTCCGGTCAACAAGGTCTTTGCACATCCCAACCCGTGACCTTCCACTCAGTCCAGACACAACAGTAGTCCTACATCAGGTCTACAACGTGCTCCTTGGTTTGCTCTCAAGAGCCAAACTTTATGTTGATGCTGCTGTTCATGGCACTACAAAGCTAGTGCCCTATTTTAGCTTTATGACTTACTGTTTAATTTCCAAAACTGAGAAGCTGATGTTTTCCACATATTTCATGGATTTGTGGAACCTTTTCCAGCCTAAACTTTCTGAGCCAGCAATAGCTACAAATCACAATAAACAGGCTTTGCTTTCATTTTGGTACAATGTGTGTGCTGACTGTCCAGAGAATATCCGCCTTATTGTTCAGAACCCAGTGGTAACCAAGAACATTGCCTTCAATTACATCCTTGCTGACCATGATGATCAGGATGTGGTGCTTTTTAACCGTGGGATGCTGCCTGCCTACTACGGCATTCTGAGGCTCTGCTGTGAGCAGTCTCCTGCATTCACACGACAACTGGCTTCTCACCAGAACATCCAGTGGGCCTTTAAGAATCTTACACCACATGCCAGCCAATACCCTGGAGTGAGTAAAATTGATAATTATATCTGTATCCTCAAATTGATTGGAAATACCTGTTTTTCTCCTGTGGGAAGTGGTGACAAAATATGGAAACTGTGTTAAGAACTTAACATGTCCTTTTGGTATTGAATACCTGTATAAAATGCTGTATTATTAGAATAGGTATGCAGATAATTTTTCTTAGGTTGATGTTGAAATTTTACTTCCAATGGAACTTAGCTATTTTAATTTGTGATTGTGTAAATGTGTCTTTCGTATGTACCTAATGAGAAAAAGTCTGCTTCATGGTACAGTTTTAGGGATGTGAATATATACTATTTAGACGTTTATTATCAAGATCTATATCATGTGTTAAGATGTGAGGTAGACAATACTTTATCTTAGCCATAGTATTCCCTATTATTTTTTCTCACACTACATTCAAGTGAATTAAATGGTTGAAGGGTCTATCAGGATACAAATATGTGAGTCTAAATCTGATCTCTTTTCTCTGCAGACTATTTGTAGGTTTCATATTAAGTTTTTCCCCCTTTATTGGAGACTATAATTCCTGGATGTTTCTTTTCACTGTTGCCTCTTACTCTCTATTGTAAACTCACGATTACACCAAGAAGGTATAAATCTGGGAAGGGGGTTGGAAGGAGAGTGCAGAATCTTTTTTCAAGCTGCTGTCTATCCAGAGGCCACAAACTGACAATATGAGAAGTTGTTTGCTAAATGGGAGATGGTGGATAGTGGAGGAGTAGGAGCTTTCTCAAGACATTCAATATTTACTTAAGAATTCAATCAAATGAATACAAGAAAGGGTATTTTAAGTATTGGTATCCTTGAATTGTGTACTATACTCCTTTTTCCTATGGAAAAAAGGACCTTAACTGTCCTTTAGACATAATGTAGTGAATTGTTCAGAATTTCTCACCCAGAAAGAATAACCGAATTTCCAGTCAAGAAAGTTAGAATGCAGGGCCAGCGCAATGGCATAATGATTAAGTTCGCGTACTCTGCTTTGGTGGCCCAGAGTTGGCAAGTTTGGATCCCAGGCATGGACCTACACATGCTCATCAAGCCATGATGTGACGGCATCCTACATCAAAAGTAGAGGAAGAATGGCACAGAAGTTAGCTCAGGGACAGTCTTCCTCAAGCAAAAAGAGGAAGATTGGCAACAGATGTTAACTCAGGGCCAGTCTTCCTCACCAAAAAAAAACAAAAGAAAGTTAGAATACCTATAATAAAGGAAAGAAGGTGAATGTGTTAAGTACCAAGAGAGGTTCAAAGCCAAGGCTATAAGAATACAGAAGGAAAAGAATGAGAGAGCCCGCTTGACTTAGAAGGTATCAGGACAGGATTTATTAAGATTCAGTGGATTTGTCTCTGTTACATTCACATAAATAATATTTGATTTAGTTACTAAACATGACATTCATAGTTAAATATACCTTCATTAAGTGCTGGGTGAGTTAGAATATTTATCCCCTAATGTTGTTTCTTGCCCTTGACATCAATGAAGTGTAACTTCTTGTCTTGTAGAACTTATCTATTGAGATTTTCATGAAAATGGTGCTTAAATCAATTTTTGCCATGAAAAATATGAAGTTGGGGGTTTCAGTTCATTGATAAGTATGTATTAGATGTGCAACCCTTTCCTAACGTGCCCGTTAGTTAAATGAGCAAAAATCACAGCTAGTGATTTTACTAAAATATTAGTTCCCACATTTCATTCATCAGGTAACTTAAACTGACCATCCATCAATCTAGAAAGATCATTCCAAATGTTGACAGAAAGGGCTTTCCCAGAAACAGTATTAATTCAAGTGTAATTGAAGGGTGACAAAGGAATGATTTTTGACTTTTCATTTTTTAAAGAAAAGGGGGCAAAGGATCGGTGTAGCATGTCTCTGGATGCATATATGAAGTTACAAAATTAGTGCTGTAAGCAGTATTAAGACTAAAAATGAACTATATTTACTTGTAGTTTTTAATCTTTCTGAAATTCTATTTTAAGATTTTCTTTTGGTGAATAATAAATTTTTAGAATAGCATTCATTGCTAATTTTAAAACTATTCTTCACTGATAGTGTAATGTAACTTATCTGTGTAATTTTAAGAGGTGGCTAATGCACATAACTTTCAGAAATGAGAAGCAGACGTTGTAAAATGTTGTAGGGTTAAGAGGTCACCGTAATGCTTATTTGCCCTTTTTAGGCAGTGGAAGAACTGTTTAACCTGATGCAGCTATTTATAGCTCAGCGGCCAGATATGAGAGAAGAAGAATTAGAAGATATTAAACAGTTTAAGAAAACAACCATAAGTTGTTATTTACGTTGCTTAGATGGCCGCTCCTGCTGGACTACTTTAATAAGGTAAAAAAAATGTTTCCTGGTGTGTTTTTGTCTTTATTATTTTATTGAGGTCATTTTGACTTAGAACATTGTATGAATTTCCGGTGTACATCAGTGTATTTCAGTCTCTATATAGACTGCATCATGTTCACCACCAACAGTCCAGTTTTTATCAATCACCGTACACGTGTGCCCCTTTACGCCTTTTGCCGTCACTCCACCTCTGTCTCTAGTAATTGTCAATCTGTTCTCCCTGTCTATGTGTTTATCTTTCACATATGAGTGAAGTCATAAGGTAATTAATTGTCTTTCTCTGTCTGACTTATTTTGCTTAGTATAATACCATCGAGGTTCATCCATGTTGTCTCAAATGGCACAATTTTGTCTTTTTTATGACTGAGTAGTATTCCATCATATATGTGTGTGTGTCTGTGTCTGTGTGTGTGTATACATACACCACATCTTCTTTATCCATTCATCTGTTGATAGGCACTTGCGTTGCTTCCACATCTTGGTGATTCTGAATATCACTGTGATGAACATAGGGGTGCATATATCTTTTTTTTTTTTTCCTGAGGAACATTAGTCCTGAGCTAACATCTGTGCCAGTCTACCTCTGTTTTGTTTGTGGGTCACCGTGCCACAGCATGGCTGATGAATGGTGTGGGTCAGCGCCCGGGATCTGAACCCGTGAACCTGGGCTGCCAGAGCAGAGTGTGCTGTGTTTAACCACTATGCCACAGAGCCAGCCCCTGCATATATCTTTTTGAGTTACTGATTTCATGTTCCTTGGATAAATACTCAGTAGTGGAATACCTAGATCATATGATATTTCTATTTTTAATTTTTTGAGAAGTCTCCTTATTGTTTTCCAAAGTGGCTGCACCAGTTTGCATTCCCACCAGCAGTGTATGAGGGTTCCCTTTTCTCTACATCCTCTCCAGCACTTATTTCTTATCTTGTTAATTATAGCCATTCTGATGGGAATGAGGTAATAGCTCATTGTAGTTTTGATTTGCATTTCCCTAATTAGTCATGTTGAACATCTTTTGATGTGCCTGTTGGCCATCTGTCTGTCTTCTTTGGAAAAATGTCTGTTCATATCCTCTGCCCATTTTTTCATCAGGTTGTTCATTTTTTTCTTGTTCAGTTGTATGAGTTCTGTATATATTTTGGAAATTAACCCCTTGTCAGATATATGACTTGCAAATATTTTCTCTCATTTAGTGGATTGTCTTTTCATTTAGTTGGTGGTTTCTTTTTCAGTGCAAAAGCTTTTTAGTCTGATGTAGTCCCATCTGTTTATTTTTTCTTTTATTGCTCTTGCCTGAGTAGACATGGTATTCGAAAAGATACTGCTAAGACCAACATCAAAGATTATACTGCCTGTATTTTCCTCCAGGAGTTTTATGGTTTCAGGTCTTATGTTCTAGTCTGTAATCTATTTTGAGTTAATTTTTGTGTATGGTTTAAGATAATGGTCTACTTTCATTCTTTTGCGTGTGGCTGTCCAGTTTTCCCCACACTGTTTATTGAACAGACTGTCCTTTTTCCATTGTATGTTCTTAGCTCCTTTGTGGAAGATTAGCTGTCCATAGATGTGTGGTTTTATTTCTGGGCTTTCAATTCTGTTCTGTTTGTTTTGTTTTTCTAAGTGAGGGGATGGGGACTATCCTTTTGACACTTAAAGAGGAATAATTTAAATTATTTATAACAAAGTTTACCAGTTCTTTAAGGTTATTGGGGAAGCATTTATGCATTTAGTCACCTTGGAAGAATTTGTATTTTGAAAGTTAATGAGCTACTTTTGAACAGTTTTTGTTTTGGTTTGGTTTTGAATTGTTAGTATTTGTGTATGTTTCATCAGAATCTTGGAATCTTAGGGTTGGAAGGAACCTTAATATACAATCTTCCACCTAAAGCTTGAATCCTCCTCTCTGTGGAAATTCATTCTAACTTCTGCTTGGCCAGTTCAGTTCTAGAGGCCTCCAGAAACAGCTTTCTTCATCTTTGGATGCATGTCACTGTTAATGTTTTTCATTCTCTTTAGCCCAGATCTACCTATCTTTTTTAACTATAGGAATTAGCCAAAAATAACAAAACATGATATTTATAATTAATTGTTTAGAGCCACAGAAGTTATTGAATGGCTATAAAGGAACTGCTACAGATTACAATTAATTCTATTTAACTGTGGAAATAAAGACCAGGTTAATTTCCTAAAATCCTTCTGTATATTACATCTAAGACTTGGAGGTGATGTCCTTTGTTAGGCACATGTCTTTTGTCATTACTTTCTTGAAGACTATTTTATCTTAAACTAATCACCCCAAGTTAAAGTTATTTCAGATTATCTTCATAAAACTTAAATTTAAATCTTTATTAGTACACAATAAAAATCACACTTTTGCCAGGACTTTTTAAAGGAATTCTTTTAAGATTTTGGCATTAATTTTTAATACGTTGTTTTCCCAAGATTTACTACTTAAAGCTTATTTTCAGAAAAACATTTGGAGCTTTTTAAATTCTTTTTTGAAAAAGAAAGGAAAACATCTCATTAAAGTAGAGGGATTTCCAGTTGTACTATATAACAGCGGTTTCCAGTAACTAATAATGAAAAGGGTAATACAGCAACTTTTTTTATTATATAAATTATGTTTAAGGCCAACATATGTTTTTAATGTTTTTCCCCTCCTGTTCTTCTTTCTTCCCAAATAATGAGTGCTTTGATAATACAAGTGTATTTTATTGTTATCTAGAACTTAATGTAGTTTAGGAGATAAACCCACTATAAAAATGAACATTATTTATACTGAAACTTTAAAAATATTGCCATCACACCTCTCTTTCACCGTTATGGATAATGAAGAGTTGACTAGATATGAGTAGACGTAACTTTTCTCTAAGTTACTTGGAGGGTTTCTTATTTAATATTATCTTCTTTTATTATATTATTAAGAAATAGACGAAGCAGTCTCTTTTCTGTAGGTAGGAAAGTAGAGAGCCTAAGTGACAATTTACTTGTGCTTATTTTTTTATCACTTAAGTGTTATATTCTGATTCAGAATTCTCCAACTGGACTTTTATGTATTCTTCTAGTGCCTTCAGAATACTACTAGAATCTGATGAAGACAGACTTCTTGTTGTATTTAATCGAGGGTTGATCCTGATGACGGAGGTAAATATTTTATTGCATTTTATTGAAGATTTATCTCATTTTATGGTTTTCACCAAGACCTGATTTGTGGGTATTTAGAGTTTATGGGAGACTGTTTTACAGGTGTCTGGATTTTAATTATACAGGTCAGTAAATGCTAATGTATATTCCAAGAGTAATTAGGTCACAGTTTTTAGGGTGCCGTTTTCTTTTTCCATAGTAATTCTATACTTTTCTCCTCATTTTGTATTTAGAGAACCACTTGAAGTAGACGCGTTTTATTCATTTCATTTGTAAAGGATAGAAACAGAGATGAAATTTTCTTTTGATTTAATCAAGCACACATAATTTCTCAAGAGCTTGATTATTTGACAGAGTTTCAGAAACTGAAATTCGCATCATCAGAGGAAGCCAGTGAGACTATTACAGATGGTTAAAGTCATTTGTTCATTTTTCTCATAATTCTTGAACATCCACAACTGGAGATTATTGTAAGGTCACAGAGGTGCACTGTACTCTTTAGTCTAATAATGGAGATAAGACGAAAGAGTACATGCCAAGAGTAATATGAGAATTAAGAGGTAGGATAGTTTTTTCAGTTAATGGTATTTATAGAATAAGAATACAACATGTTTGAAACTGCACTTTGGAGAATTGGGACTTGCAGAGATAAGTGGGAGAACATTTAGATAAATGACTTAACCAGTACAGAGGCAAGAGAGTATTGGTTGTATTTGAGAAATGCCAAGTATTTCTGTTTGGCTAAAATAAAAGGTATGTGAAGAAGAGTAGTGAGAATTTCATTCTTTCATTCAACAGATGTTTGAATGTCTACTCTGTGCCAGGCATTGTGCTAGGCACTGGGGATACACCAGTGAACAAGACAGACATGGTTCCTGTCCTCACAACTTACAGGTTAAATGCCACACGAGTACATTGTTCAGATTATGTACTGCCACAGAATCTAGGCTACAAATTTTGAACTTTGAATTGTGAAGTGTGTGTAGACTATGGGGAACTGATCAGAGAGGATTAGAAACGAGATGCTTTGGTGTAAAATGAAATAGAAAAAAAACTAAGGGTTGAATTAAGCTAATGTAGTTAAAGGAATTGAAAGAATTTAACAAGTCAATATGATTAAAGGAATTCCTACCTTTTGGAGCTCTTTTGCCTCTTTCAGACCTACTATTTTGAGGACGGCTGACAGCCGTTTCTCCATTTTCTATCTTGAGGAACCCTGGAAGGTTAGTTAAAGCAGTTACCTTTTCTCCCTGATCTGCTGTTGTCTCCTGCATTGTAATCTCTAAGGCTTGCAGTCTTAGAGCAAAAAAAAAATAATAGCAATTAAATAAATTATTCCTTCAGACTAAAATGTATACACAAAATATCAGAGCTCTGAAGGTGAGGACTGTTTTGTGTTTAAAAAGAGCTGAATGGGAGAATTTGACTTTTGGGTGAAAAGCAAATCCATTTATTTTGTGCACATATATATATATACACATAGTCTGAGTCTGAAAACGTCTGTCATAGGAGATGAGCACTACCATTTTGTGGCTTAATAAAGTAAAAATGAAATGAAGTTTTCCATTTTCTTAAATCACTTGTAGTCATTCAACACACTGCATATGATGTATCATGAAGCCACAGCTTGCCATGTGACTGGAGACTTAGTAGAACTTCTGTCAATATTCCTTTCGGTTTTGAAGTCTACACGCCCATATCTTCAGAGAAAAGGTTTGGTCATTCCTACTTCTGATTTCTGTTAGTTCAACTATTAAAGAATGAAATAAGGCTTTTAAACCCCTTGCTACAGAGAATTTGTCTTTATCTCTAGTTTATGTACAGAAGCTGGGGCTGATGGTAGCTATCAGGTGTTCATATGACCTCCTGATATAAAGCCGGAATGTTCATGTTTGTGTTCATTAAACTTGCCTGAAAAATAGGCAAGCATGTTATGTGTCAAGATTTAGGAGATTGGAAAACATTTCCCAGCACAGTAACAACATGGGTATTTTGTAAATTTTCTTCAGCTGGAAACTTCCAAGACTTAGGTTAGATCATTTTTAGTTTCAAAAGAAGTAACTATAAAACATATCTCTCTTCTGTCCCTGTAAGATAGTATGAACTCTGAACTTCATATAAATTCCTAGAAAATGGGACATATTCATCACTAAATTACGTGCTTTAAGAAATCTGTCGGAACCGGCCTGGTGGCGCAGCAATTAAGTTTGCACGTTCCACTTCTCAGCGGCCCGGGGTTCGCCAGTTTGGATCCCAGGTGCAGACATGGCACCACTTGGCAAGCCATGCTGTGGAAGGCATCCCACATATAAAGTAGAGGAAGATGGGCACAGATGTTAGCTCAGGGCCAGTCTTCCTCAGCAAAAAGAGGAGGACTGGCAGTAGTTAGCTCAGGGCTAGTCTTCCTCAAAAAAAAAAAAAAATCTGTCAGGTTTAACAATAGTAGCCATTTCATGAAAATAATCACTTAACGTTCACTAAAGATGTTTATGTAATTAATTTGAATTTCTTAGTGTTTGCGTTCTGTAGTTTACAATAGAAAATAGTTGTGAGCAAGTTTGATCTCATGGCATATTTATGTATGCTTTTGTATTTGCAGATGTGAAACAAGCATTAATCCAGTGGCAGGAGCGAATTGAATTTGCCCATAAATTGTTAACTCTTCTTAATTCCTATAGCCCGCCAGAACTTAGAAATGCCTGTATAGGTAAGTATACTTGTGTAAGAACCTAGTGCAAGAACATTCTGTGGACTTTTTTGTATTTTGTAAGATGTGATGTTCTGTGGGGTTTGGAAGACATTTGCTTTTTATGTGTAACTCACAGTGGTCAGCAGGTACTAAGAAAATCAGTTTCTGTCTCTTGACTATAATCACCTATGTGATCATGTGCATGTCACTTAATATATCTGGGCTCTTTGACCTCAGGTTATCTCTAGATCTCTTACAGCTCTGAAATCCGATGCTATATAAGCAAAATAGAATCATGCAAATGTTTACAAAGTAGAATTGACATTGTAAAGTGTTGAGGTGATTATCACTGTAAGTTCTTTTGCCTAAAGGTACTTAGTAGCTGTTCTTACACTCCTGAGTATTGTATCTTTTTACTGATTGCATATTTGTAATAAAATAATTTGTGCCTATTAAAGCATCCCCCTTGTATTAAATTTATCTTGAATTTTTTATTACCTTAGAAGTCATTTAAAGTCATCTTTAGGGACTATAACTGTTTATAATTTCTCAAAACGACATGTATAGACAGTCAGTCTTGGCAGGAGTTGGCCTGATTTTCTGTGGAATTACTGGCCTTTATTTCTCCAGCAAGAGAGGAGGGCCACGCAGCAGTAACCTCTGATTGCCAGAAACTTTGCTAGTAGCCTGTCATGATGAGCTTTACTCTTTGGTGATTAGAGGATGAGAATCAGTCCAGCTAGCATCATGAAACATTAAAGTAGGTTAAGGATTATGCCTCAGATTTGAAGAACTTTGAACCTTATATTTCTTTCTAAGCTGCTCTGGTTGATTTTATGAAGACACATGATCAATGTGCATCAAATATTTCCCTCAGTCTCCTTCTCCATGATGCTTCTCTTAGATAAATAAAATAAAAATAAGTCATTTTAAACTCTGCTTTCTAAAGGATGGCCCTCTTGTGGTTAGTAACTCTGCTGATCCAGATTTGCTTGAGCATCAGATAGAATTTCTCACAGTGTCAGGAGCTAAAACAGTTTAGACACATTAAAACTTGTCAGCTGCCACACTGCAACTAGTTACCCCAACAGGATTTATGAGTTTGAAACTAGCAGGTAGACATACTCCAATTTTTTAATACCCAATTGTGTTTTTATTTTCAGATGTCCTCAAGGAACTTGTGCTTTTGAGTCCCCATGACTTTCTTCATACTCTTGTTCCATTTCTACAACACAACCATTGTACTTACCATCACAGTAATATACCAAGTATGTATTAATCTAGCATAGTACTTGAATATAGTGGTTGGCATTTAATCTTTCTACACACAAACATGGAGATTTATTTTTTTTCCATTTATTCTTATTGTACACTTTTAATGTCTTAGTGTCTCTTGGACCTTATTTCCCTTGTCGAGAAAATATCAAGCTAATAGGAGGGAAAAGCAATATTCGGCCTCCGCGCCCTGAACTCAATATGTGCCTCTTGCCCACAATGGTGGAAACCAGTAAGGTATGTTGGGATGCCAGAAAAACCATGTTTCTTTAGTACACAGTAATTTGAAATTTCCCCTCTGGCAGTTACGAGTATATGAGACTTAAATGACCATTTTGTGGATCCTAAGAAGATTAGACTCATTTGGACTTTTTCCTTTTAGTGCTCTGAAATGTTGGTTTGAATATTTGCAAAATCAACAATAAGCACAAGTAGTAAGTTTTTTCCCCCTCAAAAAATACTCTAATAGAAAGCCTTATTAGTATTTGTCTCTAGGCTAAATTATAACTGGGTCATATATCTAAACCTGAAAAGTCAAGTTAGGTACTTACTCTACTGTTAAATTTGGCCATATAATCAATGACTTCTTTTACTGCCCTTTAATTATAATCCTTTGACCTAAGCCTAATATCACTGATTGGTAGATTATCATCATTTGTAGTCCGATTCTTGACCTCTAATGCTTATTCTAAAATAATGCTAATTCTAAATTATAGAGAGAAGGTACATTGACACAGGATAATTTATCTTAGTTTCAACATTTTTTTAAACAATTTTTCCCATTTATCTTGCTTCACTCCACTTCATTCACATGCTCCCTTTCCCGCTATCTTTGGATCTTAAATATATATGTAAGAAGTTCCTATAAGAGAAAATATTAAAAATAATTAACACTGTAGTAATCATTACAGAAATAATTTGGAATCTTTTTCAAAAATCAAATTTAATTCACTCTTCTTGATATATCTATAGGACTAAAGGGTCACATTTTAAAATCCTACAGTAGTTTTACTTTATTAAAGTATATAGAAATAATGGGTAATTCTAATTGATAGCATTTGCACACTGAAAATAAACTTGTGACAATTAAGATCTTAATAACATTACTAGAAATTTAGAATTTAAAATTAGGTTCTTCTAGAATTTAAATATTTAATCAGCTTTTTAGTTAAATTTATTACGTTTGCACAAAATATGCTCTTTAATTTATTATACAATTTAAGTGCAACCATTTTATCATCTTTAACCTTCAGGGCAAAGATGACGTTTATGATCGTATGCTGCTAGACTACTTCTTTTCTTATCATCAATTCATCCATCTATTATGCCGAGTTGCAATCAACTGTGAAAAATTTACTGAAACATTAGTTAAGCTGAGTAAGTATAAAAGATGAGCAGTAAATTCCACTGAATTATTTTAAGCCCCTAGCCATTCAGGAAGGGGAGAAAAAAATGAGACAATCTTTTTTTTTCTTTCTTAAAGTGAATGTTTAAAAATATTAATTATTCTTGGGAACATTTTTATTTTTATTAAGAAAACACCAACTTACTGGTTTCCATTGAATAGTTCTGCCCAGAGTTTCAGCTGGCCTATAAAGGAGTATGGAGTAGGGCTGATCACTTTTGTACATAGAAGCCCAAATCGTCCTCCATTTACCCAGCAGAATTTAAAAACAAAAAACAAACTGCTCTGCTTAGGGAGGCAGGCTTAGGGATGGACTTCCCCAGACCTGATCTTGAGGGTAAGATGAGATCTCTCCTGCCAGCTGTGCTTTGGAGCTGGCAATGCCAAGAGCAAGCTGAGTGGGCTTGTCAGGGTGAAGCAGAGGTGCATATATGAGTAAATTTAGGAGGTAAGTCTCATAAAATAGAGAGGTGAGTGAGAAGAGGAAAACTTGGAAAGGAAGATACAAGAAATAGAAACAAGACCATCAGTGAATTATGAAGGGGGAAAAACTCTAATTACTTAATAGTAATTTTGTCTCTCCAAGGATGTGCCTGTGAGCTGTTAGAGAACTGCTCCCTTTGGGTAATCCTTCCCCTCCCTCCTTTTTCTCCTTTCCTCCCTCCCTCTCTTATTCTAGCTAATAAGTCTTTAGAAGACATGTAGCTCTCCTCCAGATGTCCCTTATCTCAAGAGCTCCAGAGTTCCCAGGCTCTGTGTGTATGAGTCTTACTTCTTTAGGGATAACCGAGAGTCCTCTCCAGTGTCTATAGTTTTGTTTCAGAGCATAGGAAGTGAAATATTCATGGAACAACCACCCAGGTCAAGAAATAGAATATTACCATACCTTAGAAGGTCCCCCTTGTGCTCCTTCTCAATCACAACCTCTTCCTTCCTATGGAAAAAGTTTTGCCCCATTATAGGCAGGGCAAAAGATGTGAAGCTCCCTTAGGTTTCATTCTAAGAAGAAGGAAGTGGTATCATCTGTCAGGGATAATTCCTCTTCAGGAAAACCATCTTATTGGTAAGTGATTAGAGTGTCTTCAGATTTGAAAGGTTGTTCCTTCTACCTATTATCATTAGCTGGTTTTATATATGTGTGTGTGTGTGTGTGTGTGTGTGTGTGTGTGTGTGTGTGTCCCCGAAGTGCCAAGGTGGCGGAGAGGGGAGGTGAGGATATGCTCAGATTGGCGATTTCACGATTACACAGTTGGATCATGGCACTTGGTAAAAAGCTAAAACGTAGCTATGGCAGTGATTAGGTATGAGAAAATATCTAGGAATTCTAGTAACACAGCCTTGCCCCCAGATAAGGAGGGACACTCAGAAAGACGCTGACCTTAAGAAAAGTTGTTGGTAACTGTGTTCATGGATTCATATCAAAAGTTAATGTGAGGAGCTATTTTAGCTACTGGAAAAGCTCTGACCAAATAGTGAATGTTCTACGCTGTTTGGGACTGTCTTCCTCATCAAAACAAATACACAGTTTTAGGGAAATTAAACATAGGAGAAAAAGGAGGGAGGGAAAGGACACACATTTAGCCATCCACATTAGCTGAATCAAGTTTCATAATATTTTATACTCAGATCACTCTTAGAACCATGAAGCGCTGTTGATGCAGCCTCATAGTGTTCCCGTTTGCTACATAAGCACTATTCTGTAGAATAGTGCATGGAAATGTTCTCCAACTGCATCACCGTCCATAATACGATAGCCACGATGAGTGTAGAGAACTTGAAATGTGATTACAGAACGGAATTTTTATTTTATTTAATTTTAACTGAATTAAATTTAAATAGCCAGATGTGGCTAGTGGCTACTGCGTTGAATAGCACATCTCTAGATATAAACCAAAACCTTCACAGATTGAGCAGGAAAAATGTTTTTTCATGGTTATATCTTGGTTAATGCAAAAATTGGACATTATTTTGAATATGAAACAAGAAAAGACCTAAAAGCAGTGCTTTCCTTATGCCTCTTATAAATGGAGAGATTATGTCCTAGTGTTTGAAGTTGACTCCCTCTTCCAGCTAAAATGACTTTCACCAGGGAGAGGCAGCTAGGAAAGGCTTGAGAAAGCAAAGTCCACATTAATCACTGTAGTGGGAAGCAGAGAGTTGATAAGGAGTTTTTTTGTTTTTTTGAGGAAGATTAGCCCTGAGCTAATATCTGCCACCAATCCTCCTCTTTTTGCTGAGGAAAACTGGCCCTGAGCTAACATCCGTGCCCATCTTCCTCTACTTTATATGTGGGATGCCTATCACAGCATGGCGTGCCAAAGGGTGCCATGTCTGCACTCGGGATCCAAACCAGCGAACCCTGGGCCGCCGAAGCAGAACATGCGAACTTAACTGCTGCGCCACCGGGCCGGCCCTCATAAGGAGTTTTAATTTGTATAATTTTTTTCAAGAAATTATATTTGGCAACAAAGAGAGGAAAGAGTAAGTTTATTTGAGCCTTGAGGTTAGATGGTCCAAGGGCCAGAATATTGTGACCATAGGTGGGATTGTCTCATGACCTATCATTGAATAGAAAGTCATTTCCAGTTTTGAGGAAGTACCTTTGTGGTAATGCTTATATGAGTAATTGAGCAGATTTTAAGATTTGTTAGGGGATAGAAAGAATAATGTAAGAATTATAGATTAGAATTTCAGGGGATAGAGTTGCAGTTGTTAAATAGTGAAGGGAGGGTTGGGATACTTTTAAAGTGAGGACAGTCAGGCATGAGCTTAGGGAAGACAGAGAAAGAGGTGGGGAGAAAATTCAGGGAGGGTGAACAAAGCTACTGACTGCCGTATGAAATAACTGTGTGGATGAAACCACACTATTTTGATATTTAAAAATAGCAGAGTTTAGGGGCTGGCCCCGTGGCCGAGTGGTTAAGTTCGCGCGCTCCGCTGCAGGCGGCCCAGTGTTTCGTTAGTTTGAATCCTGGGCGCGGACATGGCACTGCTCATCAGACCACGCTGAGGCAGCGTCCCACATGCCACAACTAGAAGAACCCACAACGAAGAATACACAACTATGTACTGGGGGGCTTTGGGGAGAAAATGGAAAAAATAAAAAATCTAAAAAAAAAAAAATAGCAGAGTTTAGCCAGAAAAATTCTGAAAAAGAATAGTAATAAGAGGGACTGGCACTATTTCTAAAATACAGTAATTTTTAATTTTATTTTTCAGTATTTAATGTATACACATATTTCACAATTCCAAACAATATCAAAAAGGTACATATCACTCACAGACCTGCCTCCCTACTACTTTTATTCATTTTTTATCTTTTTTTTGCGTAAAAATAGCAAATATGGGTTTATTTTCTCTTTGCTTACATAAAAGTAAACTGTAATGATTAAAACCATGTGAGGCAGATGCATAAGCAGAAAATAGAAAAACAGCCCCAAAACAGACATGGATACACAAAGACTTGATAGATAAAGATGACATATCAGATTAGTAGAAAATGGGTGGGATTGAGATAATTGGGTAGCTGTCTGGGGAGATGAGAGTCAAGACTTTAATACCTACTTCACTCCTTAGACCAAAATACGTTCCAGGAGGATTAAAGATTAAAGATTTGTGGAAAATAAAATCATAGAAGTATGTCTTTTTAAAAAAACATAGAATTATATGGAAATTACTTTGAGATTTGAAAGACTTTGTTAAGCAGGCTACAAAACCCAAAAATGATCAAATAAGAAATGGAACTTTTTGACTACATAAAAATTGAAAATACTACGTGTTGCAGAACTCCATAAATTGAATTAAAATACAAACAACCATTGGGGAAAAATATTTGTGTTCTTAACAGATAAATGACTAGTATTACCAAGATAGTTTTTAGGATTTAGTAAGATGGTAAAGAGCATTAAGTAAAATAAGCAAAAGACATATGAACCGGCAGTTCACACACACACGAAAAGGTAAATGTTTGGTAACCATATGAGAAGTTGCCCCGTTTTACTAATAAAGAAAGCAAACAACGATTTCTCTCTTTTTCCACCCCTCAACTTTGAGATAAAGTTTAGATGATATCCATACTTAAACAGTTTGGGGGAAGAAGAGATCTTATAATGGAGTCAGTTCGGGGAGGCAGTTTGGCATTATCAGTTTAAATTGTTCATGCCCTCTGACCCAGCAATACCAGATCTAGGAATCCACCCTGTTCTACTCATAAGAGTATATAGCAACATACATAGGATGTTTATTTTCATTTGATTTGTATTGGGTAAAAAATGGAAGCAACCCAAATATCCATCAAGAGAAGCTTAGTTAAGTAAATCATAGTTCATCTGTACTAGTCTTTAAAAAGATAGGAATTGTCCTTGGATTACATGAAAAAACCACATTGGAAAACAATCTGCAGAATATGACCACATTCTTATAAACAAGGGGGAAAAATCACTCAGTATACACGGGGGGAAAAAAAAACAAAAAAACAGGATTATACTCTGACTGTATAAGGGTAAAATTATAGGGTGCTTTCATTTTCTAGGTTAAATATTTGTAAGGTTTAAATTATCTGTAATGATCATGCATTGGTGTTCTGTATTTGAGAAAAAACAAAATTTTTAAAAAGTAATAGAGAAAACCGGTACTGCAAACTCTAATCATACTATTTTTTTTAGGCACCATTGTTGATATACAAAATTAACAATGAGATGCTCAAGTAAAATTAAACTAAATAACAGATCCCTAGATTTCATCATTTAATTAAATAATTTCCATTTTCAGAGACAAAACAAGAATTTCTATTACCTTTATTATTTAACATTGTTTTGAAAGTTGTCTTAGGACATTAAAAAAAAAATTTTTGCAGGTAACATTATGATGTACTTAGAAAATCCAGAATCTCTAGAATTAAAAAATTAGTATAGTTGGTAAAAGTAAAAAGATTAAAAATTCCAATTATAAAAAACAAAGCTCTGGATCATGTTCACTTTTTTGTGATGTCAAATTGGTACTGAGTGGATAAACAACTGGTTAGCTGTTTCCAAAAGGCTTCTTAGGGTGAATATACTTCAGCCCATTGCCAGTCATTCAGTGCAGATCAGAAACCAGCTTTTACCATTCCACCAAGGGCAAATCCATTTCTCCTAGGCTAATATTAGTAATTACATTAAAAGACATACTGATAATGCAGAGGTTGGTTACTAGTTTGTTGATTTACAAAGAGGAGGAACTGGCACAGGGATCTGAATATTCCCTGGTAGGGCCAGTACATTTTTTCCGCTAACCTACACAGGAAGCCAAATAAACAACAGCAGGTTGCTTAGTGGATATGAAGTCAGAAGGGGGATTTAGAAGAATCAAATGTGTGATATTCTAAGACTAAAATGTCTTGATTCAGTCTCACAGTGGAGCATTCATTGTGGGCCTTCATCCATTGGCTAAAGCTACCACTTCCCATGGATAATGCTTGGATAGGATAAACACTTGGATGGGATAAACAAAGGATCATAACACAATTCAGATAGGAGGACTTCTAGTAAATATACATATGAAATATTTCATCTTCAGCAGTCATCTGAATTACCATTTACCCACAAAAGCAGATTTAATAATACATCCAGCAGCTTCTACAGTAAGGTGTTATTAATGAGGAAAACATATGTTTGGAATAGTTTGTGATTATTGTATATTAGTTCTTTTGGGGATGGAGATGGGGGAGGGTAAGGATCCCGTTGCAGATGCCTGAAGTCACAGGATGAAGAAAAATAAGTGGTACCAAAAAAAACACTATGTTTTAGGCCTGCCTATCCTGTTTACTGAGACAAGGCTTAGACATGTGCCTGAGAACTTTGGTGTTTGCATCTCCCTGTGCTTTGAACCCTGTAAGTGAGACATCCCAGAATGTATTGGAGGAGGAGTGTGTGCAGTAGGATGGCATTGGCCTCTACCTTGAATCACAGAGCTGCTTTGTGAAAATGCTAGAAAGAGAGCGAAACTGTCGCTCTGAAGGAGTGGCCTTTCTTCCAAAGGAGATGCAGTTCAGAGAGGGAATAGGGAGGACCGTGAAAGAGGTGTCTTCAGCTCACCATGAGTGGCACAGTGTTTTCCAGAGTGTAATGTAAAGATGGTCCAGGGAAAATAACTTTTATATTAATATGTATGTATGGATCTTACTTTTTATAAAAATATATAACTAGTACACCGAATCCATGATTTCCTAGGTGTTGCATATATTGTTCTTATATCACCTAAGATAAGGCTAATGTATTAGCCTCTCAAAGTGAATCTAAATAACAGTATTAAGTAAATAGTACAGGTGTTGGACAGATATGAAGATGATACATGAATGACTAAAGTTTGGGAAAATACTGATTATTGAAAAGATTATGGGCTTTAAGAATCAGATAAATCTGGGGTAGATGCAACTCTATCACTCACTGGCTTTTGGGATAAACCAGAGCAGGTTACATACTCTCTCTGAGTCTGATTTCCTCATCCAAAAAAGGGGTGGGGAGAATGAGGATAAAACACCTCCTCCCAAAGTTGCTGAAAAAATTAAATGTGATTATCTAACATACCTAGCACAATAGATGCCAGGGCATGTTTATTTCTTGTATCAGAATATCAATTGGAAGTCATATCATAGAAGGCCTCTATGTTTTTTTGTTTGTTGTGGTAGTGCTGTCTTTTTGGTAGTTGTGGAAAATAGGAATAAAGATTGTTTTACTTTGAGGAATAATTGGAGAAACGAGAATAAAGACTACAGAAACTTAAATTGTAATGTACAGTTGGCTTTCACATGAGAGGGTTTATGTTAGGGCAGCCTCTGGTTCAGGGGTTGACAGAGTCTTTCTGCAAAGGGTCGGCTATTAAATATTTAGACTTCACAGACCATATACAATCTCTGTCGCATATTCTTCGTTTGACTGTGTTTTTGGGGGTTTTTTTTTTTACAATCCTTTAAAAACGTGAAAGCCCTTCTTAGCTCATGTGGCCATGCAGAAACAGGCCATAGGCTGCATTTTGCCCGAGGAGCAGAGTTTGACAGCCAGTATTCTAGTTTTATGGGTAATGTGATGCAGGGTCATAGGAGCATAGAAACTCTTCCCTGTAGCCAGCAGTTTTGATGGCATGCCCTTGTTTGCTTATGTGTATTGTGATGATGTGGTGGATGAATGCCTCTGACCCAGACCTGTTTAGGTTAAGATAAAGGAAAAAGATGATAGAGTTTCCTTGGGTCTTTACAAAGGGCTTAATCTTGACAGAAAAGTAAGTAAATAGGCTTACCCACAAAAGGGAGTCTAGAATCCTTGGATGACTAAATTGAATGACTTATCTGACTTCCCTTTCTAAGATTTTCTTAAATCCTTGGCCTAACCCAGAGGTTGGCAAACGACAGCCCACATGCTGCCTGTTTTTGTATAACCAGTGAGCTACCTGCAAGCTAAGAAGAGTTTTTACATTTTTTAATGGTTAAAAACAAATTAGATTATTCTAAATATTTTGTTGGGGGGATTTGGGGAGAAAAAGCAGGGGGGAAAAAAAGGAAGATTGGCAACAGTTGTTAGCTCAGGTGCCAATCTTTAAAGGGGCCAGCCCGGTGGTGCAGCAGTTAAGTTTGCATGTTCTGCTTTGGCAGCCTGGGGTTCACTGGTTTGGATCCCAGGTGCGGACAGGGCATCGCTTGACAAGCCATGCTGTGGCAGGCGTCCCACATATAAAGTAGAGGGAGATGGGCACGGATGTTAGCTCAGGGCCAGTCTTCCTCAGCAAAAAGAGGAGGGTTGGCAGCAGATGTTAGCTCAGGGCTAATCTTCCTCAAAAAAAAAAAATTAATAAAAATTTTCAAAAAAGTTCATAATCTTTAAAAAATAAATATTTTGTGACACATGAAAATTACATGAGATTCAAATTTCAGTGTTCTTACATAAAGTTTTATTGAAAGACAGCCACATCCATTCATTTAGTGTTGTCTGTGGCTGCTTTCATACTACCTCTGCAGGGTTGAGTAGTTGCAACAGAGATCATATGGCTGCAAAGACAAATATTTATTCTTTGGCTTTTTACAGAAAAAAGTTTGCCAACTTCATGTCTAACACATAATTTTTTCTTAACTGGAGGAGGCTAGCTGTTAATATATTTCTCTTTCTCCATGATTATACTTTCTCTAGGGGTGGGGTGTGGAGAAGGGGAAATTTGTGACTGTGGTATTGCCACTTCTGTGCTTTGAGAGGTAGGAGGGCAGAGGGTAGAACAAACTTCTTAAAGACATACATGACATCTGGAATAGTCAAGAAGTGGAAAGGTTAAAACCATGGAGGTTCCAAATAGGACGCTGACATACAGCTAAGTATGGTCCACCCAAAAGACCCTGGGGACAAGACTAGAAGCTGTTAGAGCAGTGTTTACCTAAATCTAATATGGAAGATAATTCTCCCTATCTTTGGAGAAATGAGGTAAAAGAGGAAAGAACGATGTTTTCTAATTCTCCACATCCTCTTTTTGACCTTGCACCCCTGCAGTCTAGCTATTCCATGAAAATTATCTTTAATACGCAGAGGTGGTACCTTGATCCAAGAAAGCTTTGGAACCACTTGCAGTAATCTTTACAAAATTGTCCCAGTTAAAGTTATAATACTCCAAAAGCAGAGTTGGTTTCAGTTGCCTCAGATCCTTCTCGGAATGAGGTGTGGGATATACATTAATTTAGTCAAAGTGTACTACATTCTAAATTATTTCACTGGTTAAAACATTGGAATGAATCCCGTTTAAGTATTTTATATTTTTCTAAAACATGTAGAAAATATGCATAGTTTTGACTAGAAATAGCTATAATAATGTATCTCTGCAGAGTTTAATACCTCAGTAGTGTAATTTATAATTATAACCTATTCTGATTTCTTTTCAAATATTAGGTGTCCTAGTTGCCTATGAAGGTTTACCACTTCATCTTGCACTGTTCCCCAAACTCTGGACTGAGCTATGCCAGACTCAGGTAAAGAAAATGAGTTTTAGATGATTTGGTCTTTCATCTCATCTGACCACGTGGTCAGTGATGTTAGGAACAATGGGTTGAAAACTGGCTGAATTGGGGATGTTGCAGAATCTTTATAGGTAAAATATGATTAATGGAAATAATAACTATTAAGCATTGGGCATCTAGTTGCCCTTTGAGGTTTTTTACTTCAGAAGATTGGTATCACAGAGGATATTCCAAATAAGCTCTATTTTATAATGGAATTCCTCATTTATAGGTCAATCTAAGCAGTTGTAGTGAGTCTAAAATAGGGAGATACAGGGAAAGAAGACATGTGGCACTTCTTACTCTTCCCTCCCCTCCCCCATTCCAAAAGCTCTAGCAGAAACCATTTCAGCAGTCTGTCCTTCACCTCTGCTTATCTGCTACCTCAGAGCAGTTTTTCAAGAGTCTGATGCACTTGTCTTAAGAGCAGTCTCAAGAGTAGAAAACACTGTACCCTTCCTACTTAAGTATCTAAGAGCCAACCCCTTAAAATAAAGTGGGCACCTGAAGAATGCTTGTTAAATTGTGGAGGGAGAATGGTGGGGAGAGGAGGAGAAACCAGATTGGTCCTAAGGTTTGGCTCATCCTTTGGCTCAGGCATAAAGCATCCCCACTCTAAGACCCTGAAAAAACTAATGGTTTCTTGCCTGGTGATGAGTTTAACCTTCCTTAGGCATCAACTTTTACCCATGTTGTAGTATCTGAACTGCTTGGAGTCTGGTCCAGCCTCCTCCCAGGGCCGGTGGTGCTGTATATTCTCTTAATGGATGTGTGTCACATGGTACTGTAATCGTCGTCTATCTCCTTGTCCCAGACTGTGAGCTCCTCGAATCTAGAAACTTTATCTGAGTCATCTCTATTCCCTGAAGAAAGGTCATTTTGTTTTCTAGAGTAGGAATCTTTGAAAGGCTAGTGAACGTTGATCACATAGGAGACTTTCAGAAAATGACACTGGTTGATCTTGAGCTGAGTAAACTGGAATCAGTAAATTGGAGCAGATGTCTGCTTTTTCCCTTGCCGCCACTGCTTCTGCTCTTTTCATTCGTCTTGATTTGGGTAGTTGCTTTTTCTGATTTCTGTACATCACCTGTTGCTTCCCTATTGCTTTATTTACTTCTGCACTCTGCTTTTCCCTTTACTTGGCTTTTTTCCCCACAAAATTCACTATCCCCCAAAACTTCCCTTAAAAGAAAGCCCCTGCCAGCCCTATAGAAGCAGTTCTCCTTTGCAAGAAACATAGGCAGCAAGCCTGTGACTGGTAGAATAAGGCTGAGTTTCGCAACACCAGGGATCTGATGACCTGGAGTCCCCATCCTACTTGACTCCAAATTTCTTGGGTGGCCTCGAGCAGCTGACTTACTGCAGTTGCATACTCTAAGAAAACAGAAGTATATACATGTACACACTGTCTAAACTTTGTCCTGTTTTTTTTAAAGTCTGTTTTGTCTTCCATATAAATGATCTATTGTTAAAATAGACATTTAAATAATCTAGGGACTGTATTTCCTTAAAGACATACTACTTGTGTTTAAGAGCCATGACCATTTGAAAACAGGAAAACCAAATTTTAGTAGAATTTCTATATATTGGGACCCACTAATTCTCTGAGATAATTAGGAAAAGAGGTTTGCGGTTTATCTTTGCAATATTTATGGGGGAAAAAGGTATTTACCAAATTACTGTTGCTAATGAGATTATACAGTAAGAGTTTTAACTCATTTTAGAGACTAAATTTAATTCTTTAAATTTGTCTTTTCTCTACGTGTAGTTTGGTTACCTATTAATTATCCATTAATTGGTCCCATGAAAACATTCACAATCCTATTTGTTAGTCTTATTTGTCCTGTCTTTAACTCTCATAGAGCTAGATGCATTTCTTTTAAATTTCTTTTAAAACATATTTGTTCAGTTTTGCCATTTTGACTTTTTACAAGTCTCTTCCTCTAACACTTACCCATAGTTCAAGTTAGTAATGTTTTAATTTATTGGGAAGACAGTTGCTATAACTGAAGTTTAGTAGACTGAGTTAAAAGTGGCTTTTCCAGTAGGATCTAAAGTAACTTTAGGTGTGCCTCATAAGCAGCGTGTTTAAAGTTTGTAGTTAGTTCAGTGCTCAACCATTCATGCTTCTTCTCCCCGCTTTAGTCTGCTATGTCAAAAAATTGCATCAAGCTTTTGTGTGAAGATCCCGTTTTTGCAGAATATATAAAATGTATCCTAATGGATGAAAGAACTTTTCTAAACAACAACATTGTCTACACATTCATGACACATTTTCTTCTAAAGGTATGTTGTACTTGGAAACTCTGCATGTTATTTCTGATTAGTTAATGGTTGTGTTTTCATTATGTTGGTCTTCTGGAGATTCTTTTTTAATCTTTTTCAGGTTCAAGGTCAAGTGTTTTCTGAAGCAAACTGTGCCAATTTGATTAGCACCCTTATTACAAACTTGATAAATCAGTATCAGAATCTACAGTCTGATTTCACCAACCGAATTGAAATTTCCAAAGCAAGTGCTTCTTTAAATGGGGTAAGAACTATGAAAGGGAATAACCATGTACTTCAGAAGTTCCCTTAAATCAACTGTAAATTTGGCCTTAGTGTCATTTTACTATAGTAACTTTAATATTCAAACTTCACAAGTCATATATGATGAAAAAACTAGTCTTTTAAAATGTGTTCACTATGCCTTTGATGTATGTAGCACACACTTTGTTACCTTAGAAGAAGACATGATGTAATGTCATTAAATGTTAAGGGCAATAAGACCACTAAGGGGAGACATTCCTTTTATTTCTACTTGTTTACATTTCTTGAAATACTACTTGTGATGTTTCTGTTGTTGCCTATGGTTCATAAATAAGTGAAACAATCAGATTAATGATCTACTGATTATAAAGCCAGTTAAAACTAGGAAATCAGTTAGTTGCCTTGTATAGACTCCCATGATAGTCGTGTTACAGCAGAAGAGAACACACTGGAAAAAATGTGCTAGCATGTGTCCAGCGTAACAAAATGCTTAGCGGCCAGAAGAGATGACAGAGCTGAGGAAGACCTTACTATTTGTGACATCCTTGAGAAACTGAGATTTCTGGATTAATAAAGCCTAAATTTCTCATGGATCGTTCAAGGTTTTTTAAATTCCTATGTAAGTTTATTATTGATTTTTTTTTTTTCCTTTTCCATTTTCACTAAGTACTATTTGAGTCTGTAGTCTGACTTGATGTGGTGCATAAAATACTGGTAGGAGTGACTTGGAACCAATGAAATATAGTAGTATCATAATGCTGGCTTTCTAGTTTTAGCATTCTTCTAAAAATGCTAGAGAAACCAGGATGGATTCCTGGAAAAGTAAACAACTGTATCAAAATGTTGGCTTTGGAATTTGAAATGTTCACATCTGGGTTTCTCTAGGACCTGCGGGCACTTGCTTTGCTCCTGTCGGTACACACTCCCAAACAATTAAACCCAGCTCTAATTCCAACTCTGCAAGAGCTTTTAAGCAAATGCAGGACTTGTCTGCAGCAGAGAAACTCACTCCAAGAGCAAGAAGCCAAAGAAAGAAAAACTAAAGGTTAGCTTTATGGACTAATATTACCTTGAGGGTGGGAGAAGGGAAGAATATAGTTGGTGTAACTGACTTTACGATAACTGTATGTTCAAATGCTGAAAACAAAATTGCCTACAAACACCCCAGTGTACTGTGAGCAGAATGACTCCTTTCAGAGAAGTTTGTTTTGACATTCATTTCCACAGATGATGAAGGGGCGACTCCTGTTAAAAGGCGGCGTGTGAGCAGTGATGAGGAGCATACTGTAGACAGCTGCATCAGCGACCTGAAAACAGAAACCAGGGAGGCCCTGACCCCAACCAGCACTTCAGACAACGAGACAAGAGACTCCTCAATTATCGATCCAGGAACTGAGCAAGATCTTCCCTCCCCTGAAAATAGTTCTGTTAAAGAATACCGAATGGAAGTCCCATCTTCGTTTTCAGAAGACATCAGGTCACAGCATGCAGAACAGTCCAACAATGGTAGATTTGAAGACTGTAAAGAATTTAAAGACCTCCCCTGTTCCAAGGATCCTAACCTAGCTGAGGAAGAGTCTGAGTTCCCTTCTACTTCTATCTCTGCGGTTCTGTCTGACTTAGCTGACTTGAGAAGTTGTGATGGTCCAGCTTTGCCCTCCCAGGACCCTGAGGCTGCTTTATCACTCAGTTGTGGCCATTCCAGAGGACTCTTTAGTCACATGCAGCAACACGACATTTTAGATACCCTGTGTAGGACCATTGAATCTACGATCCATGTGGTCACAAGGATATCTGGCAAAGGAAATCAAGCTGCTTCTTGACATTAGATGTAGCATGTCTACTTTTAAGGTTTCCCCCTCTCCCCCCAATGCTGTTTGTATAAGTTTTGCTTATTTCTGTTTTTGTGCTTCAGTTTGTCCAGTGCTCTCTGCTTGAATGGCAAGATAGATTTATAGGCTTAATTCTTGGTCAGGCAGAACTCCAGATGAAAAAAAATTTGCATCTTCAGTATACTTTCTAAAGGGCAATCAGATAATGGATATGTTTTATGTAATTAAGAGTTCACTGTAGTGGCTTTCATTTAATATGGCTGTCTGGGAGGAACAGGGTTCCCTGGCCCTGTACAATGTAATTTAAACCTACAGCATTTTTACTGTGTATAATATGGTGTCCTCTGTGCCAGTTTTGTACCTTATAATAGAGGCAGATTGCCTCCGATCGCTGTGGTTCTTATTATCGAAATTAAGTTTACTTGTATACGGAACAACCACAAGAAATTTGATTCTGTAAAGAATCCTCTTTAGCTGTGGCCTGGCAGTATATATAAATGGTGCTTTATTTAACAGAATACCTGTGGAGGAAATAAAGCACACTTGATGTAAAAATAATTGTTTTATTTTTATTGACATGACTGATTGCTATTCTGTGCACTTAATTAAACTGATTGTGATGACTTTTCATTTGTTTACATACGTTGCTTCAGTCTTCTCAGATGAAAGTAATGAGAACACTGTGACTGGGGGGAGCACTTACCCATCATATTCTAGTTTATTCGAACTATTTAGTGGCAGTCCAAAAAGTAACTTAATCCCCATAGACTTTTCAGTCCTCTCCACCCGGAAGTCAATAACTGTTGCAGGGAGAAGTCTAACAATACAGCCAACTCGCCCTCACTTCAACATACTCCTGAATGCAGCACGCCGCTGGCTCACTACCTAAGAGGTGCACACCTTAAGAACCCTGTGGTAAAATAAAGGAATAGTATCAATATGCCGTTTATTTTGTCTTCCTGAACTTAAAACTACAGCTGGAAGGAAGCTTGCCAGGACAAGCTGTAGCCTGGGAAACGTCAGCTGTCTGTACTCAGGGGCTCAGTCTGTTCCCAGAGGAGCATCTAAGGGAGATAAGGTTAATACCTAATTTCAGGTTATTTGCTGCTTTTAACTCAATACAGAGTCTAGTCATAGTACAGATTCAAACAAACAGTGCTTTAAATTCTGTATAAGTCCATGGATTTCATCCAATATAAATTAAGAATTTGTTTTCTTTTTTAAAAGGAATAACAGGTAAACCTGACACTTTCTGCTTAGAAAAAGTAATGCCCATATAAAATCTAACTAATTCAACCATTTAGGGTGGTCAGCTGCAATAAACCTTTTATTTCTTCAAAATGCTGCTTCTGCCAACAGAATTTCATATTCTCTTCTTTACAGACAGGAACTCCTTTACAGTCCAATTGTAATTCTGTTTGCCCTGGAATAGGCACAAAATTCAGTGCAACTGTTGCATAGTGTTCTGGAAAAAAAAATAGGAAGCTTATCACTGCATTATGAAAAGGAACATTTATCCATATAGTACTACTACTAGCTTTTCACAGTGGGGGAAAAACAGCTTGAGTGTTTTTGGACTCGTAACTAACAAAGGTACTAATAACATACCTTCTGGCCAGTTCCGACACCTCCATTTCATGACAATCTTTTTATTTGTTAACTGAAACAAAAGGGAAATTCCACTGAAAACATCTTTTAAAACTTCCTACAATATTACAACACAGAACACCAAATCCTTCCATTAAAACCCCTACATACTAAAAGTAATCAATGAACAACATACAGTCCCACTTTCCAGTTTATATGCCAGCACCATTGAGAATTCATCGTCCCTGATGCCAGAATGTCCCTAACAGCAGTAACATCAAGGATAAAAGTGTGGTAACATTGGTAACTAGAATAACTAGAATGTCAAGGATGAGGCAACTGACATTTGGCAATGCAGACCCTAGTGATTTAGGTAGCAGAAACCTGAAACTTCTAGACCAAGAATTGGGAGGAATTAACATTTGTTTCTTCTAAAACCATAAGCGTTTGCACAATTATGTGAAAACTAAGGCTTCATCTTTATCATTACTTGTTATATATGTAACTTTTTATTTGCTCTATAACCAACTTTATAAAGTTGTCAAGTTTCTGTGAGCTCAGATAAAAACCCAAAGCAAGTTACAAACAGCATGGATTAAAAAAAGCAGTATTAACCGAAAGAAGACTCAGTCCCGGCTTAACTTGTCTTTAACCCTAAGATTACTTACCAATTCTATATATTCACCGGTGATGTTCCCATCAAACATCTGGAATTTCCCTCCCTTTTCAACTTCTAATACAGCAGGAGATTTAGAAAATTTTTGCACCAACTAACCAAGCAGAACATACAGTAGACATGTTATTCCAGCACATGCTATCACCTTTTTAATCTAAAGTATTAATACAACAGTTACTGTGCTTTGGGGTTTCTTTTTTTCAATCCTGAATACATAGCTTTTACTTACAGCTTTTTCTACACTCTACTTCTCTTTCAGAGGGAGAAAACTCAGTAAATTAGTGTATCCCCTAAATCCTGATATATTCCCCCCAAATGCCCATCTTTTCCCCGCTCAAATTTTTCAGAAGCTATCCTAGAGACTTCTATCTCCATTATTCTAGATTCCTTCAATCAGAAAAACAAGGCCATATAGGAAACCAAAAACCAGCCCCAGTTCTGAGTGGCACATCTCCCCATGTCAGCAATTAAGAACCTAGCCTGAGAAGTAACTTACGTCCTTCACAGTAAAGATGCTGTACAGCTGCTCTGCAGCTGTGTCAAACAGTTCCGTCATGTGCACTGCCACAGTGGGAATCCTTACCCCCAACGCCACTGGAGATGAGGCCTGAATCTTGAGAAGAAGTTCCAAAGGGTAATTAGCATGCCAATAATAAAACACTAAAACACCAAATGCCACATTACCACTTCCAGACACATGGAAACAGCATGAAAAGCCACTTAGCACCATCAGTCCTGGTCTTTACTTTGGAAAAAGAGCTGACTGTTCCTATTAGCATTTTAGCTCTGTTCCACCCCCAGGCTATGGCTTCATACTCGACTCCTACTTGGACATCTAAATATGGCCCAGAGAGCATAAAGATGAGCAGATGAAGGACAAGAGCACTTCTCAAGCCCAAAGGGTGTCAATCTGCCACCGCCAGCTTCCAAGAACACAATCTAAAACCTCTCAATCCAAAAGTCTGGACAGAAGGTTCTTCCATTGTGGTATGTGAACCTCAAAGTCACCTGGTTTTGTAATCTGTTGTCTACCAAAGAACGCTACCTTTAGAACACTGCTGTAAACTAAATTCAATATTCAGCCCACAAAAAGCCCTGTTTATACATTCCCTTTCATCAAGGATGAAAGTCTCATTTCATCATTTCCAAAAAAAGTGGCAGGGACGCAAGGATGGATGAAGTGGCCCTCCTTGCTATCCTTTACAGTTCATCATGGAAGGGCTGTTTAGAGCTCTGAAGCATTCTCATTGCTCACCTGCTTTCCCCTCCCTACGTACTGGCCACCAGAGGTCATACCTGCAAGGGATTCACACTCAGTTTCCTTTTAACAGTCAATTCCTGGGTTGCCATAGCTTTCGTTGGTAAAATCATTCCCATTGTAAATTCTACAAAGAAACATGGGAAATGGTTTTAATAAAGAACTTTTTTCCTTTTCAGCACAAATAGTAAGGCAGAAACCCAAAACAGCAGATAAGAAAATAAAACTGCTATTTTTAAAAAGAACTCCTGTCATTTTGAGAATTTCAAGACCATTCTGTTTTCTTTCATATAAAACTAATCATTAACAACCTGAGTTCCACAGTAACAAATGCCTTTTGTTTTTTTCCAAACGCCTTTTATCTAGTCCTTGATAAAATAGCAAAATTTTCAAACGTTCTTTTCCAAAAAGTTCAGTTTTATACAACTTAACTAGTAGTAGCTTTATGGCCTTCACCCGCCGTTAAAACCACGCACTTTCTCATTGCTTCACCGTCACCCTCACAAAACTTGCCTCACAGTATTCAAGGTGGTGGGCCAGCCACACGTGTGGTTTCGTGGAAAAAGTGACAACCCTAAACCCTTCTATGCTAACACCTAGATATTCAGGTAGCAGAGTCCAGGAATGAGGTATAGACATATGGGCCCTGCTGGCCATTCTGCCTGGAAGGTGACTTTTCTAATTTAGGGAAGACAATAACCTCACTTTCGTGCACTGTAGGGATTATCTAGATAAATCTCAACTACACCTGTAATACCTGCAGTCACTTTCATTCATTCATTCAACAAAGATTAAGCACCTACTATGTGCTGGAGATAGAGCAGTACACAAGACAGACACCTTTCATGCCCTCATGGAACTTATAGTCTAGCAGGGAAGACAGACATTAAACAGGTAATTATACAAACAACTGATTAAATAATTATCATTCCAGAAAACTATTAACAATTCTGTAGGCAAAATGGTTCACGCTGTGTACAATACTGATAATCACCAATTATGGTCTTATTCATGACTAGCTCTCAACCCTCAGACTACACTTTAGCCTGCAGCATAAAGAGCTGTTTCTGGAGCCGTAAACATCAGCCTAACCTGGGAATCCAGAGTACAGAGCATAACTTGGGTAAACAGAAAAGGGACCCTCTGGTTCACAAGGAATGCCTTCTTTACCCGTCTTAAGTGCCTTCAGGTAATCTCCAAGGGCCTCCTTGACCCTGGCAGTGCCTGCAGTCTTCATAAGATCCTTCAGTATATCCCCATCTCCTTTCTTTTTACTCACACTCACCTACAAATCAGAAAAATACAAACCTAAGAAAAACCTGGTTTGATGTATTCTTTCAACTGGGACATATGGATGAGAGAAAAACTGTGATGGTGAGGGAAGAGGAAGAACTAGATATAAAAGGGATGTAACAAGTTTCTTCATAATAGTTTAAGAAGATGTGAGGGTTTTTTCATCAAGGGTCCACTGACTGGGTTGATGGCCAAATCTTGAATGGACTTCTTAGATCACAAACCTCTTAATTTGCATGCAGAATTTTATGTGTATATGTACATATGTATTATATTGATGACGAAGTCCATGGCTTTTATCAGGGTCTAGAAATGCGCTGTCAGAATGGTAGCCACTAGCCACACATGGCTATTAAGCACTTGAAATGTGGCTGGTCTGATTTGAGATGTGCTATAAGTGTAAAATAATATACATCAAACTTTGAAGACTTAGTAGGAAAAAACAATGTAAAACAATCTCCATAATTTTGATATTAATTACATGTTAAAATGGTATTTTTTTATATTTTGGGTTAAATAAAAAATATTATTAAAATTAATTGCACCTGTTTCTTTTAACTTTTTTAATATGGCTACTAGAAAATTTTAAATTCCATAAGTGGCTTGCATTATATTTCTACTGAACAGCGCTGGTCTAGAACCCAAAAGCGAGCGTAATTAGGAAATTCAAGTTCCCACATAGCATGGCCTTGAGCTACACGTTTTTGGCAGGGAGGAGAATTGAGGAGGAGGAGGGGGTGGGGGAGAGAGGAGGGATAGAAGGGGAGACGAGAGAGAAGGGGGGAGATGGAGAGGGAACCATCAAAATGCTGCT